TCTAATATAATTTTGAGTCATGTGAATGTTGTTTATAGAGGAGGAAAGAAGAAAAACATTCGTGTTCAGAGTAAGGAAAGATATTCAGTGTAGTTGCGTGTTATTCGAAGCTGTTGCAAAATTACAATCCTTGTACCAGGAAACCATAAACTGCGAGCGGTCAAAAATCATCTTGCTCTCGTTTTATAGCAAGGATTTATATGAATACTTTAATTTGTCTGCGTGTATGGACTACCCTGACGTCACAATGGGCGGGGCTTAGAAGACGTTTCCAAACAAATCTGTTTTACCAGTATTTCTCCCATAAGGAGTTGAAAATATTCATTTTTTAAATTGTTTAAAGAATAAATAAGAACTTTTGGTTATGAACATTCTTTCTGTGCGATTGGTATTATTTGTTGTTTGTGAATTTGTGTTACAAAGATACCTATGAAACAATTTTTAACACAGAATTTAATATCTCCTTTTTCAAACCGAAGAAAGATCAGTGCGCAATTTGTGAGGCGTATAAACAATGCATTCAAGAAGAAAAAGCAACAGATATTACTAAAGGCTAAAGAAAATAATAAACTCATAGTAGCTTGCTTCGATTTGCAAGCAGTATTACCTACACCTTGCGGAGATATTTCTACATTTTTTTATAAGTGCCGTCCCTATTGCTTTAATTTTACGATTTTCGAGGTAGCATCGAGAAACGGTTTCTGCTGTTTTTGGAACGAAGCCATTGCTATGCGAGGAGCTAATGAAATTGCAACATGCCTCTATAGCTATCTATCTAATTTACCTGCAGGAAAATATATTATCTATTTTTTATTCTGACAACTGCGTTGGCCAGAATAAGAATAAGGCGGTTTTGGTTATGAACTTATATGCAGTTACACATACTGAAATAAATAGCATTACTCACAAATTTTTAACTGTAGGTCATACCCAAAATGAGGGGGATTCGATGCATGCAGTAATCGAGAAAGCAAAAAAGCGAGCATTAAGAAGTAACCCAATTTATGTTACATCTCAGTGGCCACCTCTAATAAGTACTGCCAAAAAAAAAAAACGGTAGACCCTATAAAGTGAACGAAATGGACACTGAAGAATTTTTTGATTTCAAGGACCTTTCAAAAATGTTTGGGCAAAAATTCAGATAACTTAGAAAAGTGTTTTCCTACAAAAGTTTTTTACAAAACTAACTTTGACGATACAACCTATAAAACTATTAACCTTTCTACTCGTCGTTTTTCTGATAATAATAATATTTTCGAGCAATATAACTTGAAACCAGCCTACGAAAAGCATCCTACTGTAGAAGAGAAAACAAAAGAGCATTTACTGGAATTATACAAAAATAACCTTATTGAAAAAGTACACCAACCATTTTATTTCAATTTGTTGAGTTAATTTTTTGTAAGTGATTTATAATAAATATACAATTATAATTATTAAATTTATCTATACTCTGTTTTTTAACCAGGAGGAGTAAACCAAAAAGACAGATTCACACCCAAGAAAGTTACCAGAAAAGTCACCAAATACATCTTCTTTTTTTGTTGATTATCTCGGCCTTGCGGTAATCGAGTAATCTATAGGGAGTTAAAGTGCAGGGCAAAACGTTAACGTATAATTTGACAGCTACTCGTGCGCAGTAGAGGAATACATACGTTTGCGTTAACGGGTCTCCGTAACCTTAAGTGCGTTTACGGATTCCCTTAACGTTATCCAAATTGTTCGGATGGTTCCGAGTATTACCGAATTTCTGTCAAATCTCCGAAAATTAAAAACTTTTTGTTGTTTTGTGATTTTAACCAAAGATTCATCTTTTGTTTGTATTATTGTAATCTAAAAATAGTGAAAAAAATCGAAAAAAAATGACGGATATCAATTTTCCAATAAGTTATTACCAAATACATGTAGAAGTACAGCATCGTACATGTCATCATCCTCGAAATCAGATTCCCCACACATTTTAAATATTAAAGATATCTTCCATTCCGCTGTAAAAGCAATCAAAATATTTCATAAAAAAGTAACCAAACCAGGAAAAAAATATAAGAGGACACTGTCTAATCATTCAAATTTGTAATTAATCCACAACAAATTTGAGTAAAAGTAAGGTTAGAAACACACGTTAGACGTTAACGTTTTACACTTCACAGCTAAAACGTATAGTGTCCGTAAACGTAATATCTTTACGTTTACGTTAGTGTTAACGTTTACGTGTCACCTGCACTTTAACTCTCTTATATCGGACAACCTCACACGTCAATTTTAACCTAATTTTATTTATGTTTGAATAATAAAATAATTTTTTTCAATTCACTTCCAATATATATTACAATTATTACAATAAAAAAAGGACTTTTTTCACATTTGGTCCCATGTATATATATATTTGAATATCGGGTGATCCAGTTTTATAGATCTCTTGAGTCTATGGTATTTAATTATAATTTAGAGAATATTTTGATCGGGAGAGTCAATAATGTTACAGATCTAAGTATGGTTTTCTCAGAAATTTGTCTTTTAATAGTAGACCATATTCTTATTCTGGTATGATCAATTTCTTGAATCTAGTTTTTTTTTCTTACCAGATACTTTGTATAAATAAGTGTGTACTTACAATTTCTTTAATGCTGGATTCTTGTTTAATTTTGACAGTGAGTTTGTCCCATTTGTTATCAACAAATAAAATTTACTAAAAAAAACTGGATTTCTGTGAGATAATCAACAAATGCAATCTATTATGTTGCATTATTGCATAATTTTGCAGTTTTGTTGTGATGATCTACAACCAGGAAGAACAAAATCAACTGTATCAATACTTTTTTTTGTGTGTGTGTGTTTTGGGTTGGACAATTGTCATTCAGCCAGTCTCAATCAAGATAAGTTTATTAATGTAGTTTGTGTGTGTGTGTGTGTGTGTGTGTGTGTGTGTGTGTGTGTGTGTGTGTGTGTGTGTGTGTGTGTGTGTGTGTGTGTGTGTTTGTGTGTGTAGAGTAATTGTCTTGATACTTAGCAAAGTCGACGTCATTGTCTTTGCTAAGAGACGCTAATTGTATCCGAACGTCTGCGGTCCCTCTGGTGTGTACCGATCACACAAGGATAGAAATTATTTTCATTTATTAATTTTTTTTAATAAACGAAAATTTCCACCCAGGTGGGATTCGAACTCACGACCTTTAGGTTTAAAGGCAGGCGCTCTTACCATCTGTATCAATACAATCAAACTAAAACACAACATTACTTTACTAATGTTCTTTTATTGTGATGAAAACAAAATAGAAATGCTTCTTAACAAGTATACATTAAATTTAAAGGATAGTTGCCGTTTTTCTTATGATAATTAGATATAAATAACATACATTTATAAACACTTTAAACTATATTTAGTATAAATATCATCTAGAAAAATATCACATTAAATAATATTCGCATATCACCAAGTCCAAGTTATTACAAACAACTTAAAGAGTCAGAAATCGATTTATATATTAGAGGAAAATAATAAATAAATTTCACAAATGTCATTAGTGTCAATATGTCATAATTTAGTTGAGTAAACTTGCCTGCGGTTGGACCAATTGCAAACAAGCATTACGGCGCGGAAAATTTGAATTACTCCTCCTGGTTAAAAAACAGACCATAGTAAAGTACCATCAATGACGTATAATATATAGACTCGGTGAACGCTTTAAAAAGTGTCCAAAACATGAATACCTTTGTTATTGTTTATTGTTTTGATACGAAGATGCACGAAGTTCATGATTTCTTACGAAGCATAACGAAGTTGATCTTGTGTTTGAAAACATCATGGACGTACTCCATTTTGTGTGACAAGCAAATTTTATTTTAAATTGTTGATAGTTATTTACTTACTATTTTAGTAAAATGCCATACTATTTTATCAAAATAATTATTTCTCTTATAGACGGGAACAAAAAGAAATCATAAATATTTAATTTTAATTAAAAAAATAATTATTGTCATTAACTTATAAATGAGCACGCCGCTGTTGTAATAAACATACCTTCAACCTTCAGCGGCTTCAGCCGAGATCTTTCGGACACTCGATTCTATAGCGAGAATAGGGGACTGCGTAGTCTATATATTATACGTCATTGAGTACCATGTATAACTGTGTCTGGTTTTTCATTTTTAATGTGTATAATCGTAGCATTTATGGTTATTGAGTAATTTAAAAAGATAATGCAATACCGCCATATCTTACAAATATTTTTAACGGTTAAATATTTTTTGTTTTTGAAAAAAGATATCCATTCGTATGCTATTGAATTACTAATATTCTAATATTCAGTTACTTGTCTTAAAATATCTATTCTGTAGAAGAAAAAAACCTGTCACTCATATTTTCATTTGCCTCTCCTGTAAAATTTATAAATTTGCAGTTGTAGCGGTATTGAATTGGATGTGCGATATGTTTCGTCTATTTTCCCTGTATAGTTATAGGCAATTTCCAGAGTTTAGATGCATGCATTGTTTGCCTCTTCTTTTCACTTCTGATAGTCCTACAATATCCCATTTTATCTTGGATATTTCTTCTAATTCGTAGACCTTTTCATCTTTAGCCATCAATTAGATGTTGTATGTGGCTAGTAGTAACTATTTTCTTTGTTCGTATCTATTTTGGCGCGTTTTGTTGAGCTTGTGCCTCCCCAGAATCCGTGAGGCTGACCGGTTTTCCGATGTGGGATTCATCACAATCGGCGGGGATTTTAAAAACCTTTCCAAACATTTCTAATTCGTTTGTATTTTAAACAGTCATTCTGGCAATTTGATAGAAAGGTTTCCACAGAATGTTATATTACAACTTAAACTACGAAAAAACGATTATCTTTAGTCTTTTACAGGAAAAAATCACTGGCAACGAAAAAATATTAAAACATTAATTCAAATACTTTTCCTGTAACTTTTTTTGCTAAATCTTCAAATAGGTATATTCGCTGTGGGGTCTTCAACGGTAGGTTTAAAAGAATATTAAAACTTATAAAAATATATACATTTATTATTAATATAAATAACATAATTACAATATTTTTACAAGAACTGGAAATTTTTCTTTGACATTGACCACGACTTCTAGTACGTTATCTAGATCTGTAAGACGATTCTTCAAACTATCCAAGGCCTGAAATAAAAAATAAAGCAATACAATTTATAAAATTTTTGTCTATTGACAAAGTATTCAAAATACTCACATTTTCTCTTTTTATTTTTGACAGTGCTCCGACAATTTTAGGTCAAAAACAATTTAAAATTATTGTTCAGAGACTTCAAAAACAACAACCTTGAGTGAATCTTCAGAATATCACAGCTTATTTCTAATCGACTTTTTTAATCTATATCTCTCTCTTTTAACTAACAATCCATGTGAGAATGGGCCTACGACAGGGAGATGACTTATCCTGTATTCTATTCTACATCACATTAGAGAAAATAATTAGGGAGTCAAAAATCAACACCAGAGGAACAATAATAACAAAAAGTGTACAAATATTGGCATTTACAGATGATGTTGATATCATAGCTAGAAGCGAAAGAGAGATGAAAGACGCATTTAATGCGATAGAAAGAGGGCACAAAACAGTGGCTTAAACATAATGAAATAAAAACCAAATACATGAAGGCCAGTAAATCGACAGGCCAAAGAAACCTACAGAATCTGACAATAGGAGACTATAACATTGAAAACGTGAAAAATTTTACATATCTAGGTTCAGTAGTTACCGCAGATAACAATGTCAGTGAAGAAGTTAAGAGAAGAATACATATCGCTAATAAAACATACAGGGTGATTGATTAGTGTGAGGAAGCTCAGTAGATCTGTTATAGTAAAAATTACTAAAAAAAGTTATTAACAAAAATTGTAGGCAGCTTTAAACTCCACATTTTAAAATTAGTTACAATCTTACAGGGTGTTCCATAAGATGGTGGCATACCAAACTTATGTTTTTTTAAATGGAACACCCTGTATTTTATTTTAAATTTAAAATCGGCTTCACTTCCACATCACAACAATGTAAAGTTTTATTATGTTATACCGGGTATCTAAAAAGTTATAACCAATATTACCTGAAAATCGTATCAAGTTTAACTCCCTGTGCAATTAAAAAGGAGTATAGGAACATTGATCTATTGCAATTATAGTTTTTAAATAATTGTTAAAAATTATAAAACATATTCGTTTCCATAATATTCGTTAAATCAAATACAGGGTAAGTCAAAATGCAAATACATTATTTTCTTGGTAATTTTAAATAGAACACCCTGTATTTTATATCACTATCAAAAAGTAATAATATCGTACTTCAAATTTTATAAAGTACTCCCTATACCTAAAGTTATCAGTTTTCTAGATATTATTGTTTTTTCATCAAAGTATTAATTTGGTAGATATTTTAACGTTTACCAACTCACAATATAATTATTGTGAGTTGGTTTTGATTGATTTGTCAAAAACTGACAGTTTGACATTATTGTTTAATAATTTAGTAACGAAATAACGACACAGAAAAGAAAACAATTTATTTAAAATAAAATTTATAAAAAATAACCGACGGAAAATAAAAAAAAAATATATAACAACACATAGAAAAATTAAAAACAACAGTAAGTTTAACTTATCTTACTTAAGTAAGGTGTTCAAAATGACCTCCCAAAACATCTATGCATGCTTGAAAACGGTCATTGAAAGAGTTGGTTACATTACTAAGCATTTGTAAAGAAATATTTTGAAATGCAATTCGGATTCTATTTTTCATATCATCCCTTGTTGTTGGGGGTATTTTATATACTTCGTTCTTAACGTAACCCCAAAAAAATGAGTCCATTTTATTGAATTCTGGTGACCTTGGGGGCCACCTTACCGGTCCATCCCTTCCGATCCATCTTTCCCCAAACTGATTATTAAGTTTACCACGTACTAATTCGTTGTGGTGCGCAAGAGCACCGTCATGTAGAAACCACATTTTTTCACCTATATTAAGTGGAACCTCTTCTAATAATATCGGTAACTGATTTACGATAAAATCTAAATAAATCTCACCATTTAAATTATCTTCAAAAAAATATGGTCCTACTACATGGTTACCGACGATACCTCCCCACACATTTAGAGACCATCTTGTTTGACTATGTGTTACTATGTGGTATGGATTACTTGTTGAGTAGTAGTGAAAGTTATGCCTATTAAAAGAACCGTTTCGATGGAATGTAGCTTCATCACCAAATAGGACATATTCAAAAAAATCTCTCTGCTCATTAATTTTTTCTAAGGCCCATTCACAAAATACTATTCGTTTCTGAAAATCATCATTAATTAATTCTTGGTGCTTTTGAATATGATAAGGGTGCATCTTATTTTTAGATAGAATGTTTTGAATAGAGTAGTAACTAAGTTCTCCTTCATTGGAAATAGTCCTTATGCTTGTGTGTGGGTTTTCTGTAACCGCCATCAACACACTCATTTCGTTTTCCTCTGTCACACTAGTTTTTGTTCGTTCATGTTTTTCATAATTCACTGAACCAGTGCGGTTAAATCAATCTTTCAATTTTTCAAATGTATCTTGTCTAGGTTGTCGCCTATCTGGAAACCGTTCTTGATAAATTCTAGCTGATAGTAATGAATTTTTATTGCATTCCCCCAACCAGATCACATCTACCATTTCATCAGTAGTAAAATTCATTATTGCTAATTTAAATTGAATCAATTACTGAATTACTAAATAATATCTAATTGTTGCTAATTTACGGTGTACCTCAATACTGAATTAATAAATATTAATGTCAAACTGTCAGTTTCTGACAAATCAATCATGGCCAACTCACAATAATTATTGGTAAACGTTAAAATATCTACCAAATTAATACTTTGATGGAAAATAAAAATATCTTTAAAACTAATAACTTTAGGTATAGGGAGTACTTCATAAAATATGAAGTAATATATTAGTTCTTTTCGATAGTGATATAAAATACAGGGTGTTCTATTTAAAATTACCAAGAAAATAATGTACTTGCATTTTGACTTACCATGTATTTGATTTAACGAATATTATGAAAATGAATATGTTTTATAGTTTTTAACAATTATTAAAAAACTATGGTTGCAATAGATCAATGCAGTTAAACTTGATACGATTTTCAGGTAATATTGGTTATAACTTTTTAAATACCCGGTATAACATAATAAAACTTTACATTGTTGTGATGTGGAAGTGAAGCCGATTTTAAATTTAAAATAAAATACAGGGTGTTTCATTTAAAAAAAACATAAGTTTGGTCTGCCACCATCTTACGGAACACCCTGTAGGATTGTAACTAATTTTAAAATATGGAGTTTAAAGCTGCTTACAATTTTTGTTAATAACTTTTTTTTTTGTAATTTTTACTATAACAGATCTACTGAGCTTCCTCACACTAATTAATCACCCTGTATAATGGACTAATTAAACATCTAATATCTAACAACATCATAAGAAAAACCAAATGCAAAATATACAAGACCCTGATAAAACCGGTCTTTGTATATGGATAAGAGACATGGACACTGTCGAAAAGCGATGAGAACCTATTAGATACATTTGAACGAAAAATCCTTAGACAGATATATAAGGGGGTAAAGAAAAATGACATATGGCGCAGAAGATATAACTTTGAACTATACACAGCATAGAACGAACCCGAGATCATAACATCCATAGAGATCGGACATCTGCGCTGGATGGGCCATGTTGAACGGATGTTGGCGACTGAAACACCAAAACATACAATGAGGCAAACACCAGTAGGGAGAAGGTCAAAGGGAAGACCCAAACTTAGATACATGGAACAAGTGGAACAAGATCTAAAAACACTTAAGATTACCAACTGGAAAAACAAAGTAAGGAACAGAACAGAATGGCGGAAAATCCTAAAACAAGCCAGGACTTTAAAAGGGTTGTCGAGCTACTGATGATGATGATCTCTCTCCTAATATAAAAATAAAGGATCAACACAAACTTACCCCTAATACTTTATTCTTCGCCTCCACATTACTTCGTAACCACTCTTCCCTAAGCGCCATAAACTCTTGCACTGAACAACCGATCAAGTCTGAAACAACATCTGAATGGAATTTTAAAGCTACTGAAGCACCTTCATCTTCTACTTCTGCAACTAAATGGAAATTGTCCTCTACTACAGTCATTTTTTCAGTTATCTTTTTGAATTTGGCTCTTATTTTGAATTTTCCGTTAGAAACATTCGGGATAGTTTTAACCAGCTTTTCAACAGACCATACCACTGGCGTAGGAGCACTTGCAGTGGATGTTCCTATTTTATCAGACTGTTGAGTAGTGCTATAAACAATATCAAGTTTTGAAATGAATTTTAGAGTAATTTTTATAGGAAATCTAGATATACAGGGTGTTTCAAAAAAAGGTAACCCCGTCACTAGGGTAGGTAACAAACTGAAAGATAATTGGGGTTTGCTTAGTAAAAAATTTTTGTAACGCCATCCGTTTTCAAGATACAGGGCGTTGAAGAAAAAAAAATTTACGCATTTTTTACGATTTTGCAAAAACTACTGGCAACATTGTAATGACATTTTATACGAATATGTTTTGGAAGCTGATACATCCCATGAATTTGTTTTTATATCTGACTCTCATAGAGGGCGCTAGTTACACGGATCGTACTAAGTATTAGTCAATAGAACTTTTTTAAGAGTACAATTATTAATCAAAATTTCAAGTAAACTTAAAAATCATTCAATTTTACACGAAAAAGGTACTCTTGGTAAAGCTCGATACTGGCTGAAAATTCTGAAGTAATAATTGATGCTGGTAGTGATGATAAAGTTCTAATACGTATACCTCTATTTTCTCCAAGTGTGCCATGGAAATCTGACATTTATTGATTGTTATGACGATAAATCAACAATAATTAGAGTTTTGAAATCTTGTTATTTGTAAAATCAAATCAAAATGTACTCAAATGTTGAATACACTGACATGTTATTAACCTTAGGCGAATGTTTAGGATGTTCTAGTGCAGTTCATGTTTAACTCCCATAATGCACACTACTGGTGTGATGAGAATCCACGAGTCAAAAGGGTATCACATTACCAACACTCATTTAAAGTTATTGTTTGGGCAGCAACTTTAGGTAACAAATTAATAGGTTATCATATTCTACCCGGAAATTTAAATGGTGATATGTATCTTGATTTTTAAACAATTCCTTATTCGAGATATTAGAAGATTTAACGCTAAACGAGTGAAGATCTTTATTTTTTATGCACGATGGAGCTTCACCACACTTTGATGTAGGTGACGTAATTGGTTGAGTAATAATTTTCCGAATCGATGAATTGGTAGAGGTGCAGAAGCTCCGATTCATTGGCCTCCTCGGTCATGCGATTTTAACCCTTTGGACTACGCAGTTTGGTCGTATATGAAGGAAAAAGTCTATGCTACAGAGGTAAATTCACGCCAAGAATTGGAAGAAAGTATTCAACGTCAATTTAATGACATTATAGCTGATCCCCTACCGTTTAAAAGGTTAATGGAATCTTTAGAAAAAAGAATAGACTTGTGTATTTGCGAAAACGGAGGGCATTTTGAACACTTACTGTAATTGAATTTTATTTTATGTTCTTAGTCATTAATTTAATTTTCTTCTTGTGAGTTTTGTTTAATTACTAACTATTTTATACCAGCATCAATTATTACTTCATAATTTTCAAATCAAAATATTTCGAAAACGGTACGCAGTATCGAGTTTTACCAAGAGTACCTTTTTCGTGTAAAATTGACTGATGTTTAAGTTTACTTGAAATTTTGATTAATAATTATACTCTTAAAAAAGTTATATTGACTAATACTTAGTACGACCCGTGTAACTAGCGCCCTCTATGAGAATCAGATGTAAAAACAAATTCATGGGATGTATCAACTTCCAAAACATATTCGTATAAAATTTCATTACAATGTTGCCAGTAGTTAGGGTTACCTTTTTTTGAAACACCCTGTATGTCGATGTACTTACCTCACACTGTTATTTTTTTCATCTATACTATCAGATATATTAATGATACTTTTAGAATTATTCAAATTTGATGCAGCATTCTTACTAGTGGAAGGTTTAAGAGTGCTAGGTATATCAATAGCTTCAAAATCAAAATCATCCTCAAACAAATCAGGAGTTTTGCTTTTAGTTTTTTTAGTCATACTAACATCTCCTTCAAAATCCCTTTCTGCCTCCATGAGCATTTCAATTTCGGAATCTATTCTGAAATCATCATCAAAATCGTCTACATTCTGGAACTGTGGTGGGGCTGTATTTGGTTTTGGTGTACTACTCACATGAGTATTTAAATTTCTATTGCTATCAAACTGATTGTTTGCTCTTTGATTTTGAAGTAGGGTATTATTTATCACATTACTCTGGGTATTTCTGGTTTGGGTTGTAGAGGAAAACTCTGAAAGAATTATCAAATTAAAAATAATCCACTTCATGTTGTCACCTAATACTTATAAAGTACTTGATACATGAACAAAGAAAACTCTCAAAATTTATGAAGAGACTCAAGATTATGAAAATTTACGGCTTTAGGAAGAGAATGAAACAATAATTAGCCCTCTACCATTTTTTTTTGGCAATCCTATGAGCATTCAAAGTTGAAGGTCGTAGGATAAACTAATTAACATATCTCAGCAGCGAATTAAGTGATCTAGGCCTACTACTGCTCACTTGATTCGTAATTTTATCGGCTTGAATGTTATATATTTAAAATAAATAAAAAAGCAATTTTGCAATAATAAATAAATTAAATTGAATGTATACCGGCTGAATTTGCAGTTCTTTTAGAGTACTTTCATTATCTATACAGAAATTACGCATTACAACACTTACTTTAGGCAAAAAATGAAAAAAACTCAAAAAATACGTATTGTGCACCTATAAATGCTCATAAATAAACAATAACCAAAAATTTTTTGTTGAATGAACTGGCGGAACGCTCCTGAGGTTGTCCTTTATAATATAGGCCACATTACATAAATTCCTGGATTAGAGAGTACTTTTCCCCTAATACTCCACAGTCTGGGCTAATACTATAAAACAAACTCAGTGGATACATACTAAGCAGTTCCTGCAAATGATACTTGGTTTCTGGCTTAAAAAATTAAGATTTACATAATTCAATGTTAAATTCAGAAAATCAAACATTATCTTGCTAAAAAGCCAGAACAACACGTGGAACGTAATTAAATTCATTATTCCAAATCATTGTTTTGGAATAAGGTCAAAATCTGTAACAAATGAACATTACCATGCACTATTCAATCATATATGTTTGGAACATAATAAAATGTGTTTCTTTTCTCTGAGTATCCAATAAGCCTTTAAATATGAGTATAAATGCAAACATGCACACTTTTTATTTAACACAATAGACTAGGAAAACCACCTGATTATGACTTACTCTTAAAAATAAAATAACTACAAGTCTCCAACTCAAGTTGTTCGATCAAGTAGTATCTGATAATATAGGTAATTTTTTTTGTCTTCCCATCTATTGTACACTTATAAATTAAAAAAATTGATATAATAGTTCACAAGAGGAAGATCTACATAGTACCACTAACTCCCTTCTGTTTATAATAATAATTAATGTAATAATAAATAACCTAATAAATTTTAAAAAGATCCAAACCGCATATAAGTTAGTAAGTACAATGCTTACCTGTTTCATTGAATATATTTGTATCTGCAGTCAAAATACTTTCTTTAATAATTTGGGGTTTCTCATTCAATGGCTGATTCAAACTTTTGGCTAGAATATTTTCGGCAGCATTAGAGATGAGTAAAGTATCCACTTCACCACCAATAATTTTAACATGTTTATCTTCTAACATCAGTCTTCCTCTCCTTACCTGAATTGGTCCGATTAGCCTTATTTTTATACCTAAAAGAATCAATAATACACAGTTAAAACTAATTTATTAAAATAGATGATTTGTTTAAGAAAAAAAAACAGTTTCAGATTTGTTTTGTTTTTTTTACACTGAGTGGTCTAAAAAATATGAATTTATCAACAGTCTAAATAAGTAAAACAGAACAATAGACTGAAACTAGTACATTAATCATTTCATTGTATGATCAATACTCTTTTGAGAATGAAAATAATACCACTGATTGTACTCTGAAAATAATACCACTGGTATACATCCTACCTGGAGAGAGATTAAGGTTCAAACACTCTACTGGTTTGTACTCCACAGCTATAACTTCCTGTACACCATCAGTTAAAGTGAGTTGAAGTACTCTCTTGGAATTCTCAGATTCCTGTTCAAGGTTCTTAGGTACACCATTTCTGATCCTCTGTAGTTGGAAATATTTAGGTTTCGATATATCAACAACTTGCATTAACTGTAAGGCATATTTGCCTTGAAGAATATATTTTACTTTGGAGGATATATCTAATGGGAGACAAGCTACTTCTACTTCCCTTAAATCTAAGAGCAACCACTGTTCAAAAACATTCACTTGCAAATCTTTTAAAGTGTAATTTGATGGGAGGTTTTCTTCCTTGCACCACTGTATACAGCTTTCGAGCCATTCTCGAGAAAGATGGACTTGAGAAGATTTAAAAAATGATTCAACATTTAATAATTCCTCCATCAATAAACAAACAATTTTTTTTAATAATAATAAACTTTTAGGTTAAAAAAAATTTTCCGGTATTGAGGTGGGCGTATATTTTAACCAATGTTACGTTACTAGTAACAGTTCGTTGTATATGTACCCCATCGAGCAATAAGACAAAAGAGGGAATCTAATCGTTATAAAAAGGAGACCAAAAAAGTGGCCTCTGATGGCGGACACATCCGGAAATGCAAAGGCGCTAAATTTAAATTTTCCAACATTTGTTAACAATAGCTATAAAATATTTTTCAGACTAGAAAGTTTTAATTAAATATTAACGATAATAGTCTAAAAAGTGACATAATTGGTAAAAAACTTCAATATAAATAAAATTTCATGTGACAGTTGGGACAAACAATAACATAACCAAACTAAATTTGACTTCTTTTCTTAAACAAGGAAAGAGACTGTCTATCCTTGTCTAAAGTGGCCTCTCAAGATGGCACTTCCTGTCTATCAATATGTTTACCCCTTCTACCTTTACATTCCCTCTTTTGTCTTATTGCTCGATGATGTACCCTGAGAACATCGAGAAGGAAATCCAAGGTCAACGCACGTTTTTATTTGTGCACCCTTCCGTTTGGTGACACTAGGCGTCTAGACGAGTGGTCTGTGATTTTAACACCCTGTAATGTTTGTTTGACACTTGTCATAATAATAATAATATAACCAAAAAATTCTGTTGTCAAGACTCAAGGATTTCTAGGTTCTTGATTTGGACTGAGTCCGATTCGGTCTAAATCAAAATACAAGTTTAAAGAATTTTTATTTTAGTTTAAGTATGACAGTCGAAAAGGAATCAGAAACATTACAAATTATTGAAGAGGATGTTGAACGGGATAAAATTATTAAATCCTTAACACAAAACGATGAAATTTGTTTCAAAAGTCAACAAAAATGGGAAAACGACCTAACTCTAGAAGAAAAATTTGAAATTGGTTTAAAACTATATAATGAAAATAAGCTACAGTTTCTTATCAAATTTGGTAAATATTTTAAGTATCCACAACTGCACTCTTTCAAAGAACTTTTAAAAGAAGAATCTAACAATGAAGAAATAAATATACTTATAAATGATCTAATGAAAAGTTCACAAGGGCATACGCAAAATGTAGTTGTCAAAAATAGAAGGTATTGTTAATTTTTTATATTACTTACAAAAATCTTCATCATTTTCCTAATATATTTTAGAATAAATTTGTTTGTAAACTATTTAATTACTAAACTGTGATAAAATCCAATTATGATCTAACTGAATTAAATATACCCCATAAATATGTAGTGAACACATGGGGGTTACCATTATTTAACTTCCAATAGCTTAATTAGTAGAGTTAGAGAAGAATTGATTTTACCATAGATATGGAACTGAACCTCTTGAATTTTACGTTCTCAGTGCAAATTAATTTTTAGATACCAAGCTATGATGCAAATGATTCAAGATAGCTCATATTTTTCTGAGGTCGAAATGATGAAAAGAAATCCACTATTATACAATCAACTCATTGGACAATACTTATCTGCAGCAGAGAAAAAAGAAAGAGATAAATATGAGATGAATAGTGAAACCAGTTTTGTTAAAATATTAATGGAAGGTTGGTAACATAAAAATACATATTTGTAAACAAATACAAAGTTGGGATATGTATGTATGTGATTTCAGAGACAAAACAGCTATAATCTTTATCTATTAATTGTGAGTGAACATAATTTAGTGTCCCCTTTAATATCTTCTCTTCTGATTAATTATTAGTGATTGTCTCTTATTTTAGAGTTTTTCTAGCAATTATTTATTACCATTTTTTTCTAATGTACTGCGTTTTAGTGCTGTTATTATATACTTTATTTTGTAGGTATAGATAGAGATAATGCTGAAGCAGTTAGACAACATGAAGAAGAAATAGAAAACAATCAAATGGAGGAAGAGGACTCAGACGAAGAAGAATCAGACATTTCTACTTCACGGCCATCGACATCGCATTGGGGTGAGTTTGAAGGCAGTAAAAATACCTTTAAGATGCCAAACGCTACACAAAAATCTACCTTTATTACACTGGAAGAAAGAAAATTGCTAAAAGACGAATTTGTCACAACTATGTATGAATCGTTTTTAGATGGAAAAGATGAGGACTTTAATTATGAGAAAGTTGACAATGACACCTCATATGATGATATGCATGAAATAGATAATGATGAAGAAGAAAAGTATTTTGATTCAGAAGAAGTAGGTGATGATGGAATGGATGAAAATTTAGTAATTGAATCAGGAAGTTTTATGAATAGTTGTAATCAAGATTATTAAAATAAAAGTTTAGTTAAGAATATTTGTATTTTATTTTAACTAGTATTTACATTGCAATAATGAACAATTACTAAGCATGTATTCAAGAATAATTTAAGACCTTGGTGCAAAAACCAAGATTTTCTTGAAGACCAAGAAGGTCTTTGAGTATGCTTTATTATTAGGCATTGAGAATGCTGTATATCTCCTTTTTGGTTCATAAAAATTTTGTGGAAATAAATCTTGAACTTACTTCAATAATCTGATAATTTTTGTATACCTATTTTATATTACATTTTGCGGGCTGATTTAAAATGGTCCAAAAAGTATAGGATCATCTTTTGCTCTGCAGGAATCACCTTGAATTTTTTCGAAATTTGCTCAATTAACTTTATCCATTCTGACGGTAGATATACTCTTTCATTTCCTCACTGTTGCACTGTAATTCTTGATCAGATAAATCCTTTGCTATGCAAACTTAATGAAGATTCATTGGATTTGTCTGATTCCTGCACCAAAATGGAGTTGCCCGGTTCTTGCACCCAGATCTTCAATTTAAGAGCCATTTCTGTGGACATTTTGTGCATTTATTTTTAAAAATGGAAATACTTGCTCAGTTGTTCTGGGGGTATAGTCCAGTGTTTGTAATAAATTGTTTTTTGTTGTTCTAGAATTATTTCTTCCAAAAGTTTCACCTACAGCTGCGAAGGACACTATTAAGAGTGTTGTAGCAACAGTAGTAGGTCCTTTTTTTTATTATTGAGAGTTTCTTGAATATCTTATAGCCTTTGAGCACTCTTCAAAATCTGTTGGTTGGTCCAAATAATGCTGCATTAAATTTTTCAAAACTTTTTATTTAAAAAAATGTAATGGAATGAACATGCCAATAATATTTATATGAATCATAAAACAAGAATTAACAGTTAGTAACAAAGGGTAAAAATGTGATGTAAAATGATGCATTTTTTAAGAAAATTTCAGTCAGTCATAATTATTTAAGTTTACAATGATAAAATCACGATTTTGATTCACTCTTCAGTGTTTCTCGAAGTATTTCTTTTTCTCAACTGGATTGGGGATGATCTAAAAAAGAAATTATCTTAAATAATAGTTTATTATATATTATTATGAAAGCAAAACTTAATTTTGTATCATTTATTTATTTATCATCATTTTGTAACTTTCTTTTATTAATTTCCAATACAGCTCTTTTGCAGAACAGCTCAGAGTAGTTGAAAGCAACACAGTAACTGTTTTTTTGTTTTATTTTTTATACAGAAAATCGAACCAAAATATTATTTTCCATATTGTAGTATACTTACTGTATCTTGTCCTGGTTTCCATCCAGCTGGACATACTTCACCATTTTGATCTGTAAATTGGAAAGCTTGAACCAATCTAATTGTCTCATCAACACTTCTTCCTACTGGTAGATCATTCATTGTGATTTGACGAACCACTCCCTTGGTATCAATGATGAATAAGCCCCTAAAATTTTTAATATTTACCATAAAAATAATAACGATAATGAGAGTTGATTACCAAGCTATTTTCAAAAATGATTCAGTTGAGTATGAATGTGTTTTAGTAACGAAAATTACAGGCATATAAGTACAAAAAATTTGAACTAACATAGAGAATACTTCATTTAATTACATAAAATACATTTTAACTCACGAATTTACAAAAAAAAATAAGATGATTCCACACGAAAAAAAACATTGTAAACAAAAACCTTAAAGACTGAAACAATGAAAAGCTATCTGCTTTTAAAAGAGTATGATTAAATCTTACGACATTCAAGGCAAAAAAAATAACACAATATAAGGTTGAATGTTCGAATAATTAAACTTTGAGGGTATACAAGGCAACTATCGAACACTGTGATTAATTTAATCTTGCCCAAGTACTTTCGATCAATAGATCATCTTCAGGGGCATTTCGTCAATTGTGGCCTATCCGACATAGTAGAATGTCAAATGTAAAATTTGGACATAACAATACAAAATACAATACACTAAGACAAACAAACACTTTAAAATTTATATGGAGAAGCTACATATTGTATAGAAGCCGGAGACAGAACTCTGTCTCCGGCAGGCTATGTCGACATCAGGTGTACCACAAGGTATAAACTTAGGTCCTCTTCTGTTAGCTATATTTATTAACGCTTTGCCTCAATGTGTGAAGTTTTTGACAAGCCTGCTATTTACAGGTGATTTTAAGATTTTTTGAGAAATTTCAACTCTGCAGGACTCATGAGATGCTGCAATGTGATCTGAACTCAGTAAGTCAACGGTTCTTTGATAACAAAATGTTTCTAAACACTTCTAAATGTCATGTCTTTACTATCACTCGAAAAACACAATTCATGGAGAACCAATACAAAATTTCTACCACTGTACTTGAAGAAAGAACACTTTCAAAGATCTTGAAGTAATGTTCCAGGAAAATTTGAGATTTAATGAACATTATCGGATCATCATTGAAAAGGCATACAGAACTCTTGGCTTCATAATTCGTAATTCAAATTTTTTTAAAAGATTTTTAAAAACTGTGATATAGACTTTTTAAATTTGTAGCATTTTAAATTTGATTGATTCTTTGAAGTATATTTAAAGTCGCCTCGTATATGAAATCGTCTTAATAAAACGAAGAATGTTTTCTGTTTTTTAGTTCGTATCTTTCGAAAAGTGTTTTCAATCATTCTAACGTCGTAGAGTAATAAATCCATTTAATTGTTGTTTATTTTACTGCGGCGATTTCTTTTCATGTAAATGCGTTTCAAAGGATATCTACGTCGTTCGTTGGTTCTGCTATTTCAGCAGTTCGTTGATTTTCAAGTTAAGCGAACAAATTTTTAATTTCGTCACTCTCGGTGGAATCGCTGCCAAAGTCAGTCGGTTTCATTGTTTAGTCCGGATTTTCTTTAAATTCGTTATTGCATTTTTGTTATGGAAAAATGTGTAAATAGTAGCAGTGTGGAGTAAACCGAGACAAAGAAAACAGTCAAGTTTTGGAATTGAGATTCGGAATAGCTTGCGGGTTGTAGTCTTCCAAGCCGTTTTTTTTTTTTTTTAATTTGAAAAGTGAATTTTTACTCAAAATGCGATCTGGCAGTTTTTTTTTGTTGAGTTAACCACCGATTTGTTCGTGCTGTGTTTTATCTGAGAGATTTGTAAAACGGCGTTTCCAGCCGTTTAAGAGGTTCACATGATTTTGGGAGGAAATTGAGTGGGCGAGTTTTGAAGATTGCAGTTTTTTGTCATTCAGGATGATCCGAAGCCCGATTCCAGTGGCCAACTTCCAAAAAATTGTCTATTTGTGTTCATAAGTCACTTCAGACTGAATTGCAGCTTAAGTGGGACACAGTTGTATATTTTGCAGTGTTTTGGTTCAATTCCGATTCCAAAATTTTCTTAAAGGAAATACATCAGTCAGTGATACCAGGTACTTTTAAAATTAAAAATTACTTTTCAAAGTAAAAATAAATAATTTTTCAATAATAAAGAAATTTGCTTTGATGACAAACTAAAAAATTGTAAATAAATGAAATTATAAATTTTATGGATTAGCTAATTGTCCTATTAGTTTTCTTTTAAATAAAGTTGACTGCTATAATTAAAATTAATGTTTCAAAAAGGTTTAATATTTCATTTCGATATATGACAGTTAGTATTATCCTTTCTCGACATACATACATAACCATAAGTTTTGATATTTGTGTATTTTGTGACTGTTGAATATTTTTGTATTCCTCCTTATAACTGTTTGTGGTGACATAAATAAAGGTTAAATTTTGTTGTGTTAACTTTTTATTTATTTTTTTGAGCTAACCTTTATTGATTTTTATTTGAAAAAGATATGTTTTTTATGTTTTGAATTTGTTTTCTAATTATTTCCCTAGTTACAACTAGTGGTTGTAATAGGCATAATTAGGCACCTCAAGTGGCGCCCTATATTAAATTCCTTGAGGTGTTTCTTGTTTATTTTTATTCTGTTTATCCCAAAAGCCCTTTATTTCTTTTTGTTGTAGTTGCCCCATTCTAACCCCCATTTTACTTATCCACGACCCCAGCTCTCCTACGAAACCTGAGTGTCCGTTCGCATCAGTAGCGATTATTTTGCTTGCCCTATCTTTACCCCCAATAGTTTCTTCCCCCAATTTTCTACCTTATATTAATGCCCCTGTGGTAGGCAAAATACTATCGTTACAAAAATGTCGCCCAACGTGTGTGGCCTGTATTAGATTTTCGCCATTTTTGTATCTTATCGTTACAAAAATGGCGCCCTTGGCGTGGGGCCTTTTTCAGGCTTTTGAATGTTTCTGCATCTTTAGGTTTTTGTCCCTTTTCCAGAAGCAACATATCTTTTTCAGTTTTTCTGCCATAATTTTCTGCCATTTTTATGAAACCCTGCCTTCCGAGTAGTGCCCCGGTGTCCCACAAACAGTTTGTTTATGTATTTGTATCAACATATATATTGTTGTTTTTTCTTTGTATGGTATTTGTATTAACATATGTATTATTGTATATCAACAGATGTATTTGTTGTATATTGACATATGTAATGTTGTTTCTTTTATTTCGTGTACTGTAGAAATTTTTCTATATGTATTTTATGTGTATTGGTAAATGAAAGCAAATATTTTGAGATTGAATATTGAATTTTAAGTTATTTACAGTAACAAATTAAGTGTACCGTTATTGTGCCATTTATTTTTGATTGATTTGACATTTCTTACAGAAAAATCGGTTTTTGTAATTTTGTTTTGTCCGGTCATTTTGAGTAAATGTGTTTATTGTTTGAGTGACTTTTCTTTGAGCTGATGAGTACAGTTGTTGTTTTGTCGTTTGTCCTATGCCATTTCATTGTTTCCTCTAGGCCCTCTTTGACGGCGTTTGTGTTATGCCACGGGCTAGTAGGAGATTGTGAATGTGAAGAGTAGTCCCCTGTGTTCCCCTGTTGTTCCCTAATTAACCAGCTTTGACGGCGTATGTAATGCCACGGGTTATTAGGAGATTGTGTTCCCCTGAGTTCCTTTTTGTGTTTCCTGTCTTGTATCTGAATGATGACAAGTGTTTATACTCGTGATCGGAGGTGCTGTTTAGTTTTGCCTAAGAGCAATCTCATTTAGTTTTCAGAACAAGAGCAAGGTTTTTTATTTTGTGTTATTTTATGTAGCTCAATCAAAAGTCAAGTTTTCAATATTGTTAGTATTTTTGTATCACCCTGTTTGTGAAGTTTATCGAGTATGTTGTTTTGTATACGTTGTGTATTTGCTTTCACCCAATCATTGTTTCAGTATTTTTGTCCCACCCTGTATGTGAAGTTCGTTGAGTTTGCTTCGAACCGTTTTTTTTCCTGTTATTTTGTGGATTTGTTTTATCCAGTTTTTCGTTAAATCAAGTCTATTCCTGTCCCAAATTAACTGCTACGATTTCCATTTTCTGTTGTGCCCAGTTTTCGTAAAATTACGTTGAAATTTAATTCTCGTCTATTTTTCCTTGTGAATTAAATAATACGTATTTGGAATGATATCATTCGCCAATGCTTGAAATGCGATTTTCTTATTGTCGGCATTTTTAAAATGTGAACGATATCAAGTTTGTTTATTCTTGTTCGTCTTAAAGTAATCATCCCATGTCTGAGAAAAGAATTTTGTTTACGTTAACGAAATAATTTATTTCGTATGTAGACGCTGTCCTTTCTTTAAGTGTTAAGTCAATTTATTTCGTCTTCTTATTGAGTGTTTGAGGAATTTATTGCATTCTAATCAGCTGTTGTACGAAAAATATAGGTCAAATTTTTTCGTATCTTTAAAGTTTAATAGTCCAGGCAATGTGTGAAATTTTTTTAGCCCCGAAAAAGAAAAAGTTTCTGATTTTACAGTCCATGATCTGTCCATTGTTTTCCCTTGTTGTCTTTTGTTTTATAAGTAGGAGGAAGTAATAGTACGATTTCGTTTGTCCATGGCTAAGGCCGATTTGTTAGCGACAAAGCGAAGTATTGTTATTTCCCTTATGTTTGTTATTTCCGTGTTTCCCCGTGTTTTCTTTGTCCCTATTCTGTGTTATAAGTAGGAGGAAATGATGATACGATTCCGTTTGTCCTTGGCTAAGGCCGATTTGTTAGTGACAAAGCGGAGTATTGTTATTTTTCTTTTGTCTGTTAGTCTTGTGTTTCTCCCAAGTTCTTTTTTGTGTACACGTAGAAGAGAGTGATGGTATGACTTCGTGTATTCCTGGCTAAGGCCGATTTGTTGAGAATACATAGCGAAAGTGTTGTGATGTTTTTTCTGTCTGTTAGTTTAGTGTCTTTCCGTGTCTTTGTGTGGTCAGATGTAGTGGAGATATGTTGATGGTCTAAAATGTGTTAGTTTGTGATTTGAGTATTGTGTTTTTGAAGTATCATATAGGACGTACAGGCATGTGACCTGGATTTGTGTTTCCTTGGATATTTCTGTTGTTGTGTAAGACTGCGTAGCAGCATTCCCTTTCCGTGATATATTAGAAAGGATAAGCCTTTCTAAGTGTTGAAGTAAGACTATTGACCTAGTCTCAATAGCATTCCTTCTTGTTGTAGAGTTTGTGATGTAGTGTTTTTGATTTGGTAAAAGCGGAGGTACAAATACTTGCATTGTCCATTGTGACGTTTTGATTTGCTGAGGTGAAAGTACCTGGCCGCTTATTGTGAAAATTTTGTTTATGTTGATTGTGAGACCATGTTAGTGAAACATCTGAAGTATTTCTAGTACTACCGTTGAATGACCCACTAAGAATTCCCCAGACTTATTGTTGTGACCATGTTCGAGTTTAATTGAAGAATAGTGAACGTTTTCTTTCTGATTTGTATCAAGATGTTGTATTCGATTATTATCCGTGAAATGATGAGGTTTATTTGCTGATGTTGCCCATTTATTCCCTTTCCAAACTATGTCTTTGACCTTATTAGTTGTCATAAGAGGAACGGCTAGGTCGATGAGTTTTGGATTCGTCCGCCAGGTGACCTGTTGAGCTTTTAAGGAAGATAAGCATTAGTTTTTGCCTTGTGTATAGATATTCTTCTTCTTCTTTACCCTTCTTGCCCTGCTTTTGAGATTTGTGTACCCAGTTGGAAGTTTTATTGTTGATGACGGACTGTAATGATTTTTTTGTTCTTTTGGAAGATTATAGTGATTCTTTAGTTCCCTTGGAGATCTGTAATGATGTTTTTGTTTCTTTTGAAGTGTTGTCGTAACTTTTTTGTTTTCTTTGGAAGACTGTTACGAGTTTTTTTTGTTTCTTCAGGAAGTATTTAGTTTGAGACTGAACTGATTGTGTATTGATTATGGCTTGTATGCCATGTGCCCCTGTTCTTTCTTCTTTTATAAGATTGTGTATTAGCATTTTTGATTTATTTTCTTCTTTGGTCCTTTTGGGAGTTTCCTGACTTGGAAATTTTTCGCTGTGTCGATCCCAGAGGATATTTCTATGGAACTATTGGCCATCCTGTTTTCTTCTGTTTGTGTTTGATTTTCAACTAGTGGTTGAAAATTCATAGCTTGACTGTTATAGTCAAGTTTGTTATTGTTTGATATTTGTTTTGGTTATCTATTATGTGGATAACCATAGCGAAGCTTGTCCAAGCTGTGTTGTTGGCCACCCGCCTTTGTTGAGCTGGAAGCACCCCTCTTTTCGCTCCCAGAAACTTCAACACTGGTCTGTTCCACGTTTTTGGTTAGGCTAGAGCCATTTTAGTAGAAATCTGCCATTGTGTCGTTGTGCTTAAGAGCCAACGAACTGTACCTGGTACCGATTCGTCAAATCGAGCATCCAGTTTTATTTTGTATGTTATTATGTTAGAACCATAAACAGTTATGATGTGTAGTTTTGGTTATGATTTTTGTTTGTTGTTTTTTGCTCTGTTTGAGTTATTGAAGTCATTATGTGTTGTTGCAGTAGTTAAAAAATGCTACTGTTGTTCCAACCTGATTGTTGTTCGCCCTAAACGAAAACTTTTCCTGTTAGTCCAGTTTTCGCTCTTACGTGGGGGTATTGTAGCATTTTAAATTTGATTGATTCTTTGAAGTATATTTAAAGTCGCCTCGTATATGAAATCGTCTTAATAAAACGAAGAATGTTTTCTGTTTTTTAGTTCGTATCTTTCGAAAAGTGTTTTCAATCATTCTAACGTCGTAGAGTAATAAATCCATTTAATTGTTGTTTATTTTACTGCGGCGATTTCTTTTCATGTAAATGCGTTTCAAAGGATATCTACGTCGTTCGTTGGTTCTGCTATTTCAGCAGTTCGTTGATTTTCAAGTTAAGCGAACAAATTTTTAATTTCGTCACTCTCGGTGGAATCGCTGCCAAAGTCAGTCGGTTTCATTGTTTAGTCCGGATTTTCTTTAAATTCGTTATTGCATTTTTGTTATGGAAAAATGTGTAAATAGTAGCAGTGTGGAGTAAACCGAGACAAAGAAAACAGTCAAGTTTTGGAATTGAGATTCGGAATAGCTTGCGGGTGTAGTCTTCCAAGCCGTTTTTTTTTTTAATTTGAAAAGTGAATTTTTACTCAAAATGCGATCTGGCAGTTTTTTTTGTTGAGTTAACCACCGATTTGTTCGTGCTGTGTTTTATCTGAGAGATTTGTAAAACGGCGTTTCCAGCCGTTTAAGAGGTTCACATGATTTTGGGAGGAAATTGAGTGGGCGAGTTTTGAAGATTGCAGTTTTTTGTCATTCAGGATGATCCGAAGCCCGATTCCAGTGGCCAACTTCCAAAAAATTGTCTATTTGTGTTCATAAGTCACTTCAGACTGAATTGCAGCTTAAGTGGGACACAGTTGTATATTTTGCAGTGTTTTGGTTCAATTCCGATTCCAAAATTTTCTTAAAGGAAATACATCAGTCAGTGATACCAGGTACTTTTAAAATTAAAAATTACTTTTCAAAGTAAAAATAAATAATTTTTCAATAATAAAGAAATTTGCTTTGATGACAAACTAAAAAATTGTAAATAAATGAAATTATAAATTTTATGGATTAGCTAATTGTCCTATTAGTTTTCTTTTAAATAAAGTTGACTGCTATAATTAAAATTAATGTTTCAAAAAGGTTTAATATTTCATTTCGATATATGACAGTTAGTATTATCCTTTCTCGACATACATACATAACCATAAGTTTTGATATTTGTGTATTTTGTGACTGTTGAATATTTTTGTATTCCTCCTTATAACTGTTTGTGGTGACATAAATAAAGGTTAAATTTTGTTGTGTTAACTTTTTATTTATTTTTTTGAGCTAACCTTTATTGATTTTTATTTGAAAAAGATATGTTTTTTATGTTTTGAATTTGTTTTCTAATTATTTCCCTAGTTACAACTAGTGGTTGTAATAGGCATAATTAGGCACCTCAAGTGGCGCCCTATATTAAATTCCTTGAGGTGTTTCTTGTTTATTTTTATTCTGTTTATCCCAAAAGCCCTTTATTTCTTTTTGTTGTAGTTGCCCCATTCTAACCCCCATTTTACTTATCCACGACCCCAGCTCTCCTACGAAACCCTGAGTGTCCGTTCGCATCAGTAGCGATTATTTTGCTTGCCCTATCTTTACCCCCAATAGTTTCTTCCCCCAATTTTCTACCTTATATTAATGCCCCTGTGGTAGGCAAAATACTATCGTTACAAATTCTTCTGTGAAACAAATAAAAGTTGCTTTTGAAACAAATTTCTAGTCTGCAAAAGTTATTGTCTTAAAATTTAATTTAGATGTATAGTGTTTTTTACCTGTTTTATTCTGTCTAGGTTTAGCTTTTAATATAGTTATTAGTTTTTAGAAGTAGTAAGCACTCTCTTAATGTAATAATAATAATTTTGTGTTTTAAAGGAGATTAAATAAATTTTGATCTTAGTTCATATACTTTCTCACCTAAGGGTATGTCCCAAATCATCCAAATACACTCCATAATCCTTTGCTATGTTATGAGTTAAGTCTGAAAGAATTGGGAAATTCACATTTCCTAATCCACCTTCCTTTCTTGGGGTGTTTATCCATGCCAGGTGTGTAAAATGTGAGTCTACTGAACAAGCCACAACTTCTGTGTTGATCTTTCTAAATTCTTTGATTCTATCACTGAAGGCTAATATTTCGGTTGGGCAGACAAATGTGCTGAAAATAATTTTTATATAAGTCTAATTGGACATTATTAGCAATCCTATACTTACAAGTCAAGGGGATAGAAAAAGAACACCAAGTATTTCCCTAAGAAATCTGTAGATTTCAATTGAACAATTTCTCCATTTTTAACTGCTGTAGCTTCCCAATAAGGAGCAGGTTTTGAGACTGAAAAAGATTAAACAATCTTATTGACATCAAGAGAGTTAAAGTAGTGTCATAAATAACAAGAAAGTATATGATTCTAGTCAATAGTGACTATAAATATGTTTATTAGGAAAAATCTGAAAGATAGTTTTTGTTGCATAAAAGTAGAAAGAAATAAAATTATATCTCCCAAGAAACCCAAGTAAAATACAACACTTACTAACTGCTTTTGAGTATTGTAAATTGTGGACAGCTTGTTTTTCAGACGCTGGATAAACACTTCCTCCTGCAAAAGTTTGGCAAGATTCATCAGCAACTACATAAGTTATGGCTAAAACAGTACTAATACTAAATATAATCAACTTGAATGAAGTCATAGTTCTAGCTTATACTAATTAAAACATAAATGCAAATGATGTGATAAAACACGTTTCCTATTTTTTTGAAAACACTTTACTTCCAACCAACCGGTAGAGTCGACGTAACTTCTTTTTATCGGAGAATATTAAAAACATATACGTCAACAAAATTTCAAGGTTATATTTTGTTTACTACAAGCACAGAATATGATCAAATGTTACCTGTTCTATATGTTATTCTGTGCTACGAGTGTCATCACTGTCATCGTCATGTAATTCTGTAGTGGCTGATCTCTTATCTACTCATAACTCAGTGGCGGTAGCACAGAATAATAAACAATCAGAATGCCCACTCTCAGATGCCGCCTTTGAAGTTTTTCAGCACACGCGCCATTTTTTAGAAGGAAACACATAACACAGACATATGATTTATGAGGTTATGTAATTGTTTATATTTATATATATTATATTTATGTTATTATATTTAACAGTATTATATATAATTGTATATCTATGATTGCCATAAGTGAACCAATTAAACTGGGTTAATTTTTCTATGCACACCACATAAACACTTTCCCTTTCCCTCGGTTCCCTTTAAAACATGGCGGAACGTCTGCGCGAACGAGATGCGCGTACTGAATTTTCCATGGAGAATGGGCATTCTGATTGTTTATTATTCTGTGGCGGTAGTAATATTGTTTAAATATCAATAAACTTGTACACTAATGTACTGATAGCTTTTTATAGCTATATCTTAAAGTAAATATGTATCAATACTTGATGTATTGTTTTTCCTTTATCTATTGAAGCTCTTTCATCCTATGTGAAACTTCCAATCTGCTGCTGTGCCATGCCAATTTACACCCAAATTTAACTTTTCAAATAATAGTTATTCTATGATTCACTAAGATTTATATATAGCACATTTTTTTAACAAATTAATTTTTATGCAAGATAACTATCGGCGAAATCTTTCTAGATGTACTCGGCTTTTATGTGAATAATATATCGATGAAGCAAGAAGCTCCCAGAAATGAACTTTATCTTCCTCTTAACGTGCCCCATCCCTAAGGACATTGCCGATCAACTTGGCCCATTTGACTCTATCTGCAGCCGTTCTTAAAAGTTCTATTGACGTTTTCCCACGCTACGACACTGGTCGGCCAAAATACCTTCGTAATCGGATTATAAGGTTGACCGCTGTATCGTATTCCTGAAGATACAAGGTGGGTTAGTCGAAAACATCTTAAACCGTCAGTTTCAGGTTGGTTTTTACTATTATATCGTATTACCTAGCCTCTCTGTATTTCAGTTCTCTAATATACGTCCATGACATAACCAATCTAAATAGTATCAAAACTACTTCTTCAAACAAGCACTTCTATCCTATTCCTCAATTCGCAACAGTATTTCCCGTTTATCCCTGTCATCATTATTTCCTGATCGGTTTTATTGGTGAATCGGCAACGTTTTTGCCGATTTCTTCATAAAATATCAGTCAAAATACTAACTCCCCATCAGTAAATTATATAAGACTATATGTGAATTAAACTTTATTTCAAAAATACATATTTGTACATATATCAAATAGTATCACAAAATATTAGGGTAACATCTTGAAACGGAATAAATTCCCCTTTTTATTCTCAACCTAACTATTTTTTCAAGTTTTGGGTTGAATCATAGTATCAAAATTTTAAAAACCTAAATCTACCAAAATATGTCAACTGTCATTTATATCTTCCAGTTGTTTTGAAACCATCAATATAATATACTAAAGGTCGATTCAGACACATCAGTCCCGTCATAGTTTCGGCGCCGAACCGGTCCTGTTTGGTCACAGAACTATCAACTATCTGACAGCTGGGAAACTGTCAACTGATGAGTGTGAATGCCGGCAACATATTTGTATTAAAGAATATTTTGTATGACGGATTATTCGGTTCGGCGCAATCACTGTGACGAGACGTGACTGATGTGTCTGAATCGACCTTTAGGATGGAGCCTGTTGATACTTTTACATGTAGTTGATAGCACAGAATAATAAACAAACAGAATACCCACTCTCCACGGAAAATTAAGTACGCGCATCTCCTCCGCGCAGATGTTCCGCCATGTTTTAGGAGGATTTTAAAGAAATTAGTGTTGTTTATGTGGTGTGCATGGAAAAATTAACCAGGTTTATTCGACTTACGGCAATCATAGACATATTATACAATTATATTAACATTGTTAAATATAATAACATAAATATAATATAATTAAACATAAATATAAACAATTACATAACCACACAAATCATATGTCTGTGTCCTCCTAAAACATGGCGCGCGTGCTGAAAAACTTCAAAGGCGGCATCTGAGAGTGACCCTTCTGATTGTTTATTATTCTGTGTTGATAGACGATGGTAGTGACGTCACATTACTAGCTACAATGTCCGATGTGAATTTGACAGGTGATTAATTATTTCCCGATATTTTAATGCTAAACAAGGAACATTATGTGTTCAAGTCAATAATTTAATACATTCTTTTAGGTAAATTAATAAATTCGTTAAATTTTTAACATTTTGTATCCAGTCACATCAGTGGCGTGAGATGCGCAACTATAAATAAAAATATATATGTTTTATGTTATAAAAATAATATTTTTTTAAGTTTAAAATATTACACATCATACCTTTGATTCAAATGTAACTAAAAACAAAAATAAATAATTATTGTATGTAGCAAAAGAATTTTTTCGTACACCACTGAAATTCCGGAAACAAGATCGGCCATTGTTACTAGCTACTTTGGACGCAAGCATTTATTTTTAGGTTCCATCCTTATTATATTATATCGATGTTTGGAACTTAAAATTAAAGATGTTTTTATAAGTAACAATGTAAAATAACAATGGGAACAATCTCTTAACGCTGCTATATTTACATGAGGGTGGTTTTTAAGTAAGTACCTTTTGAAATTCCGCCGTTGTAGCGCTACGGCCGGTATCCCCGTGCCCCGTACATAAAAACGGAGAAGTGCGCAATCAAATAAAAGAAGCAAAAAACAATTTCTGGGAACAAAAATGTGTCCAAGTTGAAAATTTAATTGTTGGTTCTCAGACTACGGAAGCATGGAGAACTATCACTAATCTAAAGAAAAACACCCATAACTCCTTAAGCAACTTAATTCCTATAGAAAAGTGGGAAAATTACTATACAAATTTACTCCAAGAGTCCAGATTGGAATATATGGAAGAGGAATACAGTATGGAGAGACAAACCAATAATAACATTAATACTACTAACAACGAGGTCCGTACTGCGTTAATTAAAATGAAAAACGGGTGATCTCCAGGACCTGGCAATATAGCTGTAGAGTTACTTAAAGCAGGAGGTCCACTCCTAATAGAACGGATACCTTTTCTAATGAATCAATGCTGCCAACAAATTAAAGTACCATCTGAATGGAAAACCTCTCACCAAGTGTCCATCTTTAAAAAGGGTAATCGAAAAGATCCTAACTGCTACAGATGATTAAGTGTCCTACCTACTTTCGGGAGATTGTTTGGAAAGATAATAAATGGAAAAATACTAGATGATGTAGGACATCTAATTAGCGAAGACGAAAGATTTACGCCAGGTAGGTCTTGTACTATCAGTACAAGACTCGTTTATACTCCCACAATTAATAGAAAAAAGAATAGCGGTTGGTACCGACGTACAGTTAACCTTCATTCGACCTTAAAAAGGCGTATGATATAGTTTCAAGATTTAAATTGTGTCCATACCTTAGGAATAATCACAAAAGTACAGGAGTAACACTACTTACCTAAAAATCGGAAATAGACTATCAGAGCCAATAAAAGTAACTAAAGGACTAAGACAAGGACTTATGGTGGAATCGCAATATTTCCAAAAGGAACAAAAAAAGAATAGGCCAAACCATAATTGAATCAGTTTTTTGTTATGGTTCTGAAGTATGGACAATTAATGCCGATCTGAAAATCAAGACTGGAAAGGAAGACCAACGAATCTATAAGAAATAAGATGAATGTTACAGAAACGGTCATTGACAGAATAGAAAGAAGAGGAAGAGGTACATTTTAAGGCACAAAAATGAAAATATTAATTTACCCTCTATACATCAAAGTAAAATAACAATCATGGCTTTGATATAACTAATTTAATGATTTTTAATGTTTTATTTCAAACTAAATCTTAATTCTATTGTGTAATAAATCTTCTGCGATTGGACGACGTTTTAATAACATTGTTGACAAATCTATTAATAAATGCTATACTCGGTTCGCTATTCCCAGTCCGAACTGTCTAGTGAATTTAGTAATTATTTTTTTGCGAAGTTAGTTACTTTTTGACAGACTAAAAGTGGCTGGAAATTACTATACAACCAAGCACACGTACTCACAGCCAATATTAATAGTAAACAAACTATAGTGTATTTTTATGTATGAGAGAGTAATAAAACAATAAATTATGTATGCAAATCCCTAAACTGTTGATACCGGTGACTCAATGAAAAACAGATATTTGTCAACAAGTTTACAGAAGTATATAGGAAAACAATTTTAAATTGAGTATGACCACCAGGTATAAAGGTTGGAGCAGAATCGAATACAATAGTTGTGAGGGTTACTAATCCCTAAATAAGGTTGCCAGTGTCGGAGTGATGGAGGTTAACAGGTACTAATGAATTTGCAAGAAATGTAAGATGTTTATTTTATTGGTTATATATAACCAATAAAAGTTTAATAAGTACCTACCTATTTGCAAAATAAAGTTTAATTCTTTAGATAAAATAAAACGTTTTATTTTATCTGAAATGAGTGCATTCCACGAAGTAAGGGTTTCAACAATCAAACATTTAATTCTTTAATTCCAGGAATCTACGACAGTAATTGACTAGATAATTACCTTCTAAACTTATTCCACAGAAAATGTGATAGTGGGTTTTTCCATTTTGTAGGAAGGCCCAAGTGGCGTATTCAAAATTCTTAACAGTTCACTAAAAGTAGGTACTTCAGTTGCAAGGTGCAGTTTATTGTGTATACTAGTGTTATGGAAAATTTGGAAGTGCCGTGTAAACGCCGAAAATTGGTCCTTTAACAGTTAATGAAAAAACATTAATATTTAATTGTTTTAAATCATTTACAGACAAACGTTAATGTAAAAGTGTTGATGAGACCGTTGAGTTAGTTAGCAGTACACTTGGTGTTGGGAAATCTACGATTTACAGGGTTATTAAAGAAGAGAAATGTGGTAGTTTTCAAATGCCACGTAATGCTCCAGGGAAACCAAAATTTTAAATAGAATATCATTTTAAAGAAGGACTTCGACGGAAAGTGCATGAATTCTTCTTTAGACAAGAATTTCCAACATTGGATAAAGTTCTTGTCTCAGTTCGAGATGATAAGGATTACCCAGAAATGAGTCGAAGTACGTTATGGAAACTTTTAAAAGAAATAGGCTTCCGCTGGAAAAAGAATCCCAGAAAGTCTATTTTATTAGAAAGAAGCGATATTGTCATATGGAGAAGACATTTTCTAAGAACCATAAAGGAAATGAGAAACCAAAAAAGAAAAATATTTTATCTTGATGAAACATGGATCAACGAGGGTCATACACCAAATAAATTTTGGCAGGATGAAACTGTTACAAGTCAAAGGCACGCTTTTGTAAATAACTTATCTACTGGTTTAAACCCACCATCAGGAAAGGGACGCTGGCTGATACTAGTACACATTGGCAGTTCAGACGGTTTTGTTGAAGGTGGTTTATTAACTTTTGAATCAACTCGTACCGGTGACTACCATGAAGACATGAACGCTGATGTCTTTCAAGAATGGTTCGAACAAATGATAGATCTTCTTCCTAAGAACTGTGTAATAGTAATGGATAATACAAGTTATCACTCCAGACTTATAGAAGGACTGCCCACAACCAAGTGGTTAAAAAAAGACTTGCAGAATTGGCTGAATTCAAAAAATATTACGTACCATCCCATATCTATAAGAAAGGAACTTTATTCGTTGTGTGCCCTTCATAAAGAAAAATTTAAAAAATACGAAATTGATGAAACTGCCAAAAATCGTGGAATGACAGTACTTAGATCCCCACCATATCATTGTGAATTAAACCCGATTGAACTGGTATGGGCACAGATAAAGAGTGAAGTTTCAAGAAAAAATACCACTTTTAAAATTCATGATGTTAAACAGTTGTTTTTGGAGGCCGTAAATAATGTAAAACCTGAAAACTGGGAAAAGGCAGTAAATCACACTATTAAAGAAGAGGAAAAAATGTGGAAGCTGGACAATATTACTGATAAAATGATCGAGCCAGTTATTATAAATCTTGGTTCTGAAAGTTCCTCTTCTGAATCTGATTTGGATTTGTAACAAGTAGCTGTAAGTTTTATATTAATATTTTTATTCATCTATTTAACATACCTTAGACGGTTTTAAAAACTCTTTTTCTCTTTTGTAATTTTTAAAAATTAAAAAAAATGTGAATTTTTTAAAACCCTTTTTAATGTAGGCCAGTCAGTTCTAATATAGTGTGTGATAAAAGAGGTCACTTTTGTTTACATACCCATAACACTGAAATAATTCATTTATTTTTTACAATTATTCAAAGTAATTTTTCAATTAATCTTGAGCACGCCCATGGAGTGGTCGGATGTACCAGTTAAAATTATGCTAATTACTCTCTCGTTCATAAAAATAAACTATAAATAGTAGATAAAATAGAACTTTGCGAATTATCCACAATCAATATTTATTTATCTGCACCATATAATCAATAGTTATGTTAAATTATAACAACTAAAATATATTTTTTAAATATATATATATATATATATATATATATATATATATATATATATATATATATATAGTCCCAAGATTCCTAAGAGGAACATAGGGCTTCCACAAAGTGTCTCCAGCGAACTCTATTTCTGGCTAGTGCTTTGATTTCAAGCCAGGATTTTCCCATTTTTCTCCCTTCGTCCAGTACTGTCCTTCTCCAAGTTCCCTTAGGTCTGCCTACTTTCCGTCGGCCTTGGGGATTCCAATCCAGCGCTGTCCTGGCAATGTCATTTGGCGGTCTACGGAGTGTGTGGCCCAGCCATCTCTATTTTCTTCGCCTTATTTGCTTTATGACATTTTCTTGGTTGCTTTGGTTCCATAAATTTTCATTGGAGATTCGGTTAGGCCAAAATATACGTATATATTTTTTAAATATATACTACCCAAAATTTGATGGGTTTAGTATACACTTCCACTATTTAGAATAATTCTTCTTTTTTTCAAAGAAAGAAGTCTGCAATAGTAGTATACTTGAGCTATTAATACTGAGAAGTAGGAATTGTTGTGTTGTAGGTTTCCGACAATGAAGCTGTCAAAATATGCCCTAGCTAAGCGAATGGATTATAACATTCTGTATTTGTAATCGATTAATATCTGCGACAATTAAGACATGTGTATAACTAAATTATCACTAACACAAAGATATAATCAAGAAATGGAAGAGATGCGTAAAGAAACACTACATATATATCTGTGGTAATCAAGAACAAAAGATAATATAGATCTGGAGTAACATTTTCGTTCATCAGAATAACGCACTCGCTTATTATGCAGTCATTGCACGGCACAATTATATAAAGTGGGATACTAATTCATCAACCATCCACCACATTCGCCAGATTTAGCACCGTGTGAAGAGCGATGAGGTCCTAATCGAAAGTATCATATTTTGGGAACTCCGAGCAAAATTACTTTTTAGAAGGGAAAGCAAAGTTGGAAAATCCTCTTATCAAGTGTATTCAGCGAAAAAAGATTGATGTTAACAAATAAATGTGAACATCATCCGGTTTCGCACTTGGGATACACAACTAAACCACCTGCGTAGATCCATTAATAAAAACGCCGCAATCCAAACGCAAAAGATGTATTATTAATATTAAATATGACTTTGACCCGGCAGTCCACATTCTTATAAAGAACTATTAACACAAAACAATTTTCAATTATTAACTAAAAATCTTCAACAAATCTAAAAATAAAATATAAAAACATACTACTACACCGAAGTTTTATTGGCCGGAAGATAAGACCTTTTAGCCATCTGATCCAACCGATTATCCAGTTCTCCTGTCATTACGAACGGAATAGATGTAGTAACGTCACTGATATCCATATACATAGAAGGAGGCAGCGATACGCTATGACGTACCAAGTGAAAAACCTTCTCTAACACCTGCGGAGGCTCGGGTGTAATAAGAACCAAGCGGTTTTCTGAGTCGTCGATTTCTCGTACGACACCGTGACCAAAAACTTCGAAGTATCCATCGCTGTCCATTTCTGAGCACATAGCTACTAGTTGGGCGTTAATTACTGCTGGAGATATCTTTTGGCCCTTATCGTTGCTAAGTTTTATGGAACTCAGATCTATTCTAAAATATAAAAGAAAAAAATTGTATAATGCTTAAATTATCGATCAAAACAGTTGGGGAGCTCGGTAGTAAACAATGGTAATGGAAAACTTTGATTTTTCCCGAAATATTACATAAAAGGTGGCAAAGGACGTGGCAAGGGATATGACAACGCAGAAAACTTGACTTATTTTATACACCGATTAGTAGATGGCGCCAGATTATTTTTTTTAAATTTGGTAAAAGACATGCATAAGCATGAAAATAATGTATTATGTCCATGGTGGCGCAAGTCAAAGCAGGTTGTTCAAATCTAAATTGATTATTTGATGTTAATAGTGGCAATTCTGAGAGCTACGATGATTACGATTCAGATAAAGATCCTGAATTTCAAATATTTAGTGAAGGTAATTTATTTACATTCAGGGGCGTACGGTACATGGATGCAAGGGATGCATTGCATCCCCTAAAATCTAAAATTTATTATCAGTAGTTAAAACTACATATCATATTTCAAATTGATTTGTAATAATTAAAATATTTAAAGATAAAATATGTTTCTCAAGAAATCATTAAATTACTTTACGAATGACAATTACTGGCAACAGCGCACGGTGACTGTAATATCTTTGGATGCATTTTCTGAAACCATTCTGATCGCGCTAGCATCGCTTCAATGCGGCAGCACACATCGACTGTCGGGCCTAATTTGAATAGGTTTGGATCGGCATTTTTAAGAATATTGGATGCAATATTAGATTTGCTTATCATAGGCAAGGCGACTGGAGTAGTTAGCATATTACATTGTAATACAGCACGATTGCCGTATTTTGCATTTATATTAATTCGAGTAGTTTTTGCTGTGATAGAGAATAGAAAGTAAAAACACTGTAATTAACATGTAATTAGGTGTACTGGATGTTATCTCTCTTTTCAAAAAATACTATAGTCAGAATCCAGAAATATAGGCAGTAAATTCTTGGAAGTAATAGTGACGGTTCATCGCTATTGTAGGTCTTCCAATGGTGTACGAAAAATGTCAAAAAAAGGTTACGACACAGCTACTTGTATTAAATAATTATGTCCTCCTCCTCAATCCTTTAGCCCTTGTCAGGGCGTAGTGACACCCTAAATATTATTAGTCTGCTGTCTCCATTGACTGCGATCTTGTGCCATATGGACGGCTTCATGTAGGGATTTTCCCACCAAACTCTTCATTTGGTCCACCCATCGTATTGGAGATCTTCCTCTTGGTCTTCGGCCTTCTACCTTACCTTCTACTACCAATAGTTCCATGGTGCCCGTTCTTCTAGCTATGTGGCCGAAGTAAGTTAGGTATGCTTGGTTTACTTTTTTTAGTAGCCTGTCTTTTATATGAAGCTCTTCCAGAATTGACAGGTTGGTTCTATGTTCTGTCCAGGACACGCGTAGAATTCTTCTATATACCCACATTTCGAAGGCTTCGATCTTACTCCTATCGATTTTTTTGAGAGTCCATGTTTCAGCTGCATATGTAGCAATGGGAAAAATAAGGGCATTGACCAACCTAAGCTTAGTATTCCTTGTTATTGTTCGGTCTTTCCATATTTTAATTAATTTAGCAGTTGCGGTTCGGGCCATTCCTAGTCTACGTTTGATTTCTGAGGAACAATCACCATTGTTGGTTATCAGAGAGCCCAAGTATACAAATCTGTCGACTACTTCGAAAATCCCTATTTGGCGTATATGCGGTAGATTATTATTTGCTCTGTCTACAATCATTATTTTTGTTTTTCTGGTGTTGATTTGAAGTCCGAATTCTTCACTTATTCGGCTTAGCCGTTCGATGATGGTAATCATTTCGACTTCATTCGCTGCTAGTATAAGTGTGTCATCTGCGTATCGCAGGTTACTGATTTTTCTGCCTCCTATAGTGATTCCTCCATCCCATTCATCTAGTACTTTTCTCATTATATATTCAGAATATATGTTGTACAATAATGGTGATAGTATGCAACCTTGTCTAGTTCCTTTCTCTGTTTTGAATGCATTTGAATATATTCCATGTACTTTAACTTTGGCTGAGTTTTTATTATACAGATTTCTTATTAGGTTAACTAGGTGGTTAGGTACTCCCATATTTTCCATTATACTCCAGAGAGGATCCCATTTTACTGAATCAAAAGCCTTTGTGTAATCTACAAAACAGAGCAACATTGGTATGTTATGTTCTCTCTCTTTTTCTACTATCTGTCTGGTGTTGAGTATTTGCTCACGCGTTCCCTTTCCTGGTACAAATCCACATTGTTCTTCGGCTATCTCTGGAAGTAGAAAGTTCTTTAGCCGTTCATTGATTATATGTAGCAGGATTTTGCTTGCATGAGGGATAAGGGCAACGGTTCTGTAATTGCTGCATATGGTTAGTGATCCTTTTTTATGGATAGGGATCAAGGTTGATTCATACCACTCATCAGGCCATTCACCTGTGATCCATATCATGTTGCACATATCCAGCATTACATCTACGCCAATTTCGCCTATTGCTTTTAGAGTCTCCGCTGTTATGCCATCGATTCCTGGAGTTTTTTTGTTTCTTAGTTGGTTAAGAGCCTTCTCTACTTCTGCTCGTAAAATGATTGGTTCAGCCTCTCTGATTGCATGTTTTTTGTGTTCTGAGACTGATGCGTCATCTTTTGAAGTGTCTTTGTATAATTCTGAGCAGTAATTTTTCCAGGTCTCTGCGATGCTCTCTATGTCGGTTTTTACTTCTCCATTAGAGTCTTGAATGGCTTGAAGTTGTGGCTTGAACTCTCGGGCTAAATATTTAACTTTTTTAAATAGTTCATGACTTTCATGGCGGTTTGCATGTTGCTCCAGTTCTTGACACACGTTATTTATATGGTTGTTTTTATCTCTGATGCACATACATTTTATTTTCCTGTTTATCTCCGCTATTTCTTGAGTGTTGCTTCCTGTTTTTGATTATAATTATGTTAATAATAATATTTATAATTATGTTAATTTTAATATGAATATTATTGACATTTGGGTTATTATATATATATATATATATATATATATATATATATATATATATATATATATATACATATATATATATTAATATAATATACATGGTGTTTGGCAACGAATGGCCATAACTTAATCTTAGATTCCTGAGATTAAAATAGGCCGATTTAAACTAACTTACTTTAGTACGAATGTTGATAATAACCAAAATAAAGGGCTTTTTACTATTCGAACCCAAGAAAACCAACGATTACTATGAGGAAATGGACGCTCAAAGATTTGAAGGATGGTTTTCAAATATTCTACCAAACCTTCAAGCAAATTGTGTCGTTGTTATGGACAATGCGTCATACCACAGTCGACGGTTGGAGCCATCACCAACGACTGCCTGGCGAATAGGTGAAATAATCAACTGGCTCTTTCAAAAAAATATACCAACAAAAAATGTCATGAATAAAAGTTATAGTTTGTCATTAAATGTCATAGAAAATTTCTTTGTCTCGTATGTTTTGTACAAAACTATGGAATTTGAAAGTCGTTTTTTGAGAAGTGTTTTTTGTGATAAGAAGTTTTCACTTTTAAAGTTAAATATAGGTCCGCTAGGAAATCAATGAGCAATTTATCTCTCTTTATATTATGACAACGTTGATCTACTATTCCTTTCTACCGATCTTAGAATACGATGTTGTCATGTATGACTTTTACAAAGAATATTATCGTACTTTAGACAATTTTGCTGGATGTCAATGATTAAATTATAAATTGCTAGAAAATCTATCTTCACAAACTGGCAACGATGTTGTCGTACTATCGCATTAACAGTTCGGAGAATTTACTGCCTACAAATTTGATTCTCAAGTATAGAGGCCCATCTTAGGTGATTATACTTTTTAAACCTGTCTTAATGGTATGCAACATATTATACATACAGGTGTAATTTATGTACAGGTAAATTTTTATTTTATTTTTGGTGATTTTCTAGTAAATGACAATAAATGTTGCTTGGTTTATCTATTCTATATATCTAGATAAAAATATAGATAGATATCTAGATTAAAAAATCTGAATCAGTAATTTATTTTTGAATCAAAGTTTTAAAAAAATATACTTACTTATACATTGGAATCTTATGACTGGAAAGATGATTTACGTCATCAGACATAATTTGTGAGAAGTAAGCCACCACAGCCATTTCCCGTATTTGCCTAGGCTTCAGAGACAATCCAACCTTCTTCTGGCTGTTCATTGACATCATTTCGATGTGAGTATACTTCAGGCTATTGCTGATATCACTTACAAACATGTTGCAATAATCCTTGATTATTTTCGCCTTGAGTTTTGTCTCAAAGTTATTTTTGTCATCGAGACTCTTGATCTGGACTACATGTGTAGGTTTTACGAAAGTCACAGCTGAACATGCGATATTTATGCCTATGCTCTGAGTGAATCCCATGTAATTAATCAATGTTGGCATGTCTTCAAAATCAGTTATGGAGTTCATTAGGTTCTTTATACAATTTAGGTACCTGTTAACTGCATGGCCTGTATCGATATTTGTCAGAAGTGATCTGAAATAACATATTTAAAAAATATATTAAATTTTAATATCTATGTCCAATAAACTACGAATTTTTTAAAGTGTGTATAAAATTAGTGCCTTTTGTCCGTTGTTCTTCATCAACAAGCTCCTTTTTAGATCCTTGAGCACTTTTAAAATCAATTTTATCATATTTGAATTATTTTAATTGTTAAAACAAGAGATATATGAGTAAATTTTTTTAGAATATAATTATCACACTCTAATGTGAAATATTTTAATCGATTAAAAATACAAATACATTTTTCCAGATTCAAATTAACACGCCTGTCCTGCGTAATTACATGTACGAATTTGACAGTGTCGCGTAAAAGTTTCCGGTCCGAATATTAGTACTGTTACGGACATGCATTCGACGTAACCCATATAACGGTTGCATCTCGAGACGACAATGACCTGTCCTTAGAGAAGCGTCCGGAAATTTCAACCGCAAGAGAGATCGACTTGTCAAGCAAACAAATTAGAGGTGGACTACTCTAGTACATAATAACTTGCATATACAAACAGTCCTTTTGTAGCATTTTCAATTTCATTGATTCTTTTGAGTATATTGAAACCTCCTCGTATAAAAAAATATATTAAAAACTCCTTACATATTTTTAAAAAATGAAACGAAGAAGTTTTCCGTGTTGTTAGTTCGTATCTTTCAAAGTACCCAAAAGTGTTTCGTCGCCGAGTAATAAAACCATTTGAGAGTTGTTTATTTTACTTCGGCAATTTCTTTTCAAGTTTATGCGTCGCAAAAAGATATCTACGTTTTTATTTCCGTTGTTTGTTTATATTCAAGTTAAGCGAAAAAATTTTTAATTTCGTCACTATCGTTGGAGCCACGGTGAAAAGCGGTCAACGTTATGTCCGAATGTGACTTCAAATTCGAAATGTTCCTCGTTGTTTGTGTTTTTTTATGAAGACGTTTGTTCGTTTTTTTTTATGAAGAAAATGTGTAGCAGTGTGAAGTTAATGGTTCAGTAAATGTTTGAGTGAGGAATGGAAGAATCGTCGATTCCATCCTCGTTTTGTTTCTCCCTGGTTATCATCCAAGGCTTTTGGCAGTACGGAGATAGATTTGTTTGAGATATGAAGATAGATAGTTGTGTTCATTACACAGAGAGTAAAGCCCTCAGTTCCAGTTATGGTGTCGGATATTCCAGTGGCGTCTGGTTCCACAAATTCTAGTGTATTTTGTTAGTGAAAATCCAGGTAACTTTTTGATCAAATTTTAAAGTAAAGACAGATAATTTGTTTTAAATTAAATAATTGCTTTCGTTGACATTTAAAATTGTAAATTTTAGATTTTGAGTTGAGCTGTCAATTTGTGTGTTTAGTTTTTTTTTTTTGAAATTTAATGTTAACTTATGACAGCTCGTTTTTTATTATTTTTTTGGTTATTAGTTTGTTTTATTTTTAAACAAGGTTAACCTCCATATAAATTTGTAGTTTTATGTAGTATCTCCAACTCCTGGAGTTTGTAAGCGGATGACACGTAAGTTTTGTATTTTGTATTTCTCCATTTTGTAACTGTTTGTGGTGACACATAAATAAAGGTTAAATTTTGTTGTCTTAACTTTTTATTTATTTTTTTGAGCCAAACCTTTTTTGATTCTTATTTGAAAAAGATACGTTTTTTATGTTTTGATTTTGTTTTCTAATTATTTCCCTAGTTACAACTAGTAGTTGTAATAGGCATAATTAGGCACCTCAAGTGGCGCCCTATATTAAATTCCTTGAGGTGTTCCTTGTTTATTTTTATTTTGTTTATCTTAAGAGATTAACGACCCTTTATTTCATTTTTTTGTAGTTCCCCCATTCCAATGCCCTTATCTTTTACTTATCCACGACCCCAGCTCTCCTACGAAACCCTGAGTGCCGTTCGCATCAGTAGCGATTACTTTGCTTGCCCTATCTCCGCCCCCAATAGTTTTTTCCCCCAATTTTCTATCTCTCGTATTAATGCCCCCTGTGGTAGGCAAAATATTATCGTTACACTTTTATGAGTTAAATTTAGTTGTTAGATACTATCGAACCGCTCGTTTTATTTAAAAACGGTACAGTAAGATTGAATTGGTTACTGTTTTCTTCTTCTTTAAGTGCCATGTCTGTGATTAAGTGTTGGTCATCATCATTTTAATAAGTTTTTAGAATGGTTGTCTATCAGCTGCTGCGCGAAACAGTTCTTCAGCTGTCAAATCGCACCAATGTCTAATATTGCGTAACCAAGACAGCTTTTTACGCCTATCTCTATTTTGCCTTCCACTTTTCTCTGCATGATAAGGCGAAATAAATAGTATTTGGGTCATCTAATTATGTTTCCAAAATACTCAGTTGTCTTCTATTTACTCGTACTAGAGCCCCACCATAAATACTTTTGTGTGGTTCTGTAAGTGACCACTACTTTGCCCCCGACCCATTTGTCTTATCTTAACCATACTGCAATCTCAGTGTAAATTTTACTATGGTACACTATAAATCTAGAGATAAAAGTGATACTGAAAAAATGCTGTGAAAAGAACTATACACAGGAAATTTATATATAAACCTTTCTTAACTTTGGGACGAATAACGGAACATATAATTACAAACAAAAAATTAATTTTCCTTTATAAAATATTGGCCAAGAGTAATATCTTACCTTTTTACTTTCCTCAAATGTGTATAACTTGGTCCGAAAACAGGTTCTGATACTTCTAGAACAGAAATACATCCCGGAACTGTGAATTCAGATTGACCTGGATCCAAATCGATAACTCTTACTTTTGGAAACTTACTCAACAACCTGTTAATGGAGTACCTCACAAAAGTGCTTTTACCTACCCCACCTCCACCGACAATCAACATTTTCGAAGATTCATCTACCATATTTATTATTCTGCCCCATTCCGGGTGGATGGCAATAGAATTAAATTTTCCATCGTTGTAAAATGTAACTTGTGGGACATTCAAGTTAGTAATTTTAGGAAATATTTGTTCTGATGTGTATTGTTTCAAAAATTTGATTTTATCATTTTCTGTTCCAGAACTAACAATAAATACAACATCTTTTTTGTTGAGTGAGGTTTGTTTGAGAACATCATGTTCCTTTAATGATGCCCAATTTCTAGGGCTCTCTTTTTCATCTGTAACATTTTTCAAGGCTAATAAGGAACTCCCTCTGGGAGAATATATGTCGACCATTTTAGATCTTTTATCTAAAATGGATCCTAAAATTGCAAGTTTTCCATACATGACTTTAATTGAACAATAGCCATAGCATATAAGTGTTTCATTTTCTTTAAGAACTACCAGTCTTTGATTACCTTCCCACAAAAACAACTCAAACTTACATTTGTTATTTGTATCAATTATTGGATCTAATCTGCATGGTGACTCTTCTCTAAGTTCTCCCTTCTGCACTTTCGTTTTGTTTTTCTGTGTTTGTTTTTCTTTGGCTTTTGGAAGTTTTTGCGATATTGCTGGAGTTACTTTTTCTTTATCCACGTTTTCCTTGTGGATTTTTACTTCTTTACATTTGGTATTTGTATTAATTTTTGGATCTATTCTGCATGGTGACTCTTCTCTAAGACCACTACCATTCTGTATTTTGGTTTGTTTTTCTTTCGATTGTTTACATTTTTGCGCTATTGCTTGTAATACTTCATCTAGGCTTTCATTGTAGATTTTTATTTGTTTTGTCGCAGTTGCTTGGAGCTCTTCCTCTACGGCTTGAGACTTCTTATCATCTTTATTTTTCACTTTATTTTTCTTTTTTCTTTGTTTTTCAGTATGATTCTGCAATTTTTCTTTTACTTGGTTTTTATTCTTCTTTTCTTCTATACATTCTTGTCTTCTTGGTACCAAATGGGTGATGGTTTCAACAGATACGCCTAAAATTTTATTATGAATTTGTTGCTTGTGTGAGTCCATTTCAAATAGGTAAAGAAATAATATTTATTTCAATTATTATAACAATTATTATAAATATTATAACAATTATTTCTTTACCTATTTAAAATTTTATTATTTACAACTATTTATTTATTAGCACTACGACAGAATTAATAAGGAGGTTAAGTATTTTATAAATAACTAGGACAGTTTAAATTTGTTTGTGAAAAGTTAAGTGACTGGTAAATTTAAGTATCTAATATAAATTGTTACCAGTACCAGCTCAAGATGTAGAGGAAATAATCCTGTATTGGCTTGAAACTGGGCTATCACAGGCATGACTGAAGCAGTTTGAATGGTTGTGATACCGCAATGAGGAAGGCAACAGGAAACCACCCCATTATTATTCCCTAGTTCAATCATAATGGCACATCATATTTCTTATATCTGACAGGAGAAGACAAGCACACAGAGCTTCCCAGGCTGTTATCCAGCAAAATCCCTGTGATAAAGGAAAAAAACATCCTACAAGCAGTTCGTGTAGAAGAAGAAAACAGTGACATGAAAGTGGAAGCACAGCCAGAACCAGCTCCGACCCCTCAGTAGGCACTGGATGCACCAAAAGTATTGCATCGATTCTTCATTTACCAGGAGGATAATATGAGTACTGTGGAAGATTCTATGCGTATTCAGGACAGGCTCAGGTCAGTTCTGTATAAAGGGAAAAGAAAACAGACCAAGGTGGTAGACTTTTTTGGTAATGTAGGCTAAATATATTTTACAGTAGCATATTATTTTTTTATTGTACAGTACACATGTTTTAATTTTACAGTCATTTTTTTTATACTGTATTGCTTATATTATTATTCTTTAATAAATCTGTGGTGTACAATACAGTGTTAATTCATTTATATTCGTTTTGACAGTTTTTTTTTAATTAAAATATGTAGGTTCTTTAGTACAGTAATATTAATATTACAGTATTGAATTTTGTCTCTCTCTATATAACGATCTCTCCTTATAACGATGAGAATTCCCGGTCCCCTGCACATCGTTATAAAGAGAGAGGACTGTATTTCTAAAGAAGGAATATTAGAAATATTAATAAACATTACAATTACCCATTGAAGATTGGTTGGTGCTTTTATCATTTCCCGGGTAGAGGTCTGACACTGTACAACTTGTAATTTTAACATTTTTCATAGGTTTCCTTTGAAATTCATATTCAATGCCTATGTAAGGTTTGGTGATATTAAAGTCAGCTAAAGGCTCACAAGATTTACCGAAAGCCTTTAAACTGTAGGTTTCTTCTTTTTTTTTCTTAGAAATATTTAGGTCATCTGGTTTAGCTGTTGACTTCATTGTCTAAAAAATATACACTAGAAGTTTAAGCAATTATATTTCATTTCAATTATAAATATTTACAGGTTAAGCTCAGTAATAATGTGTAATGTAAAATAATCACAATCAATTGTGATTTAAGTAAAACTCTTTCTTAGTTTCTGTTTGATCAAGGTAACTGTACAAATAATTGTAAATCAGTGCTTTTACTTAAATTGCATGAGAACAACAATATTACTAATGCGTTTAAAGTTTAATTAATTTTGACAATAAAGCAAGGAGAGATTTTTGAAATGCCCAAAGGTCTATTTAAAAAACAGAATTTATTTTATTGTTATTATACCCACAAACCATACAAGGTTATTAGCAAAAGAAAAAGTTAAATTAGACCTAAGAATACCTGTTTACCCTTCTATCTCTTAGTGACATTAATAAATACCGAATAAAAAACTCATAAATTCAACCCCAATCACACTTTACAGAGAACAAAATGAATGAATTTGTAATTTTATAATGTAATGTAATTTTTAATAAATTCCATGACACATCATAAGAAACACAAAATATAGCAAATTAAAATAAAATACTCGTTTACCTTTTTCTTAATCTTCTCTAATATATTATCCATTTTATCAAGATTTTTTTTAACAAATATTTCCAATAAATTCCATATTCCATAACAGATGACAAGTGAGTGAGGTTATAAACAGGTGATTCGTGGTTAAACTAATACTTCTTTTTTTTTTTATACTTCTTCTGTGTGGAAAGCAACATCATCAGATAGAAAAGTCCTTAAAGAAATTATCTCTTTTAATTATTTCTATACTTTTCATACAAAGCAGTACATATGTACATTTGTAAATAAGGCTGTTAATTAACTTTGCCAGTAAATTTGGACACACAGAATGAATTTAATTCACGAATTTCAAAAAAACGAATCTGAGAGATATATATTAAGACCTTTACAACCTTGTCTTACACTAATTTTTTCTATAAAACGTATATGTTTAGTAAGACAATCTGTTTTTGAATTAATATATTATAAATATATGATAAAGACTTTGTCAAGCAAAATCTTTTTAGTTGGCAACACAACAACCCGTAGTCTGTACAATGCTACCAACCAATTCTTATAGCTAAAAATTTTTTGTTAGTGTTAGATTTCTTTCATTTTATCAGCAACCAGCATCGTGGAGGTAGTTCTTTTATTTTGATAGTTTTGGTAGTGGCAGTCCATTCACCAAGTAAGTTTTTAGTTAAATCTATTTGAATTTTTTTAATCACTGCATATTTTTCATTTTATTTAATAAAATATTAAGGTTTACTTTTAAATACAACGCGTGTCTTGTATATTTGTAGGCGTAAATGGCGGAAAATGATTTTTCAGACAATACTAAAACATTGTCGGAGTCAGAGATACAAAATCTTAAATTACAAGATACGCGAATAATCAGTGAATTCAAAGCTAACCAATTAGAACTTGAAGCTAAGAAGCATTGGGATTTATTTTATAAAAGAAATGAGAATAGATTTTTTAAAGATCGCCATTGGACTACCAGAGAGTTCAAAGATTTGTTAAATGATCAAGAATCAGATATATTGATATTGTTTGAAATAGGATGCGGTGTTGGTAATTTCATATTCCCGTTGGTCGAGGAAGGATTAAACTTTCAAATCATAGCTTGTGATTTATCGCAAAGAGCTGTAGATATTGTAAAAGGGCATCCAAGTTACAATTCTAGCTTAATTCAGAAGGTGAGCATACAGCTGCAACTATATCCTTGATACCATAAAAAATTTTAAAAATCTGTTTTTCCTATGTCCTCATGTTCCTAGACATATTTAGTATATTTTGCAGATATTCTTACACATTTTTAGTCAAAATCTCCAACTTTGAAAACTTCAAGGTTTTTCATTCCTCTCTAGGCTATAAGCACTTTACACTTGAGTATATCAAAATCCTAAATAGATGGAAGTTGTTGATGTGAGTGATGTCTTTTTAGGTTTTTCAGTGTGATATTACAACAGATGATGTTTATGAAGAAGTTCCAGAAAATACTGTTGATATTGCAACTTTAATTTTTGTATTATCAGCAGTACACCCTGAAAAGTTTACGAATACTTTAAGACGGGTAAAAACTTTACTAAAACCTGGCGGACTGTTACTATTTAGGGACTATGGCTTGTATGACATGGCACAATTGAGATTCAAAGCAGGCCACAAGATTGCTGATAACTTTTATATGAGACAAGATGGTACCAGATCATATTTTTTCTCAGTTGAATTTATGAAAAGTCTCTTAGAAGAATGTGGTTATGAAATAGTTCTAAATTCATACATACACAGGAGGACTGTTAACAAAAAAGAGAATATTGATGTTCCCAGAATATTTGTCCAGTGCAAAGCTAGGAAACCTGTATCATGAAATAGAATAAGGTGAGAAAATTGATTATATGTTTACATAGTTTTGTTTCTTCAGTATTACTATTATGTAAAACAAAAATGTCTCGTCTGTCTTTGTTTTGTGCAGGTTGTCAAAAGTATGAAGGCAGTGGCATACTTTCTGAACACATTGCATGCTAATCATATGTATGAGCTTCAAAATAGCTCAAAAATACTCTCAGTACCTATCCATAGCTGACACCTGGCGAATTAGGTATAATAGAGAAATATTTGAACCATATAGCGAACCAACAATAGCACAATACACTAAATTGCAAAGATTAAAGTGGGCAGGACACATGGTCTGCATGCATTAGAATCCCCAGAAAATTACTAAATTCAAGAATACAGGGAAAAAGACCTACTGGAAGACCTAAAAAGAGATGGAAAGACGAAGTCAATCCAGGAACTGCCAAGCGTTTATGGAAAAGAACAGCGGTAAATCGAACTGATTGGAGAAGCTTGTTGAAGGAGGCCAAGGCCCGATTTGGGCTGTAGTGCCATTGGATGGGTGGACTTATCAATAGCATATCATTAGGCTTAAGGCATGCAACGTGTTAAAAGGCAATGAATATATACACTGTGACACTGTTTATCTTCTCTTTACTATATTAGCCTAAGTGTCAAAAGTAACTAAAATATTCAATAAAATATCTTAACCATTGTGATTCTATCATGAATTTAGCATCGACAGTCAATGCAAGCTACTTAGATTTATTATGATGAACAATATTATCACCAAGACATGAATGTATATGATTATACCAACATGCACTACCAACTGATGTATTTTATTCACAATTAGTAATTATTTGTCAAAATCATATTTTATAACTTCTAATTTTATTTTCAGGACAAAGAAAATGGGGGTACCGGCCAACTGTACCAGGTAAGCGTAGTATTATTTTATGTTCTCTACTTTAGCAAACTAGTTCAAATATTTCCCAATAAATATGAAAGCGGTATAATGTTCGGAAGGTTAATCTATTTAGAATCTTTGGTTACTATAAAAAATTATGTGTATATATGTATATATACAAAAATGTAACTTCCAGACCATCTTTTACCACCTTTAGTCCAGACAAATTAATATATGTATTTAATATATTTTTTACCACCAAAAATGTGATGTTTTAACCAAATAATGCTTCAAATATAATTTGCAGAATAATTTTGAATTGACCATGGGAAAAATCACCTACAGTGTAGATTATCATGAATTTTCCTATATTCGAAGAGTGGTTTAAAATACATTACTTCCCAATATAACACTGGGCAGTGTGATAGTTATCGACAATACTATCACTCGAAGTTTCTCAAAAGAATTCGTAACAGTTCATCTTCAAGACATTTACTCTCAGATAACGATTTGTATTTTGAAGACAACTATAATAAAAAACAGTTACTTGAAGTGCTTCGTACTAAAACTTATAAGAAACAATATATACTGGATACTACTGCAATACAACAGGGCCATATGTTTTGAGTTTCCCACCTTATTTTTGCATATTCAATCCTATCGAACTTATTCGGGGACCAAAATTTTATGTCAATTTAATTCAATATGAATCGGATTACAAGTGCTGACTGGAAAAAAAAACTGTAAACCATGTAGTAATAGTAGAAAATGAGTACAGAAGACTAAGACAATTATTTTCAAACAGTGGACAATTTATTATTAATCTACTGGTTAGTGATGATGATGAGAGAGAGCTCTTATGCAAGAGAAATATTTTAGACTAGGTACACTAATATGATTATTTCAGTGAAAACAACTCAGTTTTTCATTAAACAAAGGAATATAACGTTTGGTTTGTTTTTCCAAAATCAGATTCTGCTCTTTGCTTATAATATACACATTATACGGTCATCTTGCAATTGCGGGCACTCTAACCTAACCAAATATATTTTCCTCAAGGCACTGCGTCACAGTGTTGCCGTATTTATTGTAGTAAAATATGTATATGAATGCTACAAATATAAATTTACTTTTACGAAATAATTGAGAAGCTACAAATTTTAAATAAGCATAAAACTTGCGGTATTTGTTTTGTAAAATGTATATGAAGGTTTAAAATATAAGTTACTTTTACGAAATTATAATTTGTATTATGAGAAGCTACAAGATTTAAATATATTAAATAAATTTTTTATATCATTTTAATCAGTTGTATTGTATATGCAATTGATTATTATCTTCAATTTAACTAAAATCTTTGAATTTTTATATAATTTCAATGCATTTCTATTATATACGGTAATTTAATTATTACTATTAATTTTTATATAATTTTAATCAATTTTAATCACTTTAATCAACATTTGTATATTATGTGAGAGTATGAAAAAACTGGAGACTTGGCAACTCTGACACCATTTAAGTGAACGTTAAATGTCATATAAATGCTTGGTTAGGTTAGAGTGCCCGCAATTGCGAGATGCCCCATTATACTATTATATATACACTATATATACATGTATGTGTATATATACATTATATATACACATTATATATTGTTATTTTATGATTTATTACTTGCATCAAAAAATTTATGTCTGTGAAATAGCCAGTATCATGATATGTCCCTGGACATTGGTTACTTGAATTTCATATACAATTTATCGGTTTGAATTTGCCAGCCAATGAAATATCTATGGACCCGACTTTACTGAGACTGACACAAAAGCAAGAGTGATGCTGTTGAAAGACGAATTCGTAGATTCACTTTGCAGCAACAGTGTGCTAGATTTTGAAGTTTAGAGTAGAGTAAATTTTTCTTGCATAAATTTTTAAACATAGTTGAGCAAATAATGTCACATTAGTGTGGGTAGAAGACAGGTACAGTTGGGTTATTTGCAGAAAACATGCAGTATTTAAATCTCTTTTAAATGTATGTGTAGGAAAAATTTATATTGAAGGAATTTTAGATACCAGCTATTTTAGAAGAATCTTAATTATGGAAGAAATTTGTCACCAGTGCATGATTTTTTGGTCTTCCAAAAACGTTATGTCATGTATATAGTTTTAGTAGTACAACAAGAAGGCTAAGTTCTTGCTTGTTTCATGTAGAGTAAAAGTTTAGTGCATAAAAATTTTAAGAAAAACACTTCTGTCAATTCGCATTATTATTGTCCTTAGTATGATGAACAATTTTATCACCAAGACATGAATGTATATGATTATACCAACATGCACTACCAACTGAGTTCTTTTGTATTATAATAGGAATTTTCCATTTGTACTACCATTATTTTAAATTTTGTAATTTGTTTTCAGATTAGACAAAGTTGTCTAATGTATCTCTGATAAATTATTTTTTTTTTCCTTTTAAATTAATTTTTTTTTGTACATGCATTAACCTAAATGTACTGAATATTACAGTATTTCTGTTGTAAGTTATTTCAATTACTGTTTCTTTAATTTACTACTCTTGCTTATTCACTGCTGATAATGCTTGAATATTACATCAATATCACTTGGTGCTTCTGTTTTAGGTCTGCATTGACAAGTGACTAATTATTAAAAAAAAACACTGACTCATTCAATTTTTTTGATCTGATAAGATGCCTCTTATATTGTTTTTAAGATATTTCAAGGAAATAAATCATATCCAGTAATTTTTATTAATTATGAAATGATGATTGACCCTAAATATGCCTACCTGGTCTTAAACTATACTATTCAGTAAAAAGTGTGTGTTAAAGGCATTTTCTGTAGACTTTCAGATGTACAATTTTTTGTAGTATGCAGTATAACATTCTTCTACCCTCCTGGGCCAATTTTTTAAATAAAATATTCAATAATGAATTTACATGATGAACACCCTATCACCAAGACATGAACATTTGTGATTAAACTTTACATGCACTACCAACTGAGAATATCTTACAATTGAAGAGCTTGATGTATAATTTTTTGCATTCCTAACAATCATATCTTTTCAGCTAATCCTGGAGAATACAATTACAAGGATGTTAAAGCAAAATCAGGACTAATTTTTGTGTAAGTAGTATTTATCATTCACATCTTAGTAGTTTATAGTTACGTTTAGCCTCCGTGCTGGCTTTTAGATCTATATTTTTTTGTAATACTCATTACAACATCCTATTCTCTTGTGTCAGTTTCTTAGATAAAATTTTCAATAGTTTTATTTATATGAGGAACACCCTATAACAGCATCCTACTCTCCTGCACCAGTTTCTTAGATAACATTTTCAATAGAATATTTACATGATGAACACCCTATCACCAAGACATGATCATTTGTGATTAAACTTCACATGCACTACCAACTGATAATATTTTATAATAAAGGAACTTTTAAGTATAATTTTTACATTTTTAACAATCAAACTTTTTTAGTTACTCCTGGATAATTATGAGGATATTACAGCAAAATAAGGACTAATTGTCATGTAAGTAGTATTCAACATTTACATTTGTAATACTCTGTTCAGTTCCAATTGTCTAGTTAATTTAGGATTTAATTTTCTGTTAAATTGTTAAAATTTAAACTATCATTGGAAGTGGACATGGACCCTTGGTCAATATTAACTGTAACTTTGCAGGTAAACAATTATTCACATGCAGTTTATTAATTAAATAAATCTGCATAAATTAAAACAAATATTTATTTTTGAAGATTTTTAGTATTTGCATTAAACTCACAAATATGCTAACATACATATAGGACAATCCACATACAAGCTCATTAAGGTTATTCTAGAGCTTTATTCCAGAATTCAAGCAGAGGTTAGCTTATTGCCAAGAAGTGAGGGAATCTCAATTGGACCATCTGTTTTTTGTTTTTTTTTATGTTTTGTTTTTTTTTTATTATTTAAATAACTCAATTCTTTTGTTTCTACTGTTAAAAATGAAACATAGTACATATTATCTTTCATTCAATTTCATTGTCTATTTAATTTTGACAGAAAAATATGTTCTTATTAAAAAAACAAGTGAAAGCAAAACTAAATTTACAAATTGGCCTGTTTTTGCATTTCTTTATGAACTATTGAGGGTGGGTCCTTTCCAAATGAACACAATGAAGAAAAATCATTTATTAATCTATTATATTAGATGTCAACATGATGACATTTTTATTCTGAAACCGGTGATGTTTCACAATAACGAGCTTTTTAACACTGATAACATATGACAAAACACGAACACTGTTGGCATGTACAACAAAAAATCAACAGATTTTTTACTTACAGTGCTACCCTCACAGTAAAGTACCTGGAGCAGCACCGCAACTACTATCATAGTTGTGGTCAGAACCAACTATAGCTCCCCAGATCCATCGAATCAGCAACTAACTAACAATGACTCCAGTTAAGGAAATTCTTTAGATTCCAGCATCATGCCTGCCAATGTTATACCTCTTGACACAACCAACCAAGGTAAGTTAAGATATTTTTACGATGTTACTAAGGTGTTTATAAAGTTTTGTGAAGTACTCTTTTTCCTCTATATACAATTTTACATCGATATTCATTGTATAATAAAGTTTTCTCTGAATATTTATGATTTTGAGGCCAATGTACTTATCAGATCCTATATATATTTTATTGATCATATACAGGGGTGGGCTAGAGTCCTCGAAAACAAAGCATGAGCGAATTCCACCCCTCTCAAATGCTTTCAGCATTCATTACCTAGCAGCACTCAGTACCGACTTGGTATATCAGTATACTATTTAAACTCAAATGAACGAAGTTTAATCCTTGTTTTTTTCAGAAAATGTTCATGTTAAGTTTACATTATAACCACTTGTATTTTATTAAAACCATTTTACTATCAGGATTGAGATTACATGCGCTAGTAGGGCTAAAGTATTGTGGAAAATAAATAATAGGGTTCCTTACTGAAAATGCCTTAGTCAAGGGGCCCCTGTATATATATGGGACTGTTTAATAGTCAACCATAATTTTAACATTGGTTTAATGATGAGTTCATAGTTCAAATGAATACAGCTGATTACAAATATTGCATTTTGTCTTTCGCTCCTATCTGAAAATTCATTATATAAATTCTATAATTTCTTCCTGATGTTCAAAGTTTATAAATTAGTTTGTTTTATTTTAGAATTAATATTGTTATACAAACTACAGACATCACAGCAACTGACAATCTACAACATGGATATCAGATACAATGAGGATATAAAGTGGATACAATATAACGAGCACTATTATTTCATTTATTTGAAATTGAATGTTCTGATTTGAACAGAATCTACTATGCAGGTAATAATCTTTATATGAATATATAGAACATGTCATTCGAATTTCCCTTATTTTGTAGACAATATTTAAAATGATGAGTTCATAGTTCAAATGAAATTATGTGATTACATACTAGCATTATGTCTTTCGCTCCTATCTGATTATTAATATAAAATACTTAGGAATGTAACAAATTATATTTGCATATTAATTTGATTTTTTTTTTACAGACCATGATTGTGTCAATATTAGAAATGGATCTTAATTTGGAATATAGTGAATTTTCTGTTACCCACATAGCCGTCTGATGTAAAACATTTCAGGTTAGTTCTTTATATATTTTTACCAGCTTTAAATTAAAAGTAAACAGAACTTATTTGTTAAGAACTTCATTGTTCTTAGATTTATATATTAACCCTTTGATGGCCGAAATAATGGTTACATGAACAGTCAAAAACATGTTGTAGTTCAAGACTTGTTGTACTTATTCTCGTTTCCTACACAATTGCACCTTCTATGTTTGGAATTGCTGATAGTAACTATGAATATATATATATATATATATTATATATATATATATATATATATATATATATATATTATATATATATATATATCCGGTTTTTTAGGCGTTACGCCCGTCCGGTAGGGATCTATGGAGGAGTATCACCAAGCCGCAAGCCCTTATCTCTTGCCGTACTGCTCCACCATAGGCCGATCAGATACCAGCATATCCTAGTCTAAGCCGCAGATTCATCTAGAATTTTAAACTGCTGCGTTAGACTTTTTGTTTTCCGTACACCGAGCTGGGGCTCGACCCACATCCACTGAACCATTCGACAGTGAAGCGAATGAGAGGCAGCCGCACAGCCCGCTGAGCTATCTGACCGACTAACATGAATATACTTTTACGATATCCATGACAAACCTTTCTCTGAAACCCTGTTCCATTCCCTTTGAGTTTTGTTGCTATTCGTATTCAATTTAATGCCATGCCTTGTTTCTCTAGGTGTTCAATAAAAGTTCTCTTAGTCTTCATAGATGTACTGCCTTTCCATCCTGGATACTTATTTGCAATGCAATTAAAGCATTGTATGTGGTTGTATATACAATTAAAAAATAAGCGTAAGAGGACATCACAAACAAGATCTCTTACATGAACATTCTGACACTCGTTTATATTGGACATCAATGCTGTAACAATGTATAATTTTTGGCTTGAAATTTTCATCCGAACCAGGTCTTAGGTGACACAAATGGATTGAGCTAAGAAGTACACACTCCACAAACTTGAATTTATGAGGCAATAAAATATACATTTGTGAGAAATGACTAAAACCTTAAATCATAATAATTTTCTGTTTTGGCTGTCTGAGGGTTGGAAAAAGTAATTTTCAAAAATGATATACATATTTAAAATGATGAAATTATAGTTCAAATGAAAATATTTGATTACAAACTAGCATTGTCTTTCGCTCCTATCTGATTATTTTATTAAATTAATTTGATTTTACAAAGAAAATTACCCTTTTTGATACATTTTTTTCTTTACAGAATGAGTTACGAAACTTTTTGTTTATGAAAAACTATCACAATCACATTTTGAGGTAAGTTTTACAATATTTCTTTATACATTTTGATTTTATTATGGTTGTTCAGAATTTTTTATTAACTGGCATAAGAAAGATATAAAAAAGTCCCCCCAGTGATGATCGATGGCACATCTCTGATCTATTTCACTTCAGTCAATATAAAGAGATAATACTTCTATCGGACCCTTCTATCTATGGTCAAAGAAGAAGAGGAAGACCCAGAACAAGATTCCTAGATAACATAGACCAAGATATGAGAAATATGGAAATATGTGCTTGGCGGAGGAAGGCGATGGATAGGGATGACTGGAAGAGAATCCTTGGAGAGGCTAGGACCCACACAGGGTTGTAAAGCCAAAATGATGATGATACTTCTATCGGAACGTTCTGGCACTTACACTAAAGAAGAGACTAAAAAAATTGGAAGAGAAGAGTTCTTTTCACTAAGCTCTTCCCAAATGATTGATGTGTTCTTAATCATAAGGAGTTTAGTCTTAATAGATCTAAATCTTAAGAAATCTGCCTCACATAAAATATCTACTTCATGATGATGGGCATGCACCACTCTTACATTTATGTGGAGAAAACCATGCCATAAGTCTGATATGAAAAATTTTAAAGTTTTTCACTTTTTTTATACTGAAATTACTTACAAATTGTTTTATTGTTTCAGGTTAGTTGAATAATTACTTTTGAGTCTCGTAAACAGGACCATTATTTTATGTAAGTTCTTTTTTAATAAAAACCTTTAAATTTGTTCAATTTTACATGATGAACGGCATGCACCACTCTTACATTTATGTGCAGAGAACCAAGCCATAAGTCTGATTTGCAAACATGTCAAAACTAGTAACTTTTAATGCTAAAGGTTACAGCTTTATATAACTTATTTTTCTTTTTTCAGGTTAGTTGAAGAATGGCGTTAGTTACAAAACAAGAAGTATGATTTTATGTAAGTTCTTTTTAATGTTATTAAATTTTATTCAACTTAACATGATGATGGGCATGCACCACTCTTACATTTCATGCAGAGAACCACGCCATAGGTCTGATATCTAACAACATTTGTGTTTCGTAAAATTTATAGGAGTGTGACACTAAAATAATTTGTTTTGTTACAGACGGGATGGAAAATGTTTATGGAAGCCAGTTCCGAAAGTGAATTTTTAAAATATTGGTTTGACACAAATTGAATAAAATATTAATCAAAACTACTTCATTTTTTTGCTACACCCAGTCATATATTCCCCTAAACTCAATTCATTTTCTTATATTAATACAATTTCTCCTTTTTTGTTTGTACTTTAGGAAAGACTTCCAAGCAGGTCTCGAATGGAGGTAACTATGATAACACATTGAATCAACTGTTATAAGTTATTGTATAAAAATACTATAGAACTAGTTAATAAAAAATACAACATTCAATTACCTAACAACTCCAGATTAATTTCATTTGACGTAAAAAAAATCTTTTTCCTAGTATCCCTCCTACAGAAACTTTTATTCTAGTAAAAAACCTTTTAGACCAAAATAGTACAAATCCAATAATTACTTCTGAAATTTTATATCTTCTTGAAGTTTGCATTAACCAAGACTACTTTGAATTTAATAATCAAATATATACAAATAATAGTGCAGGACTTATAATGGGCAATCCTCCAAGCCCATTGCTATCAGATATTTTTATGGATCATCTAGAGAAAAGGATTTCAAAACTTCCCGTATTTAAACAGTTTTTATATTGGTGGAGATACGTAGACGACGTACTGGTATGTTTCACAGGAGGCAACTCAATTAATTTTTATCATATATTAATTCACTTCATAATCATATTGAATTTACAATAAAACAACAAAATCAATCCATAAATTTTTTAAATTTAAAAATTATAAGACTTAAAAATAAACATGACTTCTCCATATTTCATAAACCTACCCATACTGACACAATTCATCATCCCATCCAACACAACATAAACTGGCAGCCTATCATAGTATGTTACATAGATTAACAGAAATTCCGATGTCAAAATACAACTTCGAGACAGAATTAAATATCATCAAGCAAATAGCAGTAAACAACGGATACAACGAACAAACAATAAAATGCTAAATGAAAAACTACATAAGAAAGCCCTGAAATTAGCATTTCCACCACCACAGAAAAAAACCCAGTACCTTCTGCTCGATTACATATACAGGCAAAATAGCCAAACACATAAAAAAGAAAGGAATAACGCCAGATTTCCAAACAAATAACAACCTAGGCAAATATATTAAAAATAACAAGAGCCAAAATAAAAAACACTTACACAGTGGTGTGTACAAACTTAAATGTGGCGACTTCCCAAAAACTTACATCTGTCAAAACTGGTAGAAACTTTAATAAACGAATAGCAGAACATAAAAGGGCTTTCAATAATAGAAAAACAGACTACATACGTACTTCCCCTTCTAGATCACAATCATTCTTTTAATGACGAATTTAAAATTCTTTACATTAAAAATAAGGGCCTTAAGCTATCTTTGTTAGAATCTATGGAAATTAACAAATTAAAAAACAGATATAATTCTGAATGACCAACTTGAGACAAACAGTTCTCCCCTCCAGGATGCCAAAAATAGATCACTTGAGAAATGCAATCAGCTGAAACAGCTGTAGTGATAAGTTAAAATAAATTTTGTGGAAGTTTGAAATCGAAGTTTTCAGTGTTTTATTGTTACATAAAATGAATTTCCATCAAGTTACGGTCGAATCCATCAATTATTAATAGAATTTTATGTAATATGCACCTGAACATTGATATAAGAATACGAGTCTTGAGATACTATGTATTTTATACCCTTTTATATGGAGTTGAAGCCTGGACCTTGACGGAGGCAACATCAAAACGATGAGAAGCTTTCGAAATGTGCTATCGCCGCATGCTCAGAATTTTCTATATCCTTCATGTTACAAAGGGCATATGATGCACATGAGAAGTATCAACTAATTTTACAAATCAAGATAGAAGGCAAAAGATCTCAAGGGCGCAGGACATCGTGGTTGAAGAACAACCAGACAGTTTGCAGGAATGACTACCATACATCTATTTAGAGCAGCTGTCAACAAAGTTGTATGGACCAACGTGATTGCCAACATCCACAGAGGAATAGCACCAAAAGAAGAAGGTAGAAACAATTGGAGAAGACAAGAGGACACTATATCTGAGAATAAATTAAATACGACGTAATATTTGTAATTTTTATTCATTTTCTAAATGTGAATTGGTAGATACGGAATCTATTGTTTCGGTCTCGTTTTGCGATCTTGTTGGAGGATTATTAGCAGCAACTCTGTTGTCAGTTTCTTCTTCTAAAGAGTCTTGGTTGTCAGTAGAAAGTCCTTGCGAATCTTCTGGAAGTGAACTCATATCCATGGACGATATAGCTGGGTCTACTTCGGCGTAATCTCCAGATTCATCGCTTGATTCAGACGAAGCTTCTTCTCCCTCGTCCACTTCTACCGAAAGTAGAGATGAGTGAACACCTATAGAATAATGTTAGTTACTTGTGTCCTATAACTAAAAAGGGAAGACAAACTTAAAGAGAATCTTTACCTAATCCGTCTCCTTGGCAATAAAAATGTGGTTCGTCTAAATCGTTTGTAGGTATCAAATTGTCTTCTCTTACTTGGTTGTTTAGAATTTCAAGCATCCAATTGGGAAAACCATTCGTATTCTGCCCCAAATCTAAAAGATAGTCGCAAAGCAATAATCTCAAAGATATTCAACAATATATTCAACTCTGGAAAAATATCAACAGAATGGCTGAAATCTGAGTTTATTGCACTTAAAAAAAAACCAGGAGCCAAAAAATGCGAAGATTACCGTACTACAACCATCGAGCAAAAAGACAAAAGAGGGAATGTAAAGGTAGTGAGGGCAAAATATTGTTAGACAGGAAGTGCGATCTTTAGAGGCCACATTAAACAAGGAAAGAGAGTCTCTCTCCTTGTTTGACAACAAATTTAGTTGGGTTATGTTATTGTTTGTCCCAAATGTCACATGAAATCTTATTTATATTGAAATTTTTTAACAATTGTGTCGCATTTTAGACTATTGCCGTTAATAATTAATTAAAACTTTCTCGTCTAAGACACAGAAAAATATTATATAGCTACTGTTAATAAGTGTCGGAAAATTTAAATTTGGCGCATTCGCATTTCCGGATATGTCCGCCATCAGAGGCCACTTTTTTGGTCTCATTTTCATAACGATTAGATTTCCTCTTTTGTCTTTTTGCTCGATGACTACAACCCTTATGAGTCATCTCCTAAAATTGTTCCTAAAGATAATTCATACACTCTTTATACAAAAGTAAGAATGCTGCGATAATATATATTAGAGATGTGGCTATATCGGAGAATACTTAGGATCCCGTCACAAATGAGGAGGTCCTCAGAAGAATGAATAAGAACCGAGAGGTACTGACCACTATCAAATCTCGAAAGTTACAATTCTTCGGACATATTACGCGAAATGAATCCAGATGTGCTCTCCTTCAAGCTATCTTGCAAGGAAAAATATTTGGAAGAGGTCCAGGAAGAAGTTGGTTAAAGAACATCAGAATCTGGTTCAATACAACATCTGTGCAGCTTTTCTGAGCTGCTGCAGATAAGATAAAGATTGCCATGATGATGATGATCGTCATGATGCCAACATTCGTAACGGATAGGGACATCAAGAAGAAGAATATGTTTCACACTCAAAAATCGTTATGAAAGAGATACCGCCTGGACTAAGTGGTTATTTTCTAAACATAGAAAGCGAGGAACAAAAGTTTTCTTGCAAAAGTGTAAAAAAAATTAATAGAACACAAGTAGATACTGTCCACTTAGAAATCATTAAGTAAAAAGAGGGGATAAAGGTAATTGATTAATGGTAACTTCTAGAAACTTCTACAGGAGGACTTCTACAAACAGTAAATACGGAGAATGTATATGAGGAAATATACTGAGAATCGCTTATCGTACACTTTGCCACAGCATATAATAATAAATTTGAATGATTGTTTTGACTACTTCTTACCAAGCGTTTCCAACGGATCTAGAAGAAGAGGAACAACAACGATTAAATCATCAAAACTCAAGTAATTCGTACCCATTGAGTTTTCTGGATGTTGTGCATTTTCTTCAGGAATCGAAACATCGGTGTCGAATGCTGTTAGGTCTATTGTGGAATTCGGATCTGCAACTGCCTCTGTGCTTGATTGTTCTACCGAATTTGTCATACTTCCCTGCAAATCAGTCTTAAGTAAATAAAATCTAATGGATAAATGTAATTTTTGAAAAATTTATTTTAGGAATATTTAGGAATTATAGGAGGAATAAATACTTATTCAGGAGTAACCAGAAGCACAGAAAACTGGAAACTGATAAAAAATTGGGAAAAGAAAGGAATAAAGAAGTAATACAGAGCATAAAACCTGAAGACTGGGAAGAGTATTTCAAAGAAATTTTTGGTAGAGAATAAAGTCGAATTTGAAGAACATACAAATCAAAACCAAGATAGAATTACAATAGTCGGCTCGCCAATAAGATTAACAATAGATGAAATTAAAAATGTGTGTAAATAGCTGGAGAGGAGCAAAGTGTTACGAACATGCTTTTAGCATGGCCCATGTAAGGGTTGCATCTCGAAACGGCTTCGAGAACCATCCCCAGATCTCTCGAACGCAAGAGAACAATCGGTCACGTACGCAGATGTGGGAACTTTCTAGAACATAGTAACTTTACTTAAGCTTTTTTTACTTGAGCGAAGAAATAAATAAAGAACTTAGAGAGAGGGCCATAGAAGAACACCTATGAAACAACCGCGCTAAGTGGCGATTGGATGTCGGAAAACTGTGGAGAACGTTATAAACCGACAAGTAGTAGTAGTGAAACATTTTGTTGGATGTTTGTTTTAGGAATAACTAATTTATGACGGGATTTATAAAACTTCCGTAATTTAGGTATAATTAGACGTCTCCAGACTTTTGGTCCACTATGTATATTATATTGAGAGAACCGGTACGAAAACGAAAACGCTCTCTTTTCACTCGAATTTTTTAATTAATGAGAACATAGAAATGTTACTTACTTCACTTACTGCATCTTCATAATATTCGTCACAGTCGCAGTGAGAAATACCGTCCGAATCATTTATATCGATAACATTGTCTTCTGAACGTGCTCTTTCTTCTCGACTGTCAGCAAATTCATCAGACGTTGATATTACCGAAGATACTAAAGACGGTATTGGCTGAGAAGTTGTTGAGGGTTTTAACGGCACTTGAAGATTTAAGTTAATTATGTTGTTTTCTATGATAAATTTGCTGGGAGAAATACCATTGATATCTGTAAATAGTTTTATTATAAATTTGAGTAACAAATAGAGTATTTAGCGTTGTGGATTCACATATCCACTACCAAGAAATAAAACAAAGATGGTTTTAGATTTAATTTTAATGCAGGGCATCTGCCTGCCGCTTATACGTATTTCAATCTTATTAGGTCTCCTCAGAGCAACTTATGCAGAGGCTCTGAATTAAAACTAAATTTCTTCCGTGATAGTACAATAAGTATTAAAATAATTAATGGGCCTCTAGGGGCCTCTCTTACCCTCAATATTGCCTTGTAGAATCAACTGTAAAAGTCGGTATTTATAATTACGGATGATGTGGCCAAACTAAGCCAATTTGATTTTCTTTACGGTATTAATAATTTCTTTGTCTTTTCTTAGCCTCTGGAGAAGAGTTATATTACTTACTTACTTACTTACTCCGTGGCGTTACAACCCTTCGTGGGTTTTCTCTACAACATGCCTCCACTGTTTTCTGTCTTGAGCAACCTCCATCCAATTCTCCACGCCCATAGTGCTTAGGTCTCCTGCTATATTATCTCGCCACCGGAGACGAGGGCGTCCGCATGGTCTCCTTCCAGTTGGGACTTCCTCCCACGCCGGTCTTACTATTCGTTAGAATGTGTTCTGAGGTGTCCTGCCCATTGAAGTCTTCTGGACTTTATTTCCTTAATGATGTTGGCGTCTGGGTAAAGTTCTTCGAGCTCTTTGTTAGTTCTTATCCTATATTGTCCTGATGCTTCATCCAGCACAAGACCAAAGATCTTCCTTAGGATTTTTCTTTCCCAAACACATAGTCTCTCTTCGTTTGCCTTTGTTTTCGTCAACTTTTCGCTTCCATACATCACAATGGGTCGAATGATTGTCTTATAGACCTGTATCTTCGTACGTCTTGTTAGTTGTTTCTTTGTCCTTCTCGATGAAATACTGTATTCGGTTTTTAGATTCTTGCACTTCTGATTATGTGCTCCAGATCTAAGTTGAAAAATTGTCGTGAAAGTGCATCTCCCTGTTGTAGTCCATTGTCCAATGTCTCCGAGTATTGCTGTCTCACTTAATCTTTCACATCCTAACCTTTCCATACACATCCGTATCAACCTGACTAGTTTTTTTGGAAAGCCAAATTCCTGCATCGCTGTCCACAGTCTGTCCCTGCATACTCTATCAAATGCTTATTTAAAATCTATGAACATCTGATAAAGCTCACGATCAAACTTCCAGTATTTTTCCATTATCTGTTTTATTGTGAATATCTGGTCAATAGTATAGTGGCCCGGTCTAAATTCGAATTGATAATCTCCAACGATTTCTTCTGTGTATGTTTTGGTTCTTTCTAGCAAGATATTTGCAAGAATTTTGTAGGTGGTGTTTAGGAGTGTTATTCCCCTGTAGTTAATACATTGCTTTTTATTTCCTTTTTTGTGTATTGGTACAATAATCCCTTCTTTTCATTCATCTGGCATTGTTTCTTCTCGCCAAATGTCTTGAATTAGCTTGTATATAGAACAGTACAACGCTTCTCCTCCATATTTTAAGCACTCTGCGGGTATACCATCGCTTCCTGGTGTCTTATTATTTTTAAGTTTTTTTAATTGCCTGTATTACTTCTTCGTATGTCGGGTATTGGTCTTCTATTTCAGCTCTATGTACCTCTATGTTTGATGTATTTCTGCTAGATTGGTCGTTCAATAGTTGATAGAAGTATTCCTTCCAGGTTTTTAGGATTGCCTTGTCATTCGTGATGAGCTGCCCGCTGTCGTTTTGAAGGAAGTTTCCTGTTCTTGCTTGGTACATGGTCTTGATATCTGAAACTCCTTTGAAGAACTGTCCCGCTTATTTGTTCTTTCTTTTTTCTTCTATATCTCTGATTATTTGTTCCTGATACTTCCTCTTCTTCCTTTTCATTAGTTTTCTTGTCTCTGTTCTTTTTTGTCTATACATTTCATTGTTCATGGTCCTTCTAGCCATATTTCTTGCTGTTGTGGAGTTCAGGCAATCATCATCGAACCATTTTTTTGTTGTTTTCTTTTTGTGTCCTAGTATTTTATCTGATACGCTTGTACGAGCTAATTTTTCCAAGATGAGTATATGTTGTTATAGTCTTCTGTCTGTGTTAGAGCGTATTTTATAGCCTTTTGAAATTTCTGTTCTATCTCGTTATTACGTAGAACTTCGGTATTCCATAATTGTGTTGGTGTATTCTTGTGTGTGTTTTTTTTGGACGCTATTCTTGTCCTTATCTTCGCTTTTACCAGAAAATGATCCGTGTCTCCATCAGCTCATCTTAGGCTTCTTACGTCTAGACAGTTTACAATGGTTTATTTATTTACTCCGTTTCGAGCGCTAGGAACTAATTCACTAGGAATTTTTGCCGTGATGAACGACACGTGGAATGCAAATTGTAGATTCTCTTATCGACTTATTCATCAATATGTATGTTTAAAACCGTCTTTCTAGTCTTCACAAGAAAGGGACGGAGATAAATATAATATTAAAATTTCTATTCCTCGATTGCTATTTCGGAAACTGCCACTAGATATAAATGAGCTACACTTAAAAATTTCTACTTACTTGCATTTCCTCTAACATCAATGAGAGAATCAGTAATTCCATTCACATCCAGACATTGCATTTGACTTTCATCAATGTCTGGTATCAAACAATTACCAGTAAACGTCGATGGACCATTATCAAATACAATACTCCTGTCATCGTCCACATTTAGTACATTCAAAGTATTTTTTATAATGCAGTTCGTCAAAGATTTCATATCTTCTAATAGGGTTGGTTCATAGTTACTGTCTGAGGTAGGAATCTTCATTTTTCTCTTCTTTAGTGGAGGAAAAGTGGACGGGCCTGCTATGGGGTCGATTTCTTTAAAAAACATTTTACGAATCCTTTGGTGGAGTTTAAGGACACGGCCAATGGCATTTTTTGTTGACTTGATATCAGGAAACCTGTTATTTAGCAAATTAAAATTTAATATTAATTAATAAATTAATAAATTAAATTAACTTTTTAGCTGTTCGCCTGGCGAATGGACAACGATTTTATTTCACGAAAGACAACGCATCTCGTGACAACGCAAATCATGAAGTGGCTACTCATTACATCTAATTTGAACTGACATGAAGGCGTCTATTAAGGACGCTGAAGAGCGGATTCTAAAATCAATCATCTGATAATCATTGCATGATTACAAACATAAAACATAATGCTGGAAGACTCTATCTGGCAACTAAAGTAAGCTAGTAAATATTTGAATAAGCCAGAATAAAAGCCTTATCTGTCTGCTGGAGAACACATGGGAATGGTAAACAGAAAAGTGCAAAATATGAAATATTTAACTACAGAAGTCAGAATTCGTGAAATATACTAGGATGTAAAGAAAAAAATTGTTTCAAGCATTCAAAAATGTTGTTTAATTTTCTAAAATTATAAATATTTACCTGTCTAATTCATTAATTCTAAAATCCAATTTTTCATTATCTACATTGTTTGGTACACTTGAAAATGAGTGTGTTTCGAAGTGTAAAGCTTTTTTCAAATGCAGTTTGTTATTTTCATCGGATGGTATACGAGAACTTATTGTATCGTCAAATGTATCCGTTTCTTCTTGATCTTCCCATTTATTTTGGGACTTTTCAGCTACGAAAATTAATCTCAATTTTGATTTTGCAAAAAAAATGTGATGAAAATATCAATTTAGCTGTGGAGCAAACTAGAATATCTAGCCAAAATAACCACAGATATGAAGTGTATAAACTGATAATCTTAGGAAAGTACATTACAGCAACACGTTCCCGGGACCTTAGCCATTTCCATATCCATTAATGTATCGAGCAAAAAAAAGGACTCTAATTATACGGACTAACTATTGAACTGAGAGCCTTGTTTGAAATTCAGTGCTAGTTGACAAGTTATTAAATTAAACAAATTTTGTTTTTTTATCTAATTAATTTATTGTTTAAAAGAAACTTATTTTGGCACTAGATTGTGGCTTATTCCTAATAAATTGCCTTAAGAAAAATAGCTTCAGAACAGTATACAAGAATTGTTAGTAAATTTTACCTAAGGTTTTAGACAATTGTGTTCATAGATGTTAAGTAACTTTTCTAGTGCCAAGCAAAGGAGAAGAACATAGCAAGTATACTGTTGAGAAAGTTCTAAGTATTAGTAGTAAAGTCCGTGCAAGCACTCTTGACCACGGCGCAGTAGACGAAATTTGGTTTAGTTTCCACTTCCATGCGAAACGCACTGTACTATGCAACGTGAAAATATCGACTTGAAAATTTTTAGTTGTGTTTCTGACTTTGAGGTGTTAACTTCAATAAGTTTGTGTGTTTTCTTCCGTTTACCTGTTGCGTATTCAAATTTATTAAAAGCGGTCAAAAGGTAGGTATTTTATCATAAATTAAAATACATAGGGGCGCATTAAGGAAATTTTAATAAAATTTTTTCATTTCTTTTTTGTTTTGAGACTGGTGCAAAACAAAAATTACTTGCAGTCTGTTTTAATTAATCGGTTTATATTTGATATTGGAAAATCTTTTTTTTTAAACTACTTCGTATGTTACGATTTATGTTGATTTGAGTTTATATTTTTTTGAAGTCTTTGTTTTTTTAAAATATTTTTATATTTTCATTTTCTTCACAGTGCCATCACAATTAATAACAGCGTGTTAATAACAATGTGTATAGTTTTTAAAAAAGGAGCGAGAAAAAAACAACACAAAATCTTTGGTTTTAAATATGGTTGTGGAAGCCACGAAATTTCTAAAAGTAGCGTCCAAAGAATCATTAAAGAAGGAGAGAGAGTTTCCGATTTTTCATCTCCTTCAGGAAGCTCGGGAAATGTCTTTAAATCTCCCAGAAAAAAGATTAATCAGCCAAAACCGAAAACCAACGTCTATGGTTATGAGGGAGAAATTATAAGAAACACAGTGCATACTTTTGCAATGATTCATGGCAGCAGGCCTACAATGTCAGCTGTTTACAACGCTGTTAAGAATGAGATTAATTTCCAAGGTAAATTATCGTCGTTCAGAAAAGTGTTGAAGAAATTAGGTTTTAAATGGCAAAAAACAAATGACAACCCAAAAATACTCATGGAAAAAACGGATATTCGAGCCAAACGAACCGAATATCTAAAAAATATAGAGCTGAGGGTTATGATGTTATCTACACTGATGAAACGTATCTCCACAGCAGCAACCTTTTAAGGAATTCAGGTATATAACTAAATCCAACTAATTACTAAAAGGAAATCCACATATAGGTAGGTAGCACCTAATTATTGTTCTATTGTTTCTAATTGTTCTTATCTAACCTCATTGCAATTTTTAGTAATCTCTGATTTCTGGTAGATATGACGTATGGAGAATTCCAAACAAATTATAAATCAATCATTAGCATTCAACAAATCAGTAAACAAATTATCACTAAATCAAATTATTCGCTGTACTCTTTTTTGAATATCGTTTAATTTACCGTCCTAAATACACTTATAAATAAATACAAAATTATATAATTTGTAAGTAGGTACAACTGTTTAGAAATTTTAAAAATAAATTATTAAATTAAATGTGTATTAGTTATTCATCTCATAATATTAGTTATATGTTTCAACTTAAAATATAAACTTATAAACAATAATTTTGCAATAAATAATAGGGCTTTACCAGTTCGATTGTAGCAGCGGAAGCGAATAGTTCTCTGTGTGATCGAAGTGCTAATTAATAGAGTTGTTGTTGTTTTTACCAAAAAATGGAATTAAATTCAGATGGTAGAGGAAATCCACCTGACAGAGGAAGGATTGACGATATCGCTAGTAATATGGATTATGAAGTTAATGAAAAACAAAAGCAGTCTGAGGAAATTATAAATATTGATATTAATACACAATCAAAACAGGTACCGATAACAAATTCAAAAAACTTTTTACCGGATTATCAGGTAAGCAATAAAACAAATATTAATATAGGCCAGCCAATAATGTCAGAGGTGAAAAATAAATACAGTCAAGGTGACCAAGGTCCTTATTTTGTTTTTATGCAGAATAAGGAAGGTAACATTGGCCGATTGCATCGCATAGCGACAGCACGATTAATTTTAGGTGCAGTACCTGCAATTAAAGATAATATTGTTAATATTAATATTATAGGAAAAAATAAAATTAAAATTGAATGTAACACATATAAAAGCGCTAATATTTTAGTGGAATGTAAAAAGTTAATAGAAAGAAATTACGATTTATATATTCCAAATTTTTTTACTCAGAAGAGTGGGGTAATTAAAGGGGTAGACAAAAATATTTCAGAAAACGAATTAAAAGGTATTATTGTTCCAAGATACGGCAATTTTAAAGTAATAAACGTTAAAAGAATAAAGCGAAAAGAAAATGATCAACTGGTGGAGACGGGTACGATAGTGGTGTCTTTCAGAGGCCAAATGATTCCAAAACAAGTAATCATTGAACGAATGATATACCAAGTGGAACCTTACGTTCCGAGAGTAATACAATGCCTTAATTGCATTAGATACGGACACGTTACGTCACAATGTCGAGGTAAGAAAAGATGCAGCAAGTGCGGACAGGAGCATGATTCAGATGTATGCGATTTAACAGATCCCACTTGTATATTATGTTTCGGAAACCATTCAGCATTAGATCGAAACAAGTGCGCTGAGTTTGAAAAACAAAAGGGCATTAAATATATAATGGCAAATGAAAATTTACCTTTTGAAGAAGCAAAATTAAAATACAGCAGTAGCTATAGGACAGTCCTGAATTCAACAAACACAGGAAATAGGTACACAGTGACAACCAAGAGAAAATGGAGCGAAGGAGCTCAAAATAAATCAGTTTATCCTTATTCAAAAGAACACGAAAATATACTGGACACTGCAAGCACTTCTGCTTACCCGTCGCTACCAATTATAAACAACCCATTATATCAAAATCAAACAAAAATAGTCCAACAAAACTCACTAACTAGTAAACAAATTACTGATAATATAGTAACAATATTTAAAAATTTCTTAGACAAAAACTTAATTCCAATAGCAAACAAACAAATTTTAGACGACATTAAAAGTAATATAGAAAAAAACACAGAAGTTAAAACACTTCACAAATGTGTATTTAGGTATAAAACAAACAAGTTAAAACTTTTTAAAAAAGTGTCGTCACATTTAAAGTTCTGGCAGAACGTTTTCGATCACTACGGATCATCTTCAGTGCCTCGTATTTGTTGCTAACTATATAAATATGGTGTCTATAAGACTACCATGTTTGATTTGGTAAAGTGTCACATTTTACATTAGGTAATGTTGATACTGTAGGTCGATGACAATGGATGTATTTAAAATTTATTACTTTAGGGACTACATGTCTCCTAAGCTCGAGTACTTGCACGTTGTCAGTTGAAGCGACGACACAGACCAGGTCTGTGTCGTCGCTTCAACTGACAACGTGCAAGTACTCGAGCTTAGGAGACATGTAGTCCCTAAAGTAATAAATTTTAAATACATCCATTGTCATCGACCTACAGTATCAACATTACCTAATGTAAAATGTGACACTTTACCAAATCAAACATGGTAGTCTTATAGACACCATATTTATATAGTTAGCAACAAATACGAGGCACTGAAGATGATCCGTAGTGATCGAAAACGTTCTGCCAGAACTTTAAATGTGACGACACTTTTTTAAAAAGTTTTAACTTGTTTGTTTTATACCTAAATACACATTTGTGAAGTGTTTTAACTTCTGTGTTTTTTTTAAACGATGGTATACAGCCAATTACGGGGTTTTTCCCATTAATTTTGTAATATAGAAAAAGTTTTAAATGGGCCTAGTAAATAATAAGATTTTACAATGGAATTCACGATCAATAGTGAACAATAAAGGCCATTTTGAAAAGTACATTTTCGAAAATAAATTCTTAGCTATTCTTTTAAGTGAAACTTGGTTAAAACCGAATTCAAAGATAAGCTTCTCCCAATATAACATATTCCGTGAAGATAGATCAGATGGTTATGCCGGAGTAGCGATATTATTAAGAAAAAATATCAATTTTCAGAACAATTTAAATTTTTATAAAATAAATAATGTCATGTGCGTTGCAGTACAGATTAAAATAAATAATAAAAACTTAAATTTATATTCCATTTATGCAAAACCCAAATTATGTGTGTCAAAAAACGAATGGGTTAAATTTTTTAATAGTTTACAAAAACCTTTTTTAATAGGGGGAGATTTCAACTGCCATAATAAAATGTGGGGCTGTGATGTCACCGATCAAGAAGGTATTTATCTTTTTGAGGCTATGGAGGAATGTGGACTTAATTTCCTAAATGATGGGTCAGAAACATTAATTCGTAGACCTATGAATTTAAATAGATCTGCTATAGACTTAACAATTTGCTCTAGGGATATTTATTACAAATTTAATTGGCACACAGAAACTTTGAGTCTGGGTTCTGATCACTACCCAATAGTAATAGAATTTAACCATAATACTAATAATAACGTCACTAATAGCAATAGTGTCATTGAAACTAATGATATATCTAGATCTAGAATTACATGGAATATTAAAAAGGCAGACTGGGCTTTCTTTACCTATCTCTTAAACAATGAAAAGAATAATAATATATCAGATGGTTCAGAGCAAGAATATTCCACATTTTGTGACTCTATCAATTTAGCTAGTAAATGCTCTATTCCAGAGAGGAAAGGGAAGCCCAATGCAAAATTTAATAAACCATGGTGGAATGATGATTGTAGGGACGCTATAAGACAACAAAAAGAAGCTTTTTTGCAGTTTAAAAGACTATCTAATTACGATAATTATTTAAAATATCAACAAGCAGAAGCTTATAAAAAAAGAATTATTTTAGGCAGCAAAAGAGCTTCTTGGAAAAACTTTTGTAATAGTTTAAATAAAAATACACCAATTAGCAAAATATGGAATGAAATAAGAAAATTAAAAAACGTTTATAATCCTCCCAATAATCCGATAGTTGTAAGTGAGTGGACAGATAAATTTTTTAATAAAATTGCTAGACCTTGGGTTATAGAAGGAGAAATTAATCACAGGAACCCTACGGATAATAGACATGACAATGACGAAGCAAACAAAGACAACATATTTCTCACACAAGCATTTAGCATGGAAGAATTAAAGAACTGCCTAAAAAGACATAATAATTCAGCTCCAGGATTAGATGGTATACACTATAGTATGTTGTATAATTTACCCATACATAAAAAAGTTCAACTACTAAATGTAATAAACAATATCTGGATGAGTATGGATATACCAAGTGCATGGAAAGAGTACATCATAGTTCCAATTCTCAAGCCACACAAATCACCAAACTGTCCGGATTCGTATAGAGGCATTTCACTATCATCATGTGTGTTAAAAACAATGGAAAGAATGATTAAATGTAGACTAGAATTCTGGTTAGAAAAAAATTCTAAAATACCTGTAACACAATTCGGCTTTAGAAAATCATGTTCTACGATGGAAAATTTAACGCACTTAATACTGGATATATATAACTCATTTTCCGTCAACAAGTCGGTATTTGCTACATTCATAGATATTGAAAATGCATATGACAATGTGAACCTACAACTTCTATACCATAAAATGAAAGAAATCGGACTGCCAGATATACTCTGCTGGAAACTTCATCAACTTTACATCAATAGAACTCTTTATCTTCAAATTAATAACAAACTAATAGGACCGAGAGTTTCAAACATCGGGTTACCTCAAGGGAGCATCTTAAGTCCAATATTATATACTATTTACACAGCTCATATAGGTCAAAGCATAATAACTAGCAAACAAGGTAAAATATTACAATTCGCAGATGATATATGCATATATGTAGATCAATTGGAAATCGAACAAGGCGGTAGAAAAATAAATACAGTATTTAAACATCTACAAGAAGACTTAGATCAAATAGCATTAAACATATCAACCAAAAAAACACAAGCTTGCATATTCTCCCGAAAACGAAACATTCCAGAAGTAGTGGAGTTGCAAAATGTCTCGTATAAAGTTCAACCCAAAGTTAAATATTTGGGTATTATACTGGATAGAAAAATGATTTGGAAAGATCATATTGAGTACATCATAGCAAGAGCTGACAAAGGGTACAATGCGTTACGAGCAGTAAACTATACAACCTGGGGAGCAGATCCCAACATAGCATTACTAATGTATAGATCATATATAAGATCAATATTAGATTACGGATGTTACTTTTACAATCAAGCCGCCAAAACCCATCTTCAAAAAATAGACATCCTTTCAAATAAATGCCTCAGATTATGTATAGGAGCTTTGATGAGTACTCCAATATCAAATCTAAGCGTAGAATGTAATGAACCACCACTATGGTTAAGAAGGAAAACTATGTGTGAAAAATTTATAACTAAAATGATAACTAAAGAGAGCATAATATGTAACAACTGCCACAAACTTTATATAAATGACCTAACCACTGAATACTGGAGGAAAAAGCCAACATTACTACTTGCCGAAAGTTACAATAGAATAAGACAATTTAAAAATAATCTATACACATCAACTCTGTCATCCATGCATCAGATAAATCTCAACAATATACCAAACATACAACCAACCTACATGAGAGATTACTCGAAATTTCCAGTTTACTTAAGGAATGCCATGTTTAATGTGGATATAGAAACTTTATTTCCGGAACATTACCAAATTTATACCGATGCCTCAAAAATGAATTCGAGAGTGGCCGCTGCCGTGTGGGACCCTAGGACAAGGTATAAAGAGGGTATACGACTTAATGAAAATTTTACAACATTTTCAGCAGAACTTATTGCAATACTAAGAGCAATGCAGTATATAAGCAGTATAAACAATAACGAAGAGAAATTTCTAATCCTTACAGACAGCAAAAGTGCTTTACTTAAACTGGAAAGTTTGAAGGACATATCAAACTACATATGTATTGACATTATTAAAGCATATATCGCACTTAAGGCTAAGGGCAAACAAATATCATTTTGTTGGGTAAAAGCTCACTCTAATCTTAAACACAATGAAATAGTAGATACTTTAGCTAAGAAGGCCACCGAACAAGAAAATGAAAGTGATTATAAATTAACATTAAATGATGTTTACGCAAATATTACCAGCAATAAAACCAAAACCTGGCAGCAATGGTATAACCACTCAACTAAAGGGCTATTCTACAAAAACATACAATTAAATATTCCAGCTAAATCCTGGTTTAATCATTACCACGGCGAAAAAATCGTTGTTTCATACATATGCAGACTTAGATTTGGACACTGCCTAGTTCCAGAACACAAATTTAAAATAGGTCTTAGTGATAGTAATCTTTGTGAATGTGGTGAGTTAGGATCTGCAGAACACATGATACTAAACTGTAGACTAAAGATAATAGAAATAAATCAATTCATGAATCAAGTATATAGCGAAACCAATATTACAACACCTTTTAATCTAAAAACAATATTATCTAGTTTAGACGAACGTGTATATGAGATCCTAATTAAACACATACTTAATATAAAATTAAAATTGTGAACTATTAATACCTGTGTTTATCCCATTTGTCTACCTATCTTTCCGTGGTCTAGTCTTGTGTGTGTGCATTGCTCTGAAAGACCCCTGAGCAGAAGTACTCCTTGTTGACACTCCTTATAATGTAAATAAAAAAAAAAACAAAAAAAAAAAAAACAAAAAAAAAAGAGAAAAAAAAAGAAGAAAAAAAAATACATTACATATATATAAAAAAATAAAATGAAAAAAATAATAATAATAATAATAAAAAACATACAATAAAGAATAATGTGAATAATACTAGAATATATTTTATGATATAGATATATCTATATCAATGTGTAATAATGTATGATTGTAACCGAAGATTAAATTATTCATTTATTGTTATAGAATCTAGGTATATCTTTAAAATACAAAATCTTATCTTAATAATAATATGTGACATAAATATTTGTAGAGCAAAAATAAGTTCGGCTAATGGATTAAGTCCACAGTCAGGAAATTCGATGACACCACACACACACAATAGGGCTTTTTTCACGTTTAATACCGAAAGTTGAGTTTTAAAATACCAAATTAAACCCAGCTTTTAAAAAAATTTGAACAAAAATCATTACAAATATATGCATACAAAATGCACATAAAAAACCATTTTGGTTATGCACCGTGCAATTTTTTATTTATTACTCAATCCAACACTGTAATTATTTCGACAATTTCGAGGTTGCAGTCGAAGGTAGAACGTTTTAGTTTGGTTAGTATAATTCCACTTACAATAGAATCTTTCTGTCTTTACCTGAATTTTGACTCCACCTTCGCGCAACTACATGGTCAAGAGTGCTTACAAGTACTATTTTATTTACACAATTTTCTGGAAGCAAGTTTCAGAAAAAACAGTAAAATTCAGTTATTAAAAGCTTTACATTAATCTAAAATACATGTTTGGACTATAATATTATTTTACTATATTAGGTTACCTTGTAGTTGTTGCGGAGTTTCCAATGGTAATGAATTGTTGGTGACTTCATTTAAACAATTTTCTTCTGTTAGTGTCGAAGGTTCGCCTAATTTCGCTTTTACATCTGGAAATAAAAATAGATGTAGAAAGGAACGAAAGAAAGAAATAGAATTTTTTTAAAATTAATGGGGAAAACCCCGTAGTTGGCTGTATACCATCGACTAAAAAAACACAGAAGTTAAGACACTTCACACTTGCATTGTGGTATAAAAAACAAATAGTTAAAACTTTTTAAAAAAGTGTCGTCAAAATTTAAGTACTAGCATAACGTTTTCGACCTGAATAGATCATCCTCAGTGCCTTGTCTAATTGAAGCTAACAATAAAGTTATCGGTGAAACCACCATACATGGGTTTACATCATTTAAAATGTTACATTTTAATTATGTTGTGACTTTAGTTCGATGACAATGGATAATCGAGTAATTAAAATTTATCCATTGTCATCGACCTAGACTCTAGAGTCACAGCATAATATTTGGAATGTTGTAAACCCATATATGGAGGTCTCACCGATAACTTTATTGTTAGCTTCAATTATACAAGGCACTGAGGATGATCTGTTCAGATCGAAAACGTTATGCTAGTACTTAACTTTTGACGACACTTTTTTAAAAAGTTTTAACTATTTGTTTTTTATACAACAATACAAGTGTGAAGTGTTTTAACTTCTGTGTTTTTTTAGAATTTTTTTATTTACTTTTGAAATTATCAAAAAAGTTTTTTTGTATAATCATTGAAATTATTGTTTCGCAATCATAGTAGCAACTAAAACCTCGGAAAAATTGAGTCCATTTGAAATTCACCGTAAAAAACTTACTTTTTTTTTTAATTTGGCTGGAATAATCTGTCGCAATGATGACATAATTTTTACCCTCCACAGGAAATCTCGGAAAATCAACATAATTATAATTAATCTAAGGAATATAATAATATAATGTGTAAAAAATTACCTGAAATTTAATTTATAAAATATATAAGTATTATTACATCATTGATATAAAATGAAAAGAAATATATGTTGATTTTCCGTGATTTCCGGAGGTGGGTGGGGGAAATTATTTTTCCGATGTTTCCCATATTTTCTGGCCAGTGAAAACTATATAGTTGTGCATATTTCCAGTCTAAAAAAGAAGAGGCATCTAGCTGCAATGGAAGCCGAGATAATTAAATTTTTTCTACGTGTTTCAATTTGAAGTTCCGATCTTGAAAATAAAAACGGAGCTGAAACAGTTATCCCCTCTACTTTCCTATGTCAATCTTTCAAAAGTACCTTCGTTTCGAAGGGCTGTAAGTTTCGAAAAATTGGATGAATTTTATAGCTATGTTTCAATATAAAGTTTAGATTTTAATTCAAAATGTGTGCAAATTTTACTTCTTAATGTTTATAAACAATGGAAATACGATTTTTTTCTTAATTTTTTTATTTTTTTAAGAATAGTCCCTAAATTTCGAAATTTCGCACAAATTTAAAACACGGTAATTCCTTGATGTTCAAATGTATTATAGTGTATTTTTATGTATGAGAGAGTAATAAAACAATAAATTATGTATGCAAAGCCCTAAACTGTTGATACGGGTGACTCAATGAAAAACAGATATTTGTCAACAAGTTTACAGAAGTATATAGGAAAACAATTTTAAATTGAGTATGACCATCAGGTATAAAGGTTGGAGCAGAATAGAATACAATAGTTGTGAGGGTTACTAATCCCTAAATAAGGTTGCCAGTGTCGGAGTGATGGAGGTTAACAAGTACTAATGAATTTGCAAGAAATGTAAGATGTTTATTTTATTGGTTATATATAACCAATAAAAGTTTAATAAGTACCTACCTAGTTGCAAAATAAAGTTTAATTCTTTAGATAAAATAAAACGTTTTTTTTATCTGAAATGAGTGCATTCCACGAAGTAAGGGTTTCAACAATCAAACATTTAATTCTTTAATTCCAGGAATCTACGACAGTAATTGACTAGATAATTACCTTCTAAACTTATTCCACAGAAAATGTGATAGTGGGCTTTTCCATTTTGTAGGAAGGTCCAAGTGGCGTATTCATAATTCTTAACAGTTCACTAAAAGTAGGTACTTCAGTTACAAGGTGCAGTTTATTGTGCATACTAGTGTTATGGAAAATTTGGAAGTGCCGTGTAAACGCCGAAAAATTGGTCCTTTAATAGTTAATGAAAAAACATTAATATTTAATTGTTTTAAATCATTTACAGACAAACGTTTATGTGAAAGTGTTGATGAGACCGTTGAGTTAGTTAGCAGTACACTTGGTGTTGGGAAATCTACGATTTACAGAGTTATTAAAGAAGAGAAATGTGGTAGTTTTCAAATGCCACGCAATGCTCCAGGGAAACCAAAATTTCAAATAGAATATCATTTTAAAGAAGGACTTCGACGGAAAGTGCATGAATTCTTCTTTAGACAAGAATTTCCAACATTGGATAAAGTTCTTGTCTCAGTTCGAGATGATAAGGATTACCCAGAAATGAGTCGAATTACGTTATGGAAACTTTTAAAAGAAATAGGCTTCCCCTGGAAAAAGAATCCCAGAAAGTCTATTTTATTAGAAAGAAGCGATATTTTCATATGGAGAAGACATTTTCTAAGAACCATAAAGGAAATGAGAAACCAAAAAAGAAAAATATTTTATCTTGATGAAACATGGATCAACGAGGGTCATACACCAAATAAATTTTGGCACGATGAAACTGTTACAAGTCAAAGGCACGCTTTTGTAAATAACTTATCTACTGGTTTAAACCCACCATCAGGAAAGGGACGCAGGCTGATAATAGTACACATTGGCAATTCAGACGGTTTTGTTGAAGGTGGTTTATTAACTTTTGAATCAACTCGTACCGGTGACTACCATGAAGACATGAACGCTGATGTCTTTCAAGAATGGTTCGAACAAATGATAGATCTTCTTCCCAAGAACTGTGTAATAATAATGGATAATGCAAGTTATCACTCCAGACTTATAGAAGGACTGCCCACAACCAAGTGGTTAAAAAAAACTTGCAGAATTGGCTGAGTTCAAAAAATATTACGTACCATCCCGGATCTATAAGAAAGGAACTTTATTCGTTGTGTGCCCTTCATAAAGAAAAATTTTAAAAATACGAAATTGATGAAATTGCCAAAAATCGTGGAATGACAGTACTTAGATCCCCACCATATCATTGTGAATTAAACCCGATTGAACTGGTATGGGCACAGATAAAGAGTGAAGTTTCAAGAAAAAATACCACTTTTAAAATTCATGATGTTAAACAGTTGTTTTTGGAGGCAGTAAATAATGTAAAACCTGAAAACTGGGAAAAGGCAGTAAATCCCACTATTAAAGAAGAGGAAAAAAATGTGGAAGCTTGACAATATTACTGATAAAATGATCGAGCCAGTTATTATAAATCTTGGTTCTGAAAGTTCATCTTCTGAATCTGATTTGGATTTGTAACAAGCAGCTGTAAGTTTTATATTAATATTTTTATTCATCTATTTAACATGCCTTAGCCGGTTTTAAAAACTCTTTTTCTCTTTTGTAATTTTTAAAAATTAAAAAAAATGTGAATTTTTTAAAACCCTTTTTAATGTAGGCCAGTCAGTTCTAATATAGTGTGTGATAAAAGAGGTCACTTTTGTTTACATACACATAACACTTTATAACATTGAAATAATTCATTTTTTTTTACAATTATTCAAAGTAATTTTTCAATTAATCTTGAGCACGCCCATGGAGTGGTTGGAGATACCAGTTAAAATTATGCTAATTACTCTCTCGTTCATAAAAATAAACTATAATAAAATTTTATTTTGTTAATAAAAAAATTAATAAAATTTATAAATTAGTGCCAAAAAACTGCTTTTTTGCGAATAACTCCGTAAATTATTTATCAATGTTAACTTAAAAAACGGGAAAATAAAGTTATTATTGATATAAAAAAATATATGAATAGTATTGTTACGATAAATATGTCTCGTAAATATTTTAATTCTCATTTATGTTCTAGCTATTTTATAGCTGGCAGAAATTCCAGGTAATATCTACCTGAAACGGTCGGTACCCTACGATTCGAAGGTTCTAGAAACCGGTCGAATGAAGACCCGGTCGATTAACCTTCTAGTCTAGCCAAAGAGAATCGCCGGAACTCATGAATAACGGTCATTCATGATATATAAATAGAAACCTTTTTGTAGAAAACGGTTAGTCAGAAGATAATATCGCGACGGGTTTTTAAATGTAACGCTGGTATTTTAAATAAATTATGTAATTACTAGTGTAAGATAAATTAGTATAAACTTTAAATTAAATTGTTAAGTGTTATAAACCTTTGATAAATAATAAAGACAATAAATTAGAATTAATAAAAATACATTATTTATGTAAAATATAAGGGAAAACACTTATAGATAAAAAATCAAATTGTGATCATAACTTATTTAAAAAAAAACGCAAGGTAAAAATACGAGTACTTTTTCATCTATTCGTCATCTAGTAACCCCCACCTATGTTTTATAATCTTCAGATATCTGCGAAAGATTTTGCCGCGAAATCGATGATTTTTGCATAACCAGACTGGGCTAATTGTCGATAGGACACTCCGTCCAGTTAATACAACTTTTATTTAACATTGATTTCGCGTGCGGAATTTACATTTAAAATCGCAGGTCGCTTCAAGCTTTGTTTCTGAGAAAACGGTTCATTCTACGCAAAAAATGCTAATGCATATTTTTGTTAAAAACTATCTCAGGTACATTTTTTATTTAAAACATTTTTTTCTACGGCATACAGATTTTTGGTAAATCGATTTTTTTGCGTTTTTCCCATCTGTGAGGGAGCTTTTACGGGGAGGTCCGGGGGTTTAAGTGGTAAAATTTTTTGCATCTTTTTTGGGGTCCCAAAATTAATGTTCTCGGCAAAATTCAGCTTGTTCGTATGATTTTTAGCGGTAAAATCTCTGACGGATGGACAAGGTCCACTTAAAATCAAAACAAGGCGTCTGTTTCTCTTTCTGTATGCATTATGATGCCTTTTGTATTAAATTTATTGTTATAAAAATAAAAAAAATCAACAGATTGTAATATATGTGATATCATCCAATTAAAAGTATCTTGAAGGTAAAAATTAAGATAATGTGAAGTAACATTAACACAATTAATTGTAATTGAGCAATCTCCTACTTTAACATTTGTAAAATTTGTCAAATATAGCAAGAAGTTTGAAATATTCATTACGAAGCATCTCATATCTACGCGCTAGACTGAGATGACTGTATACTATCTCCTTGTCCCTTCTAATGATGTATTTTTTTTTGTTCTGCGCAGACATCCAAAATCTCAAATTTGTTCCTATATTTGACAAGTTGTACGACGATTTAGAATGTTAGGTTGTTTCGCAATAATAACAAAAATGTTTAGTGCTTATTTTTTATTAGTTGCCAGTAGGCGATATGGAATAGTGAGGTGTAATCTCGGGTTTTACGTAGCAGGGAGGTGGCTTCAACAACACTCCGTGGTCGATGTATTCCGCCAAAAGCTTCTTCAGATCTTTATTTCTCTTTCTCAACTTTAATACCTCCTCGCTAGTAGCTTTTCGCGCTTTTAAGACGGAGATATATTTTAGAAGGCCTTCACGAAGACCGTCCCATACGCGGGTGTTATATTCATTGTAAGTGTTTTTCAAATGTGCCCAATATTTTTCTATATCTTTATCGTCCAGTAGTCTCGATATTGTGTGCCTTTTTCGTTCTAGTCTTTCGCCTACAGTTGGACTGGAGCCATTCTAAAAACATATAATACATGTTAGCATTATTATTAAAAAAAGATATTACATTAGGCGGCACAGTACACAGTACTGTCAAATTTAAACGAAATATTAAATTATAATAAAATAATAAAAATAAGTACCATTTGATAGTAAATTTAATTATTATGTAAACTAAATATGTTTAAAAATAATAATTGTATTTATATGAAATTATTTTAACCCTTTGGGGTCTAGTGGTTCGATAAAGATACCACAAATAAAATAATTTTTGTTAACGGCCTAGAAGTGATTGCTTGGAACCACACAGTATTATTTTATTGTTCAGACACACTAATCGACAATTGTTTTGTATAAGTCACGAATGTTGTGAAGTGAAGAACGACAAACAATATATTTTATTTGAAATCAGCAATTTATTCGGTAAGTTTTTTGTTATTTCTGTTTATTATGCGGTTCTTTTGTGATATTTGATAATTTTGTGTTTGTAAAACTTAGCATAAATTTACTATTTGCAAATAAAATGTGTGGTTCTCCTATGGAATCACCAGGTCAGTGGGATATGCCTACATCTCTGTTTTTGTTTTACTTCAGGTGTTGGTCATGGACATTAGGAAGTTGGCCTCAGACGAGGCATATGCTTTGATTGACGAAATACCATCAGATTTAGAGTCAGTCACTTCAAGGGCTCCATCTGAGGATGAATTAGATGAGTTTTGAGGATGACGAGTTTCAAGTCATATCAAATAATAGCGACAGTGAGAATGACGAGGATGCTGACACTGAGGAAGCTCCAAATGAAAAATTGGTTTTTCAAACAAATCTGTATGCAACGCAGCAATTTGATGAACGTATTATTCCCACGAATGTTGCCGAAATGAAGTGTTTTCCTTGGAATAAATTTGATGATGGGACTTACGAAGAAGCTTAGTTATAAAAACTATTGGTCATCTAAATTTCAAATAAGGGATCACTTTATATCATCGGTCATGTCCAGGGATCGATTTTCATGGATGTTGGGAAATTTGCATATAAACGATAATACAGTACGACCCCAGAAAGGTGACGAGGGCTATGATAAACTATACAAGTTACGACCAATGTTTGACAAGCTAACACATACTTTTGCAAACTGCTATAAATCTGGTGAAAATCAAAGTATCGATGAATCGATGGTCAAATATAAAGGTACCTATCAAGACACTGCTTGTCTTCAAATAGTCAAATAATATAACAAAAGAAATGAGGTTAAATGCTCGAATAAATGAACTTTGAAAATAAGGCTATTATCGAGCACAAGTTAATTAAATCTAGCCCAAGTACTTTCGCTTAAAATAGCATCTTCAGGGGCATTTCGTCAAAATGTAAACTATCCGGCAAGCGTAGAATGTGGAAACATTAAAAATAACATAAATTTGTACAAAACACTACACTAAAACGAGGACAAACAGTTTAAAATTCGACAATTTTAATATGTCATTTAAATTCATTCTTTTTCTTGTAAATAAACATATTTCTATTATATTCTATTGTAGTCTATCCTATTCTAAATAACATTTATCTTACCTTTTTATGATAATTAGCTACAAAATCTTTCAGAGCCGAAATAACGTATACTGTACTCAATACGAGTGGATGACTATTTTTGCACAAAATCTGTCTTACACTTTCTTTATGTCGCGCCCTTTTTCGGGCAGATTTTTTTACTTCTGCTTCTTTTTCTGCATCTTCGTCATCAAAACAAGAGAATTCTTTGAATTCCAGTTTAAGAGATTTGTCATCTTCAAAAGTAGAGTCATGTTTTACCACCTAAACAAATAAAACAAACGTAAGGATATAATTTATGTAAAAAAGTGGTAAAAAACAGTTTTTAAAAAACTTGTTACAAATCGTTATGGCAGGAGGTATGACGTCATACATAGTAGCGCCTATCGAATATATGCCTAGACAGACAACTCCTCTAACTCTTCCTTTACTACAGTGGTAGAGTCATAGTAGAGTATAAATACAGACTGGCAACTGACTAATTTTCAAGGTTAAATGCGTTACTCAATTCGTTTTATAACTTAAACCATGGTTTTTAAATATCAAAGATGTAGGTAATTCAAAGTTATTCTAACTACATCTAAAGAGTTTTTACCCACATATTTAATGACTTCATATATGTAAACCCAGATAGCTCTGACGATAGAATAGTTATTCCGAAAACGTTCTGTGATGTCTGATGGGTTTCTACATTAATATACCTTTTATAGAGGAATTTTTTAAATAAAAATGTTTATTCTTATTATATTCACCCATGACCCGAAATGAACCACCTATCTTGCTAACGTTAGACCGAATAAACTGTCAGTTGCACTGTCATCATTTGTATAGTCGCAGTAAAATATATTATAGAACGCTTTAAATGCGGCGACGTTTGATCCCCTTTCATCTACAATCGACCGGATACTTTTCAAAGCGTTTTAGTGGGAAAGCAGTTCCTCAGTAGAGTGTAGAGTGTCTTTTACTATAATTTCATTATTTTAAAAAGTTATGTGGCGTATGTGGGATAATGTGGTAGGATAGCAACACTGAAGAAAAGCCAGCCCCCGCACTATATCTTAACGCAGAACTATCAAAATCTACAAATCTGAGCTTTCTACTATATTTCTTATCGCAACTATACCAAAGGAAAGTGTAGTACTATTCGGGAGTTAAAAGAGTTAGGTTTAATGTTACGATTTCAAAAACGATTACACAATTACGTATTGGCTATATGATGAAGGAAGTTGTCATTATGGGCATGGATAACTGTTATTTTTCGCCTCAGGTTATGTAAAGTGGTTATTTAAATGACTCATCAACGGTCTTCATTATCATCAAAACCTCGAGCGGAAATGATCATCAAAACAACTAAACCTAGTTAAATATTGTTATTTAACGTACCTGTGAAACTATATCATCTATAAAAGATCCACGTTGATGTACAGCAATACATGCTTCTTCCAGTTCAGATATTGAACTAGTGGGTTGCATATCCGCTTGACCATTTGTCAGATTTGAAATACCAGTTAAAGTTGAATAATGGCGACTCAGCATTGAAGTTGATACAAGTGAACCTACAAGATGGTTGCTATGATCAAATTATGGAAAGATTTCGTCAACCTATTCAGCTATCACTACATTGACATTTGTTAATTATAAATATTTATTGTTCGTGAAGATTACTCTATCATGCATAAATAATAATTATAAATTAGCTAATATAATATGGTAAGAATACTAACTGCGAGACCCAGCATCCGCACAGATGATACAGCAACAATATGGCAAGAAGTATTCGACCATAAGGTCTATATCTTGTTGTCGTTTGATATCTAAAGCAATAAATACATTGTTCAATGTCACCAAGTTTTGCTCTGTATCTTCGTACGTTTTTATCAACATTTTCAGACATTTTTCCGTCAAAAACCCGCTTTTTGTTGACAGCTTGTTTAAAACATGTTTGACCAAACTGTTGTATACAGGATTTGTCGATTCAATCTCACTATCAGCAATAAACAGATTCTACAAAGAGAATACGTAATTGAGTAAGAGGAATAAGTCATAGGTAAAGTTATAGACAAAAATAATGTAGATTTTATTTCAGGCAAAGTGGCAAGAGCTATGTTCCCTAAATAATAAAAATAAACATAAACGTCAAACATGTTACCTGTGTCTCTCCAAGCGGCTTCGAGAGAGTAGCTAAACTAACAGAAAATTCATTGATGATATCTACAGCCCTATTGTAACTACTCATAAAATTTTTATCTATTTTCTTATATTTGGGTGGAATCCAGCGCGCTCCCAACTGCTGCTGATGCAATATTTTATCAATACCGGTTATTTTATCCAGTAACGCTAGGCAATCTTTGTTGTTGAGGTCCCAAACCTCGTTGAACTTTTTTTCGTTGGTTAAAGCGAAGTGGTCAGCTTTGGAATCGATGTCCAATATATTTTGATGCATTTTTAAGATATTCTCGCTGGTTTTTTTTATTTGTTTGTTAGTGTTTTCTCGATAACTAGTTAGAGAGCTTTTCAGTTCACTGATTGTATCCTACAATGTGAAGAAATTATTAATTATCCTTGTAGTTTGTGCAATGTTATTTTTACAGTTAACCGGGAGCAAAGTAAAGAGCAAAGCAAACCATATAACGAGAGAAAAAATGAGAGAGTTATAACTACAGAAAATAAGATCGAAAAACGTGTTTTTTACGTTTTTGGCCCTGCCGTGGCTATAAATAAATACTCTTTTTAACTGCCGCCCGCAATAAACTTCTTCTGTTTAATCTGCCGACCGATATCGTGTTGTCGGATAATTACAAATTATGATTTACAATTGTCAGTGTAGGGGTCTGACGATTCGCACCTAATAAACTACGTAAAAAGGCTTAAAAATATGAGAAATAAAAAAAAATTCACCAGAATTTCATTTCACAGTTGTTTTTGTCGTAGGTATTTATCATTTGTTTCCTAATTGTGCTTTCGCGTCTTGAAAATTGTGTTATAGATTACATAGTCACATAGATTACACACTATGACTCTTAAAAGAACAGCATTTACTTTAGAAAAAAAAAATTAACATCCTTAAAAATGTTGAGAACGGTAAGAAGAAAGCAGAAGTTTGTAGTGAAAGAATAATTTCAAATTTCACCCTATCTACCATGCTCAAAAATAAACAGAAGAATTTCGAATCCACCGGACAATCGCGGTGAATCTACGCAAGAAGGTCCTAATAGACAAGATGTGGAAAGTGCTTTAAATGTTGTAAGAAACTTTATCCAAAGACAAAGCAAACGAAGAAGCATACAACTGTTTCACGTCTTTAGAAAATACGATAGATAGAATGATACTGGATAATTTAAAGCAGTCAAAAATTCAGACATCTTCCAATTGCAGAAGCAATAGTTTATTTTTTGTAATAAAACAATAAAAGTAAACAACTCTACAATAAAAAACAACATTTACAATAAAAAAGTCTTTTTTATTGTAATATATTTCATTGACAATAAAAGTAAACAACTCTTTTTTGTTGTAATGTATTTCATTGATAATAAAAGTTATTTTTTGTTTTCAACGACAATTTGTTTTCAAAAACTCTATTCAAACAGTATTTAGCATCTTATATTGCTCCGAATGGCTTCACTATGGAAAGTTAATGTTTTAGAAAACTACATACAGATTGAACGAAATAAATTCGGAACATAGGAATATAATGTATTTCGGCTAAATTCTGCTGTAGGTAGTTGGTCAACAAAAGATTGTCAAATAATTATATTATAAAAATCCAATATTTCAGCGGGCTGCTGTATTCTGAACTCATAAAAATTGAAAGCTACACATAAATCTACGATTTATGCAGTCAAACCAGTTATAGTCCAGGAAATGAAGCATTTCACCTCGCAATTTTTTCGTGCTCCGTGGATTGAAATTTAACAGAAGGTAGGTAATAGCCTAAGGATCAAAATCTATATCGAACCAAAGTGCGCCAAAGCCTAGGGGGTGGTTGCCACCCCATCTCCGGGGTGAAAATTTTTTTTACGTTTTAACTACAGGTTTCGATTAAAAAATTGATTCTAAACAAAAAATGTGTTACACATTTTTTTTATAAAATGATATTTTTCAAGTTATTCGCGATTGAAAGTAATAACTTTTAGACGAAAAAATCCACGTTTTTAATCGATTTTTCGCGAATAATTCGAAAATGGTGCATTTTATCAAAAAGATTGTAGAGAACAAATTTGTAGCTTTTAAAAAGACAAATACAATTCATTTTTTAAAATATTTTTGCGATATAATAGGAACCGAAATACGGCTTATCAATGTTCAGCGGTTTTCTTCAAATGCCAAATTTGAAAGATTCAAAATCAAATATCGGGGAAAATTATGCATTTTTGGAAGAAAACTCACAAAACCTTTTTTAAAGAGCATAAATAGACCTATCATAAAAAATACTCTAGCTCAAAAATTGAGTGAGTTATGATGAAAATAAGGTTAATACCTCATTTTTTACGAAAAAATCGATGAAAACAACCCCCTAACCACTCCCATAATTAAAATCGATCTTCACCCTTCTGAAATTCCCTTTGTACATGTATTGTTAATACGTCCAAGAAGTTTTTACCCAATGCTTTGTGTTAGAAAAAGTACAGCTTAAAGCGAGAAACGATTTACAATTTCATATTTTTTACCCTTCTTTTTTTAAATATGCCCGAAAATACTGAATATATGAAAAAAATACAAATTACCAAATTGTAGCTTTTTTAATGACTAAAATTATCCTTCATTTAGATTTGTTGTACAATGAATATTTGGCGAGATATAGCCGTTTAAAGCATCGATTTACGATCAAGCACCATCTTTTTCGAGCCCTTTAAACTCACCCCATTTAAAAACCAAGGGTTCCAAATAGATTTAATTCACAGATCCTTGTAGCTCTTAAAAACCTCTACAAATTGTTTTTGAAGAAACACTCTATCGTTAAAAATTAAAGGAAATACGTTAAAAAACCAGTGAATTTTTTTCCGGAAAATTCCATTAGTACCGTACTAGTACATTTCGGAGCATAATAATCTACAAAACCGGTATATTAGCTAGTGGGGCGTTATACATTCGAAATTTTAAGCGTTCTTATTTTGAAATCCCATACAACAGAATAAAACATCTGCTCATGTCTATGGCTTGGCAATGAAAATATTAGAGCAACAGATTGGGGATGGTATTCCAAAGATGGTTTGTTATTACCCGTACGCATGAACAAACAACCTGCACTCGATGAAGTTTTGAAAATTATTTTTTGGCAATGCAAAAAAGGATGCGGTGTTTCATGTGGGTGCAGAAAAGTTGGTTTATACTGTAACTCTACTTGTTCTGGGTGCACAGGTGAAGAGTGCAATAATAGTCCACCAATAATTGAAGATGAGGATGACATAGATCACGATGAAGATGTAATTGATGACGAATAAAATTAATATTATAATTGTTTTACCTATAAATGTAAATATTTTCAACTATTTATGTAAATGTATAAGAATATATGGTGCCTTTTTATGTTGATAAATTTTTTTGTATTTAATTCTACTTTTTTCAATTTATATCTTATAAATTAGTTTATAAAAACTGCAATGTTGTAAAGGGTGATTTTCAAAAGTTGAAAAGTTGCAAAATTTTGGCAAAAAATTGTTTTCACCTATAGCACTCATAACAATTGATTTTTAAGGGTTGAAAATGTATGAATTTGTATTTTAAAGTATAAAAAAATCACTATTTAACTAATCCAAACCAAATTTCACTCATCTTAAGATTTATAATATTATTTTACAATTTTTTAAAATTAGGGGTAGTTTTCACCCCTAAGAACAATCAGGGTTTCATCGGCATGACATAAAACTATAAAGCAGAGGGTGAGTTGAGCTTAATTAAAAATTTTTATGCAAATCGTTCCAAGGTGAAATCATTTTCTTCGCATTACTAATTTTTTTATATTAATCTTTAATAAGGGTCGCTTTTTAAGGGTTGAAATATGATGGAACTTTATTCAAAAGCACGAAACTATCATTATTTAATTAATTCAAACCAAATTTTACCCATATTCAGGTTTAATATGTTATTTTATAATTTTTGACAATTACGGGTAGTTTTCACCCCTAAGAACAATCAGGGTTCGTCGACATGACATAAACTAAAAAGCAGCGGGTGAATTGAGCTTAAATTCAAATTTTTATCCAAATCGATCCAAGGCGAAATCATTTTTTAGAATTAGTAATTTTTTACATTAATCTCTAACAAGGGTTGCTTTTTAAGGGTTGAAATATGATGGAACTCTATTCAAAAGTATAAAATAATCATTATTTAACTAATTCAAACCAAATCTTACCCATATTCAGGTTTAATATGTTATTTTATAATTTTTGACAATTAGGGGTAGTTTTCACCCCTAAAACCCTTCAGCGCACTTCGGTTCGATATAGATTTTGATCCTTGGGCTATCACCTACCTTCTGTTAAAATTTCAACTGGATACATGCGGACGAAAAATTGCGAGTTTTAACTTTTTTCGATATTCATTTCCTGAACTATTATCGCTACCTTAGACAAACCCGTCTTACGCAAACAACATTGTTGTGAGACAGATAGTTGAACGATATTTTATACAATGTCTATACCCAGGTATGGATTTATTTTTGTTCAAGTTTTATATTGGTCCACTATTTCAAATGCAGTTCAAACAGACATGTATTAAATTGTATGTTCCGTTTTAATTTGGTTCAATCTGTATACATATGTATGCACAGTATTATTGTTACTGATATAACGAGATCGGCTTATAACGAAGTAATTAGTTTGCTATTTCAGTATAGTTTCTTATAAACAGGAAGAAGAAGATATTTACCTGCAATTTACCGATCCTTCTCTTCTGCTGACTCTTGATGGTGATATTCTCATTTTCCCTTCGTTTTAATATTTGGTAATTATAATCCAGTCTTTCGGTATTCGATAGAACGAGGCATTTGATTCTTTCGAATTCATTCTGAGCATTCTGAACGTCCAGCTCCAACTGGATTTTTGTCTTTCTGAATTGATCTTCGTGATGTACGGTCATCCGGCCAATGTTATGGGCTATTTCTTCTCGTTTTTTAAATATATATTCAGATAATAATATTTCTTCTTGGTGTCTTTTCCGGGCAAGTTCCTCCCATTTCTGGTTGCTGCGATCGATATATTTTTGCTTTTCTTCGGTTATCACCTGCTCTAATAATAAAACATAATCATGGAATGTACATTTCTTTAATAAAAGCTTGTGAGGAAACCGTTTAGAAATATGGAAATTACAATTGGATATAACTCCACATAAATCCTCTTTGTAGTGTGGTTAAGCAGTTCACAACATATTGTGTATAATAAAATATGATAATATAATTGATAAAAAACTAAAAATAGAAATAATAAAATATTCTCATATAATAATAATAAGAGAAGGAAGAGCTTTATATAAAAGAAGGTAGGTACCGAAATATAGAAAAATAGTAATTTTGGATTAGATAATAGAGAAATATAGAAGAGTTCATAAAAATAATAATATTGTAACGAAATAGCCCACCTCCGATGAGTAGTACTTCTAGAAACTTCTAGAAAAAATGATAATAAATTTGAAAATGTTTCTAGAAGATTCGACGAAGTATGTAGACAGAACAATGAGAAATTTGAAGAAGTTTCTAGAACACTCGATAAGGTAGAAGAGAAGATCAAACAATTCAGAGATCATGATAACTAATACGAAAGTGGTACCACCAGATAATGCATTAGTTTTAGATCCGGTAGTGAAAGAAGAAGCACCTAGAGATGAAACGACACATCATATGAGATTAAAATTGCCACCATTTGATGAAAAGTCTTCTTGGTTCATATACATTAGACCATTTGAAGCTATTGCGACAGCCAATCATTGGACAGAACAAGAAAAAGCTGTTTCCATGACTGCTGCTTTACGAGGTGATGCTGCGGATATCCTAAGATCGATTTCTAAGGGTCAAGAAAAGTGTTACCAGACCTTGTTCACTCGACTGGAAAAACGTTACGGAGATGTCCATCTACAACAAATCTACAAGGTACAAATAAGAAGTAGAATTCAACGAGCAAGTGTGAATTTGCAAGAATTTGAAGCAGGTGTTGCTCGTATAGCGCGGTTAGCTTATTAAGAGGTATCAAAAACTTTTTGGAAGAAATAGCTATAGATACCTTCGTTAATAGGTTGAGAGACAGTGAACTACAGAAATCTTTACGACTAGTAAGCCAAGCGTCACGGAGCTATCGAGTACGAACCTCTGAAGAGAGCGACGAACAAAACAATAAACGTCTGGAGGAAAATCGTACGGAAAGTAGTTCATAACACGATGTCAAAAAGATGTGAACCCAGATGTTGGAATGGTGAACCTTGCTGGAGAATGGTTGGAATACAACAGTCAGAAAGCTCGAACAGATCGAACAACGGGCTAGAAAATGTCATTCAAAGGCTGATGCTCAGTCAAGACGGTCATACAGTGCAAATTGTAACCACTGTCTTAAATTAGAAGAATGGCTTTGCCCCGTGAGACGAACCACCGTCATTAATGATCAATGGCAGCCTCAACAGCTACAAGACGCTCAAGTAGATGATCCATGTATAAAAAGAGTATTGGATTGGATACATCGAAGTGAGCGGCCTACTTGGCAAGACATGTAGTCCAAAGTCAAGTCTTACTGGAGCCAATGGAATTGCCTAGTGCTAAAAGATCTTCTGTATAGAATCTTTGAAAACGATAATGGTACAGAATCTAAGCTTCAGTTGATTGTACCTAAAAGTAAAGTGTCAGAAGTATTGCGTCAGTTGCATGACGGTGCATCAGGTGGACACTTTCGTATTACGAAGACTCTGCAAAAGGTTCGAGAACGGTTCTATTGCGTGAACTGTAAAGATGACGGGAGAAGATGGTGCCAGAAATGTGAACTGTGTGCAACCAGTAATGGCCCAGTTGGTAAAAAGAGGGCACCCATGTAACAGTACAATGTTGGTAGTCCTATAGAAAGAGTAGCAATCTACATTGCAGATCCACTTTGATTACACTCAAATTTATAAACATATAATACCTAGACAGCGCGATGCAATTTTAACTTGTTCCCCTAGTGCTACAGAAAAAATGTACGAGCTGTCCTTGGTCCTTGCACCTCTTTCTGATAGCCGAGATTTATGGACCACGTCACTCTCTCATTATTACCAAACAATCTTCAGTGGGAGGGGCACGAGGTCGATAAATCCCGACAATTAGAAGGAGATGCAAGGTTTGCTCGTACATTATTTCTGTCACACTAAGGAAACAGGTTAATTGTTGTAGATTAACTCTAAAAGAACGACTAACAGATCATATTCCAAAGAATACGAACAAAGAAACGTACATACAAAAGAGTAAAATACTAACACAGACCAGAACAAGGAAATATATAAACCAAATTAGAGTATAGGATTTCCATACCGGAAATCGAATATTAAGATATATAAATCCCGTTAGCTTTAGCTAAGTTTCAATGCCGATGAAAACCCTTCACACGATCGAGTTATTTATGAAAACAAAAGTATAGTTTAGTTATTTAAATACTAGTTCTTAACTTACCAATCAAACTAAATTCGGCGGAATAAGCACTTTTCATGAAATTGATTTGCTTCTCGATCCTTTGACCCAGAATGCTGATATCTTGGTTCTGTTTCGTTTGATCGCTCGTAAATTTCTTCTCAGATATCTTTAGCTCGTTCCTCAACATTTCGATGATTTCGTCTTTCTGTTGAATCAGTTCATCGCACTTCATCTTCTGCTCTAGAATATCTTCGTGAATATGCAAAGGATCTTTGTATTCTTGAATTCCAGCCCATTTGCCTGTAAAGGTATTATTGTAAGAGATAATGCTTCCACTTCCACCAGCAGAAGTCTGAAAAACCGTTTTAATTTTTTTTTGTTCTGTTTAAAGCTTTTTCGTAAATAGACTTGGAAGTACTAAGGTTTGAAGTTTTATCTACGTTAACAGTATAATTTTTAAAGGTATGTAGCAGTATAAATAAACCAAAATGCTTAGGCGGTCACTACTCCCCCCTTTTCCCTATAACGAAGAGCAAAAAACGTTCCAAGTTAGGTACATGGATTGGATTATATTCGGAATTTTCTTTAAAAGGAGATAGAGCATTACCAAAGGAAACAGATAAACTTACCTGATATTTCACTAAACTGTTTATGTGCTTCTAGAGCTTCAGCTTCTAACTGTGCTATCACCTGTTGCCTTCTGATGGTTTCAACTTCTCTCCTATCAATCTAAATCGTAACGTCGATTAAATTTATGGTTGTTTTATAAAATATACCTCCTACCTCTCTAGAATCATTAGCCACTTTAATATTTTCTAAATACTCTTGCGATTCTTGAAGAAATTTCTCCAAAATGTCAGCACTAGTCTCCATCTGCATTTCAACTGGATGTTTTGCTTCCTCTATTATTTCACCCATGTCTTTAATTTGCTGCAATTTTATGGCAGCGATTCTTCGTTCTATTCTCTGCCGTCTGGCTAGTTTTCTTTCGTTGGCATCTGCCGAGATTACAGATGGACCTTCTGCATCCGGAATCTGAGCGATTTCCGATATGATGGAAAAAAGGCGCGACATGTTTTCCCGGTAACTCACTCAGTGTAAGATGTTAACACGAATTTTATTTATATTATATTATAAAAATAATACGCTAAATAAAAAAACATACAAAAATGGGAAAAATAGTACTCAACATAAAAAACTATATTGACAAATTTGTCACATTTCGAATACGATAACCATAATGAGTTTGTTACCATAGAAATATAACTAGAAGAAAAAATATTTAACTTTATTGATATCGATATTACATGACTAAATGTTTGGTCGATATTCCTAATAGATCACCTACCAACACTGGTTTCGGTGGAGACAAAACAATAAATTTTGATAAGATATATCGTATCTAAAAAAGTAACGAAATTTTTATTTCTTATACATTTAGATACAAAAAAATGCAACTGAGAAAATTTTAGTCAAATTCAAAGTGTTTCAGTTTTTTTTATTTTTAGCTCCATTTTGATGATTTTTTTAGCACACTGGGTAAAAATTTACAAATTTTAATTTAGTATAGTGTTTTTTTTAATAAAATTTTGTATATTTCTTATACGGGGTTAATCGAAAGGTGGTTTTTTATCCTGGTTTTAAATCATCCTGTGGAATAATTCTGTTAGCGGATTTTCACAAAACCTTGTTTTTTGGTTGTAACCATGTCTTCTAAGTATTATGTTTTTTGTTTCATGTGAAAATATGGATTGGTTCATTTTTAGAAGCGAAATGACTTTGCTACCCACAATTTAGGTCTTTTTATAATTATTTTGGAGTTATTTTGTAATACGACGTGGTGGTTATGGTGACCGTTATGTCATATTGACACTTACATTTTGTGTACCTATGATTGATCATGGATATTAGAGTCGAAGATTTATCTATTTATCTAAGAAAAAACCTCACTTTAATTAATCCCGTACAATAAGTCAAATATAAAATTTTATTAAAAAACTAACTATACCAAATTAAAATTTATAAATTTATACACAGTGTGTCAAAAAAATAATCAAAATAGGGCTAAAAATAAAAAAAATGAATTACTTTGAATTTGACCAAAATTTTCTCCGTTGCGTTTTTTTGCATCTGAGTAACGTTTACAAAAAAGTTTTTCAGAAGTAACGCCACAAGGGATTTTGTTTTACGGAATAAATTTTAAACGCTTGATAATTGCCGTAATATGTATAATTTGCAGGTAAATTGGAGGAATACCGGCCGTTTTAAAATTCGTGTACTGTACTGCCCTGGCACGATGTAGGTGAAATGTTGGTTGCCTACCGTCATTGCAGTGAAGTTGTTTTATCCATCGTTGTATTAAAGTTCTGAGTTGAACACGTTTTCCGGAGATTTAATTATATCAGCATCAGCAAAGTATTTTTGAAGATAATTTTGTTAATAACTTGTTAAGTTATATGGACACTTATAGTACGTATCACTCCGTTTAAAATAATTTCCGTAACAAATAATGTGTTTGTCTCTATCAGCGCCAAAATATTTGTTTATCATCATAAGTAATATGGGTTGCATAATTGGGTAATTCCGGTTAGTTTGAAACTTGAAACATCGAGTTAAATAGAATCTAACTCGATGGTTTGAAATTCGAAAAACTCTAATAGAGAGCTCGAAGGACTGAGGAGCAGTTACAAGTGACATGTAATAGAGAATGACTCATTTGAATTAACTCACTGTGATGTTTCGAAACAATTGACACAGTTTACCCGATATTATAACTTCATATATTTCATATCATAACAATTCATTGTCGGTCGCTATGCAAAGATCATCGAGCAAAAAAACAAAAGAGGGAATGTAAAGGTAGTGGGGACAAAAATATTATTAGACAGGAAGTGCCATCTTGAGAGGCCACATTAAACAAGGAAAGAGAATCTTTCCTTGTTTAAGAAATCAAATTGAGTTGGGTTATGTTATTGTTTGTCCCAACTGTCACATGCAATTTTATTTATATTGAAGTTTTTTGACAATTGTTCACATTTTAGACTGTTATCGTTAATATTTAATTAAAACGTCTCGTCTAAGACCATTCTGAAACTATTTATAGCTGCTGTTAATAAGTGTTGGAAAATTTAAATTTGGCGTATTCGCATTTCCGGATATGTCCGCCATCAGAGGCCACTTTTTTGGTTTCCTTTTCATAACGAAGATCTTTTGTCTTTTTGCTCGATGGCAAAGATACAATGTTTCGTGTAGATTCATTTTCTGTCAGACACGTCATGATACTATGATTATAAGATAAGATATTGCGCATAAGTCGTGACGTCATTGGAGAGTTACACGTTCGAAATGTCAGTTTTTTGTACGTGTCAATAAATATTCTTTAATAAATAGTTTAGAGATATCCTTATGTGTACGATTATTGCAATTATTAAACCTCTTAACTTATTTTCGTCTAGTAATTTCATCACAGAATGCATACAAATCCCATTTAACTTTAACAAGAATTCAAATTCTACTCTCCATGACGGCATGCGCGAACACGACCAATTTTGTGCCACATGAAGATCCTATCTTGTTAATCATAGTATCATGAGACACGTGACAGCGATGTGATTGTTCTGAGGATTGTTTAAACGATTAGGGATTTGAGCTTGCTAAGCACAAATTTATTGTTTTAGGTTTATTTAATTAGGCTTTTTTTCTTGGTAGTATAGATTTTCATTAACATTTTTAAATGAATACTTATCATTATCAGATATGACACGTACTGACTCGATGTTTCGAAACGGTAAATTTTAATTTAATGTATCGAAACAGTTCTGTGACTCAATTAATTGCTTCGAAACATCGACTCACTAGCCAAAACTAATTTCAAGCTATCAAAAATGGGTTACCAGAAAGACAAGCTTCTGAGCTGAGAGGTTCCTATTCCAAGGTCTACCTTACAAGAAAGAAGGAAAAATAATAATTTATGTTCACCTGCATTAGGCCGTAAAACAGTTTTTTATGTAGACATCGAACAAGACTGCCGATCAAATGAAGAAGAAAAGACTTTAAGCAGCAGCCATTCCTCCACTTTACCCTGTTTTCCATTATGTGTGAGATATTATCTTTAAACATTTTTCATATGTCTACACCAGTGTTCTTGTATATAGAAAGACATTTTGCTCATTTGAAATGTCCTCTAGTGCATATTTGTTCTTATATTTTCCGCCATGTAAGCTGGCATTGTATATTCGATAAACTGCAAATAATCTAATATATTGATTCTTTCTTAAGGTACTATGAGTAGTACAGATCAGAATGATAAAAAATGCATATTTTCAAAAAAAGTTTTAACTCAGCTCCTTTATTAAATACCAACATTATTTTTTTAATAATATCTTATATTTGAGTTAAGGCTGTTTTAGCAGTCAAAACACACTGCGATTTGAAATGGGCGTATCACTTACTTTTCCTCACTGCTTACGCCAGCCGACGACGGGTACAGCTGTTTTCGCAGTGGCGCCGGCCGGCGGTTGGTTTAATGACAACAAATGCATTATTCTCCATTCAAATTACTTTTGTCGGGAATACCTTTTTTGTTCGATTATCGTAGATGTTTTAAAAATAATTATCACATTTTTAATTTATATGTCTTAGCTATAGTATTGAATATAGATTTGTGAAACGTGACTGCAAAAAACATCATGGCAATGATGAGTAACACGTTTCACTATTAGATTTCAGTATTTTTTAGCAATTTTCTTCAAAGTTTGAACACGCTTTTCTCGATTATTACTGGACATAAAAAGGTGAAAAAAAAAAACCAACGATCACAGAAAAAAATACTCTTTCAAGTGATGGGCGTAAAAAGTTTGGTTATAATAGAACGTTAATCCAATATTTCAAAAGAACTTTCAAAAAAAATTAAAAAGTAAAACCATCAGTTTAAAGGCAACAAAATTTTGAATAACATATCCAAATTTCGAGATATTTTGTCGGTAAATAACAGAGAAAACACTGTATCTAGGTTTTGGTTGTACCGATAAAACAGCCTTAACAATTTTTTTTAGTTCTCATGAATACCCCATTTTCTAGAGGGCGCCTAAGTTAACATCTCCAAAAAAGGTGTCCGATGGCAGACACTAATTCTCAGGATTGGTACATCTGAAACAAAAAATTCCAACGGGATTACTTAAAAAAAAAGCACCCTTGCAAGACAATCAACTACTTTTAATCGAAAATTAAAATCCAAAACAAAATGGGGTGATTTGAAGAAAAAGGTAAAAAAAATCGATTTTTTTACCAATTTTTGCATCTTAAAATTAATTTTTCGATTTTTTTTTTATGAAAAGTGGTTAATTGTCTTGTAAGGGTCCTTTCTTTAATTCTGTTGGAACTTTTTGTTTCAGATGTACCAATCTTGAGAATTAGTGTCCACCATCGGACACCTTTTTTTTAGACCGACTGAAACGCCATCTATCGCTTTCTTTTTAGTACATGGGAACTAACAAAGAATAGATCCCCTTGCACAAGTGAAGCGTTGGTGTGCAAAACAAAAAGTAGCAGAGTCACAACCTCCGTTATTCAAATCCTACAATTTATCAATGGGGGGTGTGGACTTACTCGATCAAGGGGTAAATCTGCATACATGAAAAATAAATGGTGGGAACTCTTTACCCATATGAAAAATGTAGCAGTTGTCAATGCTTGGAAACTATATAGGATTACAAATAAAAATGACAAAATAGATTTGCTACTATTTTATAGAAATATTATCCGCCATTACTGCAGAGCTTTCAACAAAGCCATATAAAGACGATCCACATCTAACAAACCATCTGGTTCGCTGCCAAAGAGTATACTGGATACTTCTGATGGCCAATGGCACATGAGAGTTAGATAGATGTGTGAAAAATGCAATGTAACTCTTTGCACTGAGCAGAGTGAGTGTTTTAAAATATTAATTATTTAATACTGTTAAATATTGAAATCCACAAGGAAAACAATTCCTGTAGCTGGCTGTATACCACGTATCACAAAAAAAGAGGTTAGTCTTCGTAAGTGGGTATATTTATTTAAAAACCCTTAAAAGGGCTACATCAAAAAAACAAACGTTTTCGGACTAAACAGTCCATCATCAGGTTTAAAATCGCTAGGGTAAAATGCCTGAGCCACCAAAAATACATGGGTAAAAACCCTTTAAATGTGACTGTTCAGTAATAAATTAAATATGACTTCAGGTAACATACATTGCAAAAATTGAGTTCCAGAGCCGGGGAGAAAACCTCTACGCACGGAGAACAGCTGGAAACTCCGTTTCCAGCGAAAACGTTTGTAAATAAATATACCCACTTACCCACATACGAAGACTTTTTTTTTGTGTGTTAAATATTGGTTTTCAAAGGGAAATTGCACATTCCATTACTTCAACGGACATATCTGAAATGAAACTATAGTACCTTAAAAGCTTTTAATACAACCACCATACTTCTATATTTGATATAGGGACAAAAAAGGAATTATGGGTTGATGTAGGTTCTAATAAAGAAAACGTTAAAGAAAATTTTATTACACTGAACAAAAACATAATTCGATAAAGAATACAAATATAAAACATTACTTAAACTATTACTTTCAAATTTTCATTTAAAAAATAGTTGCTCTAATTTATCTTCATATTTCTGAAATAGTAATAAACATAAATAATACATTTCTTTCGACGAAGCTATTTCGAGATAGATTTTCGACCTATTACTTACTGGTACGCAAAAATTGCCAAATTGCCAAGTTTACATCAATCATATAAATATAAGGTTCTTAACAGCAACAGTTTCATTGAGACAACAAATTTAATAAAAATAGAGAAAACGAAAACGTTGTACACAAAGAAAATCCCTACACAAGTTTTAAAGACTTAACTCTAGTAAACAAATTGTTTGCGCAACTCGTACAAACTTTTGACAATTGTTGAGAGAACAATGTTCGGACGAGTGCTGAATGAAAAATGAGATGATTATAAATCAGGCATATTAAATGAGACTCGGTATGGAGACTAGAATGTTTTTGTTGTTTTCTTTAAACACGGTTGATGTGGGCGGTAAAAATTATAGGTCATATACGTCTGAAGTACCTGTAATGAAATTAATTTATTTTAAAATATATCCAAAAATAATTATAAAATTAAATAAATATAGGGTATTTAAAAAAAAAGTAACATCCTTTAGGATAGGTAAAAAATTGAAAAGTAATTAGGGGTTGCTTAGTAAAAAAATGTTTGTAACGTCATCCGTTTTCAAGATAAAGGGCGTTGAAGAAAAAAATGTTACAGTTGTTTATCCCATTTGAGAACATGCAAGGTCACTTTCAAATGGCTGAAAAGGTTCTTTGACAATACTTAGAATGTTTCTTTTACTCCAATTCTCTTAATTAAGTCTCAACTTTTCATGTTTTTAAAAAAGTTTAATTTTTAACTGTTTACTTATAAATTATTTACACACATTCCAAACATTCCAAATACACATTTCCATAACACACATTCCAAAAATATATCTCTGATATAAGTGTAAATAATTTAAATAATACAATAGTAAAGAACATCACTTTCATCTGACAAACAACCACAATATACCTATCTCTAATTCATTGGATCAAATCTGTTCTCCTTAAGAACTTCCCGTTTATTGTCAAAACAACTGCAATAGCACATTAAAGTTCTCCAATCAACAATACATGATTTTTGCAACCATGACCTACCATCCATCAGTTAATAGAGTACCGGCATGTAAGTAATGTTTGTTTTGTTTTATTTATCTGCTCATTTATTAATTTATTACAATATAATATTACTACTTTATACCAATTGTGGGTCTTACCTTGTCTGTTAATACCTTTTAAATATTCAAATTTATTCAGTTTGAAAACCACAGACATGTAATATTGGCATAATTACTATAATTTGTATGAACTAACTTATTTGTTTATTTTATCTTTATTAGACACCACCCTAATTGGGTTTATTTTATTGCAGCATTAGTTTAACTTTGTATCTAGACCTGAAGATGCTTTGCAAATTGTAGAAAGCGAAACCGGTCGTCAGATTGTTAAATTAAATTGATTGTGAGTAAGTCTTATTATTATTTCTTTACCTATTTGATATGGACTCACACAAGCAACACATTCATGATTTTTATATTCATTTTGTTTATGTAAATGCCAATTCTAATTGCAACGGTTTTTTTACCTACAAATTATATATAAAATTCTATTTAGAAAATCTAGAAAAAAACTGATTTTTTGATAATTTTGACGATGTACCAATGATCCCGTAAAATTCAACCAATATTAACTTTCATGAAAAAATCATTTCTTTTTACCGAATTCTACCAATTTGAAACCTAATACAAAATACTTTACGTGTATTAAAATTTTATTTGGCTGGACTAAAGAGTCTTCTATCGCATATCTATCCGCGTCTGTTAATTCCCGAACTAAATTCAAAACCTTGAGTGTTATAAACTGGTATATGTACATTACCTTTATGGGTGGTTTCCTCCTTTGTGGGTTCATCCCAATCAGAATCGGTATCTCCTCGAGGTGTAATAAATGTATTATAATCACCTTCTGGTTCTGAAGATTCCGAAGAAGTTGAACAGTTATCCATCAATATTGGTGTGTAAATAACACATTTTTCGGATTCACCTATTTCTTGGACTATGCAATCCTCGACTTCATAACCATCACTCTTTAACAACGTACTAAAAAAGAACTAGTTTCAACACGGAAAATTTTGAACACTGACACTGACAGTTATGGGAGAGATTATTTTCTATAAGTTCCATTTCACGTTGTCAATGACAAAAAGCTTGTCAAACTTTCGGTCGGTGACGTAGTTAAAATCACAATTTCGGTAAAGTCGGTAACAAAGGTTTTCAGTTCTACAATTTATTGTTAAACAAACATACACATGATATTACACATTCTTTTTGATATCCTTTGACCTTAAGAGCCAGAATGGCGTAAAATGGAATGCAAAAAAATTTAACAGTAAAAACACTCTTTAAACATTTTCACATTTTTTAAGCACACACTACAAACATGCATGTTCTAAATGCTCAATATAGACTACCCCGGACACTAAGCTCCGGGTTATGTAAAATGTTATACAGAATTAAAAAAAAAAACATTAGCAAAACTTGAATTCCAATAAATTTGTTATATTAAATGTTCAATAACAATCGATCAAAGCAGCATTCTCGTCTTGCGGTATTTGTTCTAACTTGTTTACCAGTGTATGATCTAACGTTTCCACAGTTTCCAAATCGCTTCCACAAATGTTCTATGGGGATAAGGTTTGGACTTCTAGGAGGCCAAGTTAGTACAGGAACACCAACATCCGTAAAGTATTGCATTTTTTTCCTGGCCATAGTGCGACCGAGCATTATCCTTAATTAGGAGAAAATTTTTACCTACAAAATGCACATGCTCTTCCCAACGTTCCCTAATGTACCTATCAGCATTAAGGTCACCTGCCTCCAACATAGCTCTATCTTCTTCTTCTTCACGTGCCATCTCCGCTACGAAGGTTGGCTATCATCATGGCAATTTTGACCTGGAGGCTGCCGCTCGGAACAATTGTATGGAAGTGCAAGCAAACCACTCCCCGAGGTTCCTCAACCATGACATTCTTCTCCTACCTATGCTGCGCCTACCTTCAATCTTTCCTTGCATAATTAGTTGTAACAGTTGATATTTATTCCCACGTGTAATATGTCCCAGGTATTGTAGTTTCCTCATTTTAACACTCAATACGACCTCCTTTTGTTTGTTCATCCTGTCTAATACAACTTGGTTAGTTATCTTATCCTTCCAGGAGATTTTTAACATTCTTCGGTACGCCACATCTCAAATGCCTCCAGCTTACCCATACATTGCTTATTTAGTGTCCACGCCTCCACCCCATATAACAGGACCGAGAAAACATAACATTTAAGTATTCGTATTTTCAGCTTTAGGCTTAGGTTTCGGCTACACAACATTTGTTTCATATTGTTAAAGGCACTGCGGGCTTTCTCTATTCTTATTCTTATTTCTCTGGTGTATTCGTTTGACTCGTTAATATTTGTTCCGAGGTAATTGTAATTTTGTACTCGTTCAATGAGATTCTGTCCTACATGTAAGTTGATATTATTGATACGTTTCTTTGTAATTATCATGAATTTGGTCTTCTTTGTATTCAGTGACAGACCAAATTCTTCACTTGCTTCTACCACTTTGTTTAGTACTCTCTGTAGGTCGTCAATATTTTCTGCTATGAGCGCGGTATCATCAGCATATCGGATATTGCAAATGGGGTGACCGTTGATCTTTACTCCGGCTTTTTCGTTCATAAGAGCTTTTTTAATAACTTCTTCCGCGTAGACATTGAACAAGGTTGGAGACAACACACAGCCCTGCCGAACACCTCTTTTGATCTGTATTCTATCTGATATCGAGCTGTTAATTCGTACTATAGCTTCTTGTTTGTAGTATAGATTCCTTATCACTCGCATGTCCCTTGTATCAATATTTTTATTTTCCAGTATTTGCATCAGTGGCCTATGTTTTACTGTATCAAATGCTTTGTTATAGTCTAGGAAACACACAAATATGTCCTGATTTACGTCTAAGCATCGTTGTGTTAGAACATTAAAAGCAAACAGTGCCTCTCTAGTTCCTAGTCCGTCTCTAAAGCCAAATTGAGAGGGTCCGATGTCAACTTCCAATTTTTTATATATTCTCCGATGAATGATTTTTAAGAAGACCTTTAATATATGACACATGAGACTGATGGTGCGATGTTCCGAGCATTGTCTCGCATTAGACTTTTTGGGTATGGCTATTATTGTTGTTACTAGCCATTCATTAGGTATGATACCAGATTTGTAAATGCTGTTAAATAGTTCCACGATCTTTATTAAGTTGTTGCCTTTGATGAGTTTAATTATGTCTATTGGTAGTTCATCTGGGCCTGTAGCCTTCCCCGACCTCATTTCTTTAATCGTGTATTCCACTTCATCTCTTGTTATTTCTGGTCCTGTGTCACTGTTTATGTATTCGTTATCTACATTGTCTCTTTGATCTTTAAACAGTTGTTCTATGTACTGTTTCCAGACTCTTAATTTTTCTTCTGTGTCCATAATAATGTTTCCACTCTCGTCTACTAATATGTTGTGTCTGTTACTTTGTCTCCTCGTCAACTCTTTGATCTTCCGATGTGCATTAAAGCTGTCGTGTTTATTTTGTAGTTGTTCGATTTCTTCGCATTTTCGCTCTATCATCTGCTCCCAAAGAAATTGCCTAAAATATTTTTATACCTTCACCACCAAACTGCACTCTAGTAGAGATGCAACATTGGGCATGGCGTTCTCCGGATCTTCTCCACACTCTTTGGCGACACCAGGTGAATATCTTATAACAAAAGACTCGTCTGTAAAGGACGAGTAACTAACGCGTAAAACAAGGCGCACATAAGTTTTACGTGACTGTAGTTGTGTCAAGTTTTTTTTGCAGGGAGATCTGTTGAGACAGCTACCTATGATTTTATATCAAAAATTTTAGAAAAACTGAAGGCAAAGATGAAAACACTGGGTGCTTTTTTGGACCTATCTAAGGCTTTCGATAGCCTAGATCATGTTCTTGAATATAGATAAAATCATTTCTCACAGATAGGTCGCAAAAGGTATGCCTGGAGAAAAGGGGATGTAAGGTTTACTATGAACCGATCAATTTAAAATTAGGTATACAACAGGGGAGTGTTCTGAGACATTTTCTCTTTTTGGTCTAATAGTTCCAATAATTCCTCAAACCTTCTAAATTTTGCTGATGACTCAAATGTGCTTTTCTGGGAAAAAACTTTAGAAACACTCCTCACAGTGGCAGAGGAAATTCTAAGCATGGTTGAACAGTGGTTCAGTGGTAATCGGTTGTTGCTTAATACTGGTAAGACAGTTGTTGTCTACTTTAGAACCAGCCAGTCACGAGAACAGTTTCCAGATACAATTAATTTTCTATCACAAAACATGGAACCTGCTAGATCAATTAAATTTCTTAGTATTCATGTTGACCAGAATCTGAATTGGGGGTACAAATACAAAATACAACAAAAAAACTGAATAGAACCTGCTACTCATTAAGAATGTTAAAGAGCTATCTAGACCAGGGATTTTACATCAGTATTAGCACTTTATTCTCATATAAATAAATTCATTGCAGTTGGACAATAACATACCAAAAAATTGCTTCTTAACAGAAGAGACTATCTTTCTGTTTAAATGGCTCTCAAGATAGCACTTCCGTCTAGCAATTTTTGTCCCATACCTTACATTCCTCTGTTTTGCTCGATGTTGCAGTAGATAGCTCAACTGTCTTTATAGTCCAAAAAAAAGGCAGTCCGGGTGATCTTAGGACTAAAGGCGGGAGAATCCTGTAGAGGCTGATTTAAATCACTCAATATACTCACTTTCTCAGCCATCTATATGTTTGAATGTATTATGTTCCTTTTTAAATTTATTTCTTTGTTTTATCACCTGCTTCCCAATCATGAATATAATACAAGAAGCCTTAATTTGAATTTGCCACTTCACAGATTGTCTATAACAGAGAGAAGTCCCTTGTATGCGTGTGTTAAATTTTATAATAGTCTACCATCTGGCATTCAATAGGAAACACACTATAGAGCTTTTAAAAGAAAGATTTTTCGACACCTAGTTGATATTGAGCCTATACTGTGGAGTGCCTAGCCTATTTCTCTTTACATATTTATTTGTAATGTTAATATTTTAAATGTTTGATGTCAATATATATTTTTTTAATCTGTAATTAATAATGTGACGTTATTTGCTCAATTATGTTTAAAAATTTATGCAAATATAAATTTACTCTACTCTACTCAAAGGCTTAATTTCATTATTTTAGGCTTGATAAGTACTACAGTGACATAATACAAAAAATTTCATTAATAATGTCAAAATGTTTAAAGAAGGAGCACACAAATCATGACTAGCATGCTGGGAACACACTTATGAATTTAGGAATTGTGTTTATGCAATGAAGAATAGTGAAATACTTGCCATAGCTCAATATCTGTTATATTTGTTCCTTCGGGTCCATACAACAGTTCTATTATAGGTATTTCAGATCGATCTCTCTCTTCAACGAAGAATCTCCCATTCATGTGCCCTAAAATGTTTATTCTATATCTAAATTCATCGAGAATTTTCTCTTTCTCCGTTCGACTATCTTGATCGACTGGATATTCGATTTGGTCCAACAACTTATAAAAAACATTATAGGAGGGATCCTTAAAACTATCACTATCAGTCGCTGGTGTCGAAAAACTATAATACCTACAAAGGGAAAGTTTTTATAACAGCATTTTGTTCTGCAGTGTCTCAATTTAGTACATACGTGCAAATTCCCCATGAAGAACTCGGAGAACATAAATTACAGGTACATTTACAGCTCATCACAGTTCCAGTTCCAGTGTTCTCTTGGCACATAGATTCATTATCACAGATGCAGTGGTTCATGTATTTTTGTAAAATATAGCTTTCGTTGCATAAATCTTTTCTAATGAAAGTTGCCATTTGACTACATGCTCCTAAGGCTTGGGTCCCTGCAGGTCCTTCTCCTATATCAGTAAAATACACTGTATAGTCAGGAAAACGAACAATGATGTTGTTTGACCTGAAAAAGTTGTAGAATAAAAACATGATAGCAAAAAATTGGACATTCAAGGTATTTTACATTTTTAATGAACATATACAGTAGAATCTCAATAACTGATATGTCCAATATTCTAGCACCATCGAGGCCCTCAGGAGAATATTGTATTTAAAAATGTCCAGATTCAAGGAAACAGAAACACCAGATTCTAGTATTGATAGATAAAATGGACATTTTAAAGAAGTTAAATAGTGGAGAAAATATGAACAAATTGGCAAACGAATATGGAATTGGGTGTGCTACTATACACGATCTTAAAGAAGAAAAAATGGGATGTAGCACAACGGGAGTAACAGAGGAGGGAAAACATAGCTTTCTTATTGTTTTGTTCTCATGGAGAGATGTTTTTAATTAAATTTGTATTATATTAATTTATTTTATTTTAAGTTATTTGATGTTAATTTGTTTTATTTTGTTAAAACATATGCATGGGACTGCATTTATACCCCATGGAGTGTGTGGTCGTGTGATTTGTGGTTCAGACTGGCATTTCAGTCATTTTTTATTTTAGCATATCTGTGCACTGATCAATGCATTCCATCCTTAGCCCATGATGAGAAGACTATGCTTTCAAATTTAAAAAACAAAATGAGTTGTGGAATTGATGAAATACCCACCAAAATCCTTAAACTTTGTATAAAGGAGATAGTGAATCCTCTCACTAAAATCATAAATAATTCACTAAAATCTGGTGTATTTCCTGAATGCCTGAAAACTGCCATAGTAACACCTGTTTACAAAAAGGGTGATCCTAAATTAATTAATAACTATAGACCAATTAGCCTTCTATGTTCCTTTCAAAAATCTTAGAAATGACTATGTATAGGCGGATAACAGAATTTTTAACAAAATGTCATATTATTAGTGCAAATCAGCATGGTTATCAACAGGGAAAATCAACTCAGACTGCGATTTTTCAATTTGTCTGGGATATTTTGAAATGTACTGAGATTGGTCATATGGCTTTGGGTCTCTTTTTGGACCTATCAAAGGCATATGACTGTTTAGTGCATGACATATTATTTGAAAAATTGGAGAAATATGGTATATGTGGACCAGCATTGAACTGGTTTAAGTCCTACTTGACAAATAGGAGACATTTAGTAAAAATACATAAAAACGCTGAAATAGGCATCTCATCTGAAAGCACTATCAATATTGGAGTACCACAAGGAAGTGTGATTGGTCCTTTACTGTTTGTGATCTATATCAATGATCTTCATGGTCTAGTTGCTAATACTACTTCCAGCATAACAAATTATGCAGATGATACAAACATTTTAGTCAGTGGTAAAGATGTCTGTTCTAAGCGTTAATGCTAGTTTAGAGTTCCAGAAAGCTAAAGACTGGTTTTCTATGAATAGGTTGGTTTTAAATCAAAATAAAACAGATCTTCTTTTGTTTAAGACAAATTATGCACATTCAGATATGCCAAACAGTATTATTGTAAATATGACACTTTAATATTAGCAGCAGTACCAAATTTTTAGGATTATATATTGACAGTTTTTTTATGTTGGGATAAACATGTTGACCAGTTATGTATGTCTTTGAGTAAAGTGATTTACAGCTTTAGAGTTCTAAAAAAATACATGAATAGTAACTCATTAAAAACAGTGTATCATGCTAATTTTGAAGCAAAATTTAGATATGCTCTAATAAATTTTGGCCACAGTAGGGACATAAATAATGTATTTCTGGTTCAGAAAAAAATAATCAGAGTTATGTTTGACTTAAAAAGTAGGGAATCATGTAGAGGGCATTTTAGGAGTAATAATATTTTAACAGTTTACGCTGTATTTATTCAAGAATGCTTACTGTTTCTATATAAAAATAAAATACTCTTTAGGAACTTTGAGCCCAATAGTATAGTAAATACCAGGTTATATAATTATAAAATTCCAATACACAGGTTAAGTATAACAGAAAAAAATGCTCTTTATTGCTGCATCAAATTGTTTAATAAACTGCCTGAACCTATTAAAAGGGAGGAAAGATTAAGTTTGTATAAACATCAAATATTTAAATTACTGGTAGCTCTTGAGCCATATTCTGTGGAGGACCATTTGTATGTGTATTTTTTTTAAATAATTTTATGTTCACGGAATGTATATTATTTTCTAAAAATAAAGATATTGTTATGTTATGTTATAATAAACAAAAGATAGTAGACCACCTTATAACGATGAAAACTGGACCGCAAAACAGTAAAACATTAAGAGTTGGTGAATGCCCAAAGATAGATAACTTCAAAACAGAAAAGGAAGTTTGGTTCATTATAGATTTATTGATAGTATAATCCTAATTGGTTTTATACTCACCAATCTTGAAATTGCTGCCTTGTCCATTCAAATTTATGATCATAGTGTCTAAATATTTTGTCCTCCCATCCAAACAGTACATTAAAATCTGCATTTGGTGTTGTTATCATCACTATCTTTGGTTCCATGTAACTAAATATGTTATAAGCAAAGGCATCTAAGGTATCTGGGTAGAGATGTTCAACACTGTAAAGAAGGCTACATTGAAAGATGTTTAGAAAGCTCATTTTTTACAGTAAGTATTTGAACAATTTATAGTACACAATTAAAAGAAGTAGAATATGTTGCTGTGACTGAAAATAATAGAAAAAGTTTCATAGATAACAAACAGGTAGCAAAAACTTTGAATGTCAACAATTCTGAAAACTGTACTCAAGAAGTGTCAGACTTTGTAAGAATAAATGGTAAATATGTAAATTCCAGAATTCTATATGATATTCTAACCATTCGTTTGCTTGGTAGAATTTATTAGAGTTAGAAGATTTATTGCCTAGACAATTCCAGCCTCTTCAAGGAATTGAGACTTGTGGAGGATAGATGTCCTTGAGCTGATGTTTGGCTCTTGGGTTTTGTAATTTTAAAACTATTATAAAAAAGTGTACATATGCCTCTAAGTAATGGATTCAACCATTACTTGATGGAAATTCATTTTATATAACAATAAACCTCTCTTTCCACATATTTGCCTTAAAACCTTTATGTCTTCCTTTCCATTCTCTAGCCTATATACTGGTTAACTTCTGAAATAATATAAATTTACTATTATGATTAAAATGAAACAGAGACTATATAATGTAGAACATACTCACAGCTCTATGGCAGTTACCACATCCACATTTAGCAGATGATAATCTGGATCACCTACACTACCCTTAAAAACACTAACGTTTAAGGCTTCTTCTCGTCTACTTAAATATTCGATAGTTAAAGGATATACTTTAGATTTATAAAACATTAAAGTATCTTCATCAATATCAACAAATATTATATGGTTCAGTCTATTTAACTGTTTTAAAAAAGTGAAGATTCCAAATTCCGCACAACCAAAATCACATAATGTGTTAATTTTAGTCCTCCATCTACTATCTATAAGAGTTTTAAACACTTCTCCATATCGCTGTCTGTAAACTGGAGGCCGAAACCTCAAGGAATTCTCAGAATCTTCCTGTTGATTATTTACAGGTAGAACTTTTTTGTTCATATTGCTCTTAGACTCATTTCGAGTCCTTAAAAAACGTATAACTAGTAAATTAATCTGATGAAAAAGTATAATCATTTTTAAAGTAACATTCTCAAAAATACAAATTCACTTACATAAACAAATATTTTAAAAATTATTTCAAATTTCAATTGTCTTATTTGTTATGTTTCTCATACTGACTCCACAGTATATACCACAAATTGTAGTGTAAGTGAAATAGGACATGTGGGTAGAGTGAATTGTATGGGCCCAACCGTTTATAATGGCGACGGCGCTACTAGTCACGTTAGGTTAGGTGGATGCAAGGTTAGTAAAAGGGAGGTTGCATGGTAACTCATGGCATTGATAGAATGAAATATGACGTGTGACGTCACCCAGGGGGTCAATTTTACGAATTGTTTGAAAACAAAATAGGAGAAGTGGTTTGAAGATATATTTTGTTGTTAAATATCGTTAGTGCTTTAGTTTATGTTAATATCTTGAGATATAATATGTCTATAGATATTATTGATTGATTTTTAGTATACAACTTGGACCCAATACTTTTATACAAGTGTTAAGATACATTTAACGTGGTTGTGTCTTACTGGATTTTATTTCTGCTGTATTATATAGTAAAGGTAACATTTGGATTATTGCAGGAAAAACATAACTTAATATAATTTTTTTATTGATTCATATGACTGGTGGAAATTTTTGTAGTGTAGCAATCTGCAAATATAATTAAAAAAATTCCAAAAAGGAAAGAAGGAATTTAATGTTATTTTCATTTTCAAAAAAATGTATAAATTCAAAAGCAATGGATGAGCAAGTGTCATAGGAAGGATAAGTGGTAATGTTTTAATAAAAGAGTTTGTAGTATACACTTTCGCATGGAAGATTACGAGGATGCTTTTAAAAGGCAAACTATTAAACATACAACCTAAAAAGCTGAAAAAAGATGGTAAGTAGGTATAGTCATTTAAATCTTCAGTAAAAATGTGTTAAATCACTGATTTTTATTTTTATAATTTACTGTTAATTATGTACAACTTAAAAGGTATCTATCTAATGGAATCATGTTTTAATATTTTTTATATTCTAATATATAATCCAGCAATGTAATCAGATGTTCCTTAAATATATTGAACTTAAGGGAAAAACTACTAATTCTGGTATATAAATCTTTAGTTGAATCTCTTTTTCAGCATAGTTTACTTGTTTGGAGGAATTTATAATAATCCACTACAAGCATTATACTTAATTCAAAAATAATTTTAAAAAAGTAAATTGTATTCAACCCATTATTAATATAGTATATTAACATGTTTTAGTCACATGTATACACAAGAAAGAATCTACTTCCAATTTAATATAGTAATGGTATTCTACTACATATGTTTAGCTGCAATAATATTTCATGATTTCTGTAACTCTGCAGGTACTTATCTCCCACATTTTTTAAAGATTGAATGAAATAAATGGTTATTAAAAGTCCAAACGTATTTTTTTCGATATACACAGATTAATATATTTACAATCATTGTTGCTTTTCGAGTTCATTTCAAGGAGTAAAGCAAATGAATTTAAATGTAGCATTCTCAGTGACGTCATTCCCGCCATTAGATTCTCGACGATGATTGGTGTAAAGTTACCAGACAACCTGTATATGTACTAACCTTGAGGTAAATGTATGACATATCAAGAGGCGTATGACGTTGATGTAAGTGCTGTTGCCATAGTTTCACTAGTTTTGTATATTTACCCAAATAATGATTACACTATACAATGTTTTCCAATAAAAAACAAAGATTGTAGGAAATTCTACTAAAATTACATAAAATTTACAATAACTTATTTCTAAAGGGTTTTGAGTATCAACGAAAAAAAAAAACAATGTGTTAGTGGCAACATTTTAATCCATAGTTTTGGCCCGTCCGCATTTGGCGCTACAAACTCTCACCCAATCTTTCCATAGGACTTACCTTACTAGAGGGCTATGTACTGAATCTGACGTACTTCATACTTCTGGATGTTCGTGATTACAGCACAGCCAATATTAAATTTTCATTTTAGTGAGGACCGTATTTACCTCAAAAGTTACTTCCATTTTATTTTTATTTAAATGAAAACAATGCAGTATCACAGAATTCGTTCTGTGGAGGTTTTATTAACATGTATAAATTTAGTAAACATATTAAAACAGTTTGATAAACGTTTGATTTTTTTAAAATTCATCTTTTGTTCCCGAAAGAATTAAGTATCTAACACTAAAGTCGGATCTGTACAGTACACTTCAGGTTCAGTCTGTCAAAAAGACGTATATATTCTCGTCTTCATGTAAGAGAAAGATGTCCTATTGTCCTGTGATACTTCAAAATCCTAAAACTATTCCATTAGTGTTCAAATGTACATTCCATTCATGCATTTATTGTTCTGTCAGTGAGTTGTGAGTGGCAGTGGCTCTCCTCTGTCAGTCAGTTTTATAATGGCGCGTGAGTAGTGTTAAGTGTCAAAAGTTGTGCCTTTTAATAAAACATTCAACAACAAAATTCATATGAAAACTGTGCAAGATTTTGTTATTTATTAAGGTTAGTACACTTTTCGTGTTGAATTTTAAGTGACTTATGACAATTCTTAGTCCTGATTTTTCTATCTAAATGACAACAATAAAAAACAGATATTTTTTCCTTATTTACACCCTAAACATTGACGAATTTAATCATGCTAAATTACATTTTATTAAAGTAATTAAGTAGCTAAATGTGCCTTATCTCGTTTGTTTTAAAATGCAAACGATAAGCCACCTTAGATTTTTTTCTAAATTCTAATACATATCTTAAGTTTTAAAAAATTTGCAGTAGATTTGGGATATATTTATAAATATTTGAATTAGAATTTATGTTCCAGAGCTATCCTACAAATGTATTTCTAACATTTAGTAGGTGTTATTATTACTGAAATATTAGGATATTCTTTAAATAAAATTGTTTATTTATAAATGGTTTTTAAGTAATCCAGCAAATTCAACTGTGAATACAAATTAGCATATATGTAAATAAAGGTGTTTTTTTTATTGTTGTGATGTTTTCAGTTAATTATGTACATAAATTATCAAATGTACCTCTTGTCTGTATCAACTACATTTTAAATGTATGTATATGTAGATATACAGGATATAACCTATAAACTATCTAAAATACAGAAAATCTTCTACAACTCAATACCATTCATAAATTCACATATTAAAAATAATAAAAAGATGGAAAATAAAGAAGTATTTACCCAGAATTGTCAGAATATATCAAAATATATTTCTTTAATTTCCATCTTTACATTATTATAAAATGATTTTATATAGACAAATTTTTTTAGAATACAAAATTATTATATGAAATATAATAAATCTTATAAATCAAAAATAATTACATAAATTATATACCCTGAAGCCTGAAACCCAACAAACCAATAAAATGATTGGTTATGCTACATTTTTACTCAATATTTCAAACTTTTCGAATTTATGTAAAACTACTAAGGTTTTCGTAGCCATTCAATATGTAACAACTCATAGAGTTGCAAAACTAAAATGAACTTTGTTGGCTTTAAGCGTTCAGGTAACAAAATATTTTCATGGTCTATTATTTTTATTGTTTGAAAAATAGTAGAAAATCAAAGTTTACTAATGAACTTCTTGGACTTTTCCAGTGCAATGTTGCCATAATTATCTAAAATCTAACTAACTTATGAATTTCTTATATTACTTTACTTCTCTGCATACTGTAGAATTTATTATTATTAGTATTATGTAGTAGTTCATATTAAAATTGATTAACATAAAGTTATATAAAGCTGCTATTGTTTCGTAGTTGGAATAAAATTTATGAACTTTTAAGATTTTTTTAGTTGAGGAAATGACTCATATGTAAAAATGATAAGTACAAGTTGTTGCAGCTGATTATGAACAGTAAAATCAAAGGGAAACGAGGTCCTAGTAGACAACAAATATCCTGGTTGAAAACACATTTGCAAGTGGACCAGGTTAAACACACAGATGCTTTTAAGAAAAGTAGAAGATAGAGATGAATTTGCAATGATTATAGCCAACCTTTATTAGTGGAGATGGCACTAATGAAGGAGCAAGACATGACCATTGCACAGAATCAGATCTAATGAATCAGGGTGGTGCCTAAGTAATTAGATTCATAATAGATGAATTTTTTGCATACAACATGCGATTTGTGTGTAAAGGTCATTGTCCTGTAGAAACAAAATACCTTTAGACAACTGTTCATGTCTTCTCTCCATTTTTTTCTTGTGTAGCACTCAGTAATGTTGAATAGCAATTCTCAGTTATTGTTTTATCTTTTTCCAGAAAATCACTCATTGCTTCCTCGAAATCACAAAAAAAGTTAAGCAAGAACTTTTCTAGCAGATTTTTGAACACAAAATCTTAGGCCTAGAACTAAAGTGTCTTTAATTGCTGCTTTATTTTAAGTCATAGAATTGTACTGAAATCTAATTCATAGAACATTCAGACATTTGGGAACCATTTTGCAGATATCGAATCTATGTGAACTATATGATGAAGACATTCATATGAAATATTCAGTGCCTCAGATATTTTCGTTTTATCCTAATTTGTGGGTGTGATAAAATCATGTTTATGTTATCAGATCAAAATCATGACGAACTAGGAACTAAAATAAATAAAATACAAATATTATGATGAACAGTTTGACAAGTTGACAATAATATCCTCAAAGTATTTACTTTAGTCCTATAAGGCTTCTTTAAACATCTAGAATTGGGTGACGCAGAAATTAATATTGATGTCTATAACTTAAATCATCCTAGATTTGCTGACAACATTGGTTTAATGGTCAGTAACACTGATGAATTTAATTAAATGCTTCAACAGTTAAATCAAAAGTCTACAAACTACTGTATCAAAAAACATATGAGCTTAGAGGCTACTAACATCTCTGTTTGACATGCAGAAAATGTTATTGAGTGCCTATATGTCAAAATGCAGATATTACTAGATATATCCGGTTATTATGAGCAGCTTTTGGGAAGTTGAGGTAGTATACAAG